ATAAATCCAGGTTCACACAAGGCAAGGTAAATGTGAATTAAAGAGCATCATTCTTTCAAACAGGCCATACAGATCCGGAGGATCCCAAGCCTCGCCTCTGAGGTTCGGGAGAACAGCTCCTGGAAGACATTATCTAGAGTCTTAATTTCCTCCTTCTCCCCCTTTCCCCATCCCCATCCCCTTTTGTGTGCCAGGGAGGAGAGTGAAGAAAAGAATAGCTGCAATTCACATCGACCACAGATTGTGTGATCACATAGAAATAGTCAATGACAAAACTAAAAATGAAAAAATGCTTGAGTCGCTTATATATGGTAATATGAGGTGAGCTTAACTTGGGTTTACCCTGATCGGGCCGGCCCTGTCCCCATAGTCTGGCTTGTGTTGAGACCAAGGCGAATAGACTGTACTGTGGTCTGACCCAAACCCAAGCTCATTTATTCCCCTGCGTTGATCTAGCTGCAATTATTAAGCACGGAATGCTTGGCATCCATTACTGCCATGAAAATTGGAGCTCTTGATTCACTTTGTAAATTAAAATATGCAGCACAATGTGACTGCAGCCCAGCATGTTCTCTTAGAAATCTAAACATTTTTTTGTGGTGCATTCTGCAGGTCAAACATTCGATTGTTTCTGTCCGGGACCTTTTGCTTGGTATGATTGGTAACATCTGTGCCTCTTGTTCTTCTTTTGTCCTTGTTTATAAGTTCTTTAGATTATGCCTTTTAAAAAAAAAATGCTTCAAGCAATGTAGAAGTAGATTCAAAGCCAATTTTTTAAAAATATATATATTTTAAATGTGCGTAACCAAATAAATTGGCCTGGATGATAACAACGATTACTTTTAGAAGTCAGATCTCAGAATAAAAACTAAAAGCAATTAAAGCATTTTCTGCAACTAAACATCTACTACATAACCAAATTAATAAACTTTTCTTTTTTTTTAATTCTCTCTGTTGCCAGGCATGTTGCCTTGGAGCTAGTTCAACTCCAAGGAGACCTGTTTGCCTTCCCACCTCCCAAGGAAAATGTTCTGTTGTGTGTCATCTCAGTTGCTAGCACTCTCGCCTCTGAGTTAGAAGGTTTTGGGTTCAAGACTCATAGTCTATTACAGGGTTGTCTAACTGGTGGCCCACGGGCCACATCCGGCCCAGGGGATGATTTAATCCGGCCCGCGAGCACAGTCACAACTGTGTGTTCAGAGCTCAGGCTCGGTCTGACCCAGTGGGATAAGCAGCAGCGCGAGGCGGTGGATAGCAGCAGAATTGTCAATCGCTTTCAAACTAGTAACAGGAAAGAGAGACACAGGGAGAGACACAGATAGATGGAGACACAGAGACAGGCAGAGAGATACAGAGAGACACACAGACAGAGATACAGGGACACACACAGAGAGAGACACACAGAGACACACAGATACAGAGAGAGAGACACAGATACAGATAACTCGACACTGCTTGTATTTTTGCTTGTAGTATGGCCGCCGATTAATCATCACTACTCCCTGGAGCTTTCGGATTCTCTCCTGCCTTGCCCCTCCATGCCCATCTTTCAGAAAGCACTCTTCCTCTCTCTCCAACTCGGCATCAACGTCCACCACTGGTAAGTGCTCTGAGATACATTTGTGCAAATTGTTGTTGTACTCCTGCAACAAATTTCTTTCTGTTGCAACAGCAACAATACTCCCATACCATATAACGCATTTCATATAGAAATATATATGTTATATATGCAGTATTTCATATATATATTGTTTCCAAAATGTCTCAAAGCATTTCATAGGATTTACTGTCTTTGTAAGCAAGTGAACATGACTGCCAATATGCCCACAGCATCGTCCAACAAACAGCCAAGAAGCGAATGACCAATTTTATCTGGAGGTTTTCTGGCCGGGGACACAATAAAATACGATGCAGATACAGATTGCTCCAACAATGCAGTACAGCCCCCAGCTCTGCGGTGGAGTATCAGCGTAGACCAGCGGGGTCTAACAGGGGGCCCGTGGGTGGCATCCGTCCAGGTGGGTGATTTTATCCGGCCCGGGACTATTTCCAACATTCCATCTTCCTTCTGCTCCCTCCCTCCCTCCCCCACCCGGTGAAAGTCCTCCCAGGGCAGCAGAAGGAGCCGGCAGTTGGGAGGACGCAGCGCGGATAGTGGAAATAATGTCGGCCGTCACTCCAGTCTGTCAGGAAGGCAAGCGCGTGTCTCCTTATCCACCGTGTCCTTAGCAATGCCGGGACAAGAACCCGGGCAGATTTTTTCTTTCTTCACTCCGAACTTTTTGAGGCCAATTACAGTGCCCCATCCACTGCTTCAGTTGAGATCAAATGACTCACATCCGATTGAACAGAGTAAGGATTGAACCTGGGACCTTTCTCACTCCTAAGCCGTGGTTGGAATGTGCAGTTCCGTGCGCTACATTACAGAAAGGAAACCGAAGCTACGAAAAGGGTACAACATAAGTTCAAACAGATGTGATATCAGGGAAGTGTGGTTTTCAGGATAGGTTTGAAAAATTGGGTCTGTTTCCACTGGAACTGAGAACATTCCTCTTTTCCCTACTCTTTCATGTTCTTCCTCCTGAAATGTTTATCCATTTCCTTTTTTAAATGTTATGGTCTCAATCTTAAAAGTCACTTTGTAGCAAATTATTCCATATTTGAATAACCCTTGTACGAAAAAGTGTTTTACTCACCTGATTTTGTGGTTACATTGCTGTATGCAAATTGGTTGCCACATTCATCTACAAAATGCAGTCACTAGACTTTATAGTGAATTCTATGAAGTGCTTTCACTCGTCATTCCAATGTGAAACGCACTTTATCAAATGCAAGGTTATTTTATTTTATTATTAGAAAACAGACAACAGAAAAAGATGTTAGCAAGGCAGTCTGAAATTTAGCTTGATACAATCCATTGCATTTTATTCAACTCTAAATCTATTTGTGACAAAAAAGGGTTTGAAAAGTAACTAAGAACACTTTGTATTTTAATATACAGTTTTTGTATTTTACTAGGAACAAGTTTTGTTCAATAAAAACAAAATTGCTCTGCCTCTGGTGAATTTTTGGTATTCAAATAAACTTTTTTATTGTTTTTTTCAGCAAAATATGGCACTTGGCAAGGCAGAGCTATTTTGTTGAATATTATATATGTAAGGTGCGCTGTTTCCTGCAAGAGTTCAATGAATTACAGATTTTTCTATATCTGTGCAATGCTGCTGCATTCCGTATGTTTCATTGTGTATTCACAAAACGGTAGTTCTATTACTATGAGAAGTTGTGCCTTTTTAAAAATAACTGTTTTCCGTACTACGATTCCATTTGAAGACTTATATTACGATCATATGGCGAATTCTCGCATGCACACAATCTCAGCCCAACATTGTTCCAGCTTTGATCAGTAATAAGTTTTGTGGGTGTGTGTTGGGGGGGTGGGGGGGGGAATGCCCGGTGAGAGGAGATGTCCTCAATCCTTCATTCAAAAGTGATTATCCTCCAAGGACGTGAGTATTGTTCTGAGCTCCTGGGCATGTGGATGAGGAATTTCCAGGATCAAGCCTGGGAGGGAAGGCTCCAACCTATTTTGCTGATCACCATTCCCTGATTCTTATAAATCTCCTCTGCATTCCCCCTCCACAACCGTCTTTCCCGAAATGAGGTGCCCCAAAACTGAGCGCAGTCCTCCAGCTGCGGCCTCGCCAATGCTTTATACAACGGCGGCATTTCTGCCACTGCTCATGTGTTCTGTGACCCTACGTATTAAACACAGAATACCATTAGCTTTTCTCACAGGCCTTTCCGCTTGTGCTGTTGCTTTGAAGGGCTCTAATGCACCTGCAACTGCAACAACAACAACAACAACAAGATGACATTTGCACAGCGCCTTTCACGTCGGGAGGACGTCCCGAGGCGCTGGACAAGAGTTCAGCATTTCAGACCCGAGTTGGGGTCAGCGGGGGAGAAGGGAGGGGAGGGGAAGGGGTGGGGGGTGAGGAAGGTCTTGAGGAGGGACGTGATGGAGGCTCAGGAGGGGGCGAGGCGGAGTGACTGGGGGATGGAGTTCCAGAGGTTGGGGGCAGAGTGGTTGAAGGCTCTCCCGCCAATGGTGGGGCGGGTGTGTCGGGGCACGTGGGGCAGGCTGGAGCCGGCTGGGCGGAGGGAGCGGGCGGGAGGCGGCAGAGGTAGGGTGGGGGGAGGCCACGGAGGGCTTTGCAGGTGAGGACCGGCATCTCCCAACGTCCCTTTGCTCCGCTGCTCCTTTGAAGACACCGCCATTCAACGACTATTTCCCTATTCCCGTTTTCCTTACCCCCCCCCCACCCCCCACCGCCAAAATTTTTTTACACTGACAGAGCGCGTGTCGTGTTGGGAGGAGGTTCTGAAGAGCATCCAGGGTGAGTGTGTAATAATAATAATAATCCTGGCACATCACCAATGGATGCTGCATCAATGGCGGCTGATTTACCCAGGCTGCCCCGGGCGATTGAAAGCGCCCTATTCCCAGACACGGGGGGGGGGGGGGAGGGCAGGGACGCGCAGTCGCAATAGCTGCCGCTGTGGGTAACGATGGCGGCGCCGGCGCAGGCGAAGTGCGGTGGCGATGACGCAAGGCAATGGCGGCCACTTTACCCGAGATGCTACGCGCTGGTGAAAGCGCCCTATTTCCGGAACGGAGGAGGGGGGGCGGGGTGTTGGCGCGCGTGCGCAGTGGGATCCCACCGTCTCTTGTCACCAGGTGAGGGTAAGGCCCGGCCCGGGGGCCGCCACAGCTTAAAGGCGCCCTTTAAAGGGTCCTTAAAGGGGCTTTGTTGTTAAACTGTCTTAAAGGGGTTTGTTGTTGAATAGTCTTAAAGGGGTCCGGTGTTAAACAGCCTTAAAGGGGGCGATTAGACAGTCAACTCACTTTACAGTATATAATAACTATTATTATTATTCTGTGAAGCGCTTTGAGACGTCTCAACGACGCGATAAGGCGCTGTGTCAAATGCCAGGATTATTATTATTATAAAGTGGTTTGGCGTTAAACAGTCTTATGGGGACCCCAAAGGGGCTGAGCGCTGACCAGTAAGTAAGGGAGAGCAAGGTGGGTCCTCACAGAGTGGGGGGGGGGGGAAGAGAGTAGAATCCTGTAATAATAATAATAATAATTTACTATTAACATACTGGCCTGTAATAATAATATTTTTGTGGGTGAAACGCGGCAGCCAATAGCGCCCAGCGACGTCCCACAAAGAGTCATGGATTGAGTGACCGTATTATTATTATTTTTTTCGAGGGATTATTACCCCTGGAAAGCGATCCGCCGATTGACAAATAAAACCGGGTTCCCACTTTTGCGGGGTAAACAGAGGTGTGTGGAGCAAAGAAACTTTGCCTACGGTTTCACCCCACCAGGGAATCGAACCCGAGTTCGCTTGCGAGGCGAGCGCGCTAACCACCTCGCTGCAGCGCTCCACATCATGTAAATACTCTCTCTCTCTCTCTCTCGCAGGGAGCGGAGGAGGAAGATGATGGAGGAAGAGGAGATGATGACGATGGAGCCGGCCGGACCCTCGGCACAGACGGAGCCTGCGCCTGTCCGCAGGTTTGCTTGCGGCGAGTGTGACCGGAGTTTCGGACGAGCGTGCGACCTGAAGCGTCACGGCCGGGTCCACACCGGCGAGAGACGTTTCGAGTGCACCGATTGTGGGAAGGGATTCGGGACGTCCTACAACCTGCTCCGTCATCGGCTGGTGCACACGGGCGACCGGCAGTACCGGTGCGAGGATTGCGGCCGCGAGTTCGTGCAGTCTCACCACCTGGCCACGCACCGGCGGACGCACACCGGGGAGAAGCCCTTTCCCTGTGCTGTGTGCGGGCGCCGGTTCAGCCAGAGCTCCTCGGCGCTGGTCCACCGTCGCACGCACGGCACCGACCGCCCTTACGTCTGCCCGCACTGTGGTAAAACCTTCAAGACCTCCTCCGACCTCTGCAAACACCGGCGGGTCCACGGCGCCGAGCGGCGCTTTGTCTGTGCCGAATGCGGCCGGGACTTCCTCCACTCGCATCACCTGGCGGCTCACACCCGCACGCACGTCCCTCGGCACCCCTGCCCTCTCTGCCAGCAGCGTTTCCTGCGGTTACCGGAGCTGGAGGAGCACCTGCGGGGCTCTCACCCCGAGGCCCGGCTCAGCTCGTGTCCTGGTTGCGCCGAGAGCTTCACAGGCGACGAGGAATTGGCACGACATTGCCGGGAAACGGGGCACGGAGAGGCACCAAGCGGGGACGAGGTCCTACGCTGCGAGACGTGCGGGAAAGCATTCAAGCTGCGCAGGTTCCTGGAAACTCATCGCCGCCGCCACGGTGACGGTCTCCGGCCTCACCGCTGCCGGGAATGCGGGAAGGAATTCCGACAATACACCTCGTTGGCCAAACACCGGCTCCTGCACGCAGATCGCCCACCCTATCTCTGTGGCGTCTGCCACAAGACCTTCCGCTTCCCGCATAACCTGGCCATCCACGAGCGCACGCACACAGCCGAGAGACCACACCTGTGTTCCGTGTGTGGCCGCAGGTTTAACCAACGCTCCACACTGGTCAGGCACCAGCTCACACACACAGGGGAGAGACCCTTCGCTTGTCCCGACTGCGGGAAAGCTTTCCGTCAGTCTGCAGCCGTACTCGTTCACCGACGCACTCACTCCCAGGACAGACCCTATCGCTGTGCGCAGTGTGGGAAGGGATTCAAGAGCAAATCGAACCTTATTGGTCATGGGAGAGTACACACTCGCTAACTCCCAACCCCTAACCCCTCTCTGCGTACGAGAGAGAGCTGAGAGAGGGGGGGACTCAAAGGATGTGTGAGACTATATGTGAGAGACAGAGAGAGTGCAAGAGCGTGTGTGAGAGAGTGTGAGAGGCTACGAGAGAGAGAGAGAACGAGAGAGACCACAAGAGAGAGAGAAAACTTGGCTCAAACAAGGGCAGGAATGGGAGCTTAACATTCCTGGCTAGAATGTATTCAGGAGGGATAAGGAAAGGAAAAGGGAGGTGGATGGCAATATTGATCAAAGATACTTTTATAGTCCTGGAAAGGGATGATGTACTGGAGGGATCAAAGACGGAATCTATTTAGTTAGGGTTAAGGAGCAGAAGAGGAACTGTTTCGCTGCTGGGTGTTTACTATAGACCACCAAATAGTGGGAAAGAGATAGAGGAACAAATCTGCAAGCAGATTTCAGAAAGATGTAGAACCAATAGAGTAGTGATAATGGGGAACTTTAATTATCCAAACATAGACTGGGAAGGAAACCGTGTAAAGGTTACGGAGGGGGAAGAATTACTAAAATGTGTACAGGAAACCTTTCTTGATCAGTATGTTTCCAGCCAATGTGGAAGGAAGCAGATCTAGTTGCAAGAAGACGTGATGCTGGATCTAGTCCTGGGGAATGAAGTGGGGCAAATGGAACAGGTTTTAGTGGGAGATCACCTGGATAACCGTGATCACATTATCATTTGAGTAGAGTAGTTACGGAAAGGGACAAGGAACAATCAAAGATGAAATTGGCTGGGAGACAGAAAGCAGAAGTTCGTGGTGAATGGTTGTTTTCCAGAGTGAAGGGAAGTATGCAGTGGCGTCCCCAGGGGTTGGTATTAAGTCTGCACAAAAACAGAAGTCGCTGGGAACATTCAGCAGGTCAGGCAGCATCTATGGAGAGAGGAAAGTGAGTCGGTATTAAGTCAACTGATCTTTCGGATATATGTGAAGGACTTGGACTTGGTATAGAGAGCACTATAAAGTTTTAAAGTTTGCAGATGACACAAAACTTGGGAACGTGGTATACAGTGAGGAAGATGGTAGCAGACTGCAGGAGGGCATAGACAGACTAGTGAAAGGGGCAGACACATGGCGGATGAAGTTTAATGCAGAGAAGTGGGAGGTGATCCATTTTGGGAGGAAAAATGAAGAGAAACAATATACAATAATTATACAGTTTTAAAGGGGGCACAGGAGCAGAGAGACCTGGGGGTTCACATACACAGGTCTTTGAAGCTGGCAGGACAGATTGATAGAGCTGTTAAAAAAGCATATGGGATCCTTGGCTTTATAAATAGAGGCATAGAGTACAAAGGCGAGGAAGTTCTGCTGAACCTTTATAACTCATTGGTTAGGCCTCAGCTGGTGTATTGTGTCCGATCTGGGCACCACACTTTAGGAAGGATATTAAGGCCTTGGAGAGGGCGTAGAGGAGATTTATAATAATAGTAATAATCCTTGCATTTGATATAGTGCTTTTCATGTCCTCTCGACGTCTCAAAGCGCTTCACAGAATATACTGTAAAGTGAATTGACTGTATATTTGTGGGCGAACGCGGCAGCCAATTGTGCACAGCAATGTCCCACAAACAGTTGTAGATTGAAAATTACCAATTTATTATTGTTTGGGTTTTGGAGGATTATTATTAGGCTCTGTGTGGAGTAAGGAAACTTGTCCAAAGTTTCGCCCTCTGCCTGGAATTGAACCCAGGTTTCTCGCTTGCAAAGCAAGTGCTCTAACCACTGAGCTACAGGACTCCACGGGATTTACCTGAATGGTAAATTTACCTGAATGGTAAATCCATTAACGACTCTACAGGATTTACCTGAATGGCACCAGGGATGAGGGACTTTAGTCATGTGGAGAGACTAGAGAGATTGGAATGGTTCTCCTTAGAGCAGAGAAGGTTAAGGGGAGATTTAATAGAGGTGTTCCAAATTTTGAGGGGTTCTGATAGCGTAGGTAGGGAGAAATTGTTTCCACTGGCAGATGGTTCAGTAACCAGGGTAGATAGACTTAAGATAATTATCAAAAGAACCAGGAGGAGATTTTTTCTTTTTTTAAACACAGAGAGTTGTTATAGTCTGGAATGCACTGCCTGAAAGGCTGGTGGAAACACATTCAAATAACAACTTTCAAAAGGGAATTGGATAGGTACTTGAAAAAGAAAAAAAAAAGGAAAAAAAGGATATGGGGAAAGAGCGGTAGAGTGGGACTGATTCGGTAGCTCTTCCAAAGAGATGGTACAGGCACGATGGGCCGAGTGGCCTCATTCTGTGCTGTAATGTGTGAGAAAGATAGTGCCGCGTGTGAGAGAGTGCGTGTGAGAGAGAGTGTGAGAGTGAAAGATGGAGAGGGTGAGAGAGTGTGTGCGAGAGAGCATGAGAGTGTGAGGTGCTATATCAAAGGCAATTTTTTTTTAGATTAACCTGTATGTTGTCTGCACCCTGTTATGCCAGTGCTGAGTGTGAAACGTGCGAATGAGAAGGCGGTGCAAGCTTCAGTTAACACCGCAAGGTTTCCACTTGTACCTGTAAAGCTTACCTTAGGAGGTCAGGTTTTCATTGGTTTCTTTCTTCCTCAAAAACTGGAAAAAAAACAAGATTGTCATGGACTATCTCCACAAGATATTTGTCCTTCACAGCGATGCTAAAAAGAAAACTCAGCCATAATAAATCTAACATTAGCTCCTATCAAACACTAGACGTACCGATGTAGACAAATACTAGTTGACTATCACACAACTAAACTGGGCAAATTGTAGAACTGTATTACAGGTTAAGTATTATGACTTTAAAATGTAGAGAAACTTACTTAAATATGTGGCTAAATATTCCGAGTTTTTTTTTCGTCAGCCGGGTGTCTGATACATGTGGAAACCCATCACCGTGCTTAAACATTGGCAAGTTTCCTTTCTCCACACACATGACTTGTGTATTTTGGGGGTGAAATGCGGCAGCGAATAGTGCACGCAGCGGTATCTCACAAACAGCCATGAAGTGAGTGACCAATTTTTTTTTTGAAGGGCTTATTACCCTCGGAAAACAATCCGCCAATCGACTAAGAAGCAGAGTCCTGCTTACTGCTAGGTAAACAACAACAACAGCAAGATTACATTTGTATAGCGCCTTTCACGTCGGGAGGAAGTCCCAAGGCGCTGAATAAACAGGCATGTGGAGTAAGGAAACTTGCTTAATGTTTCGCCCTCCCGGTAATCGAACCCAGGTCCTCGTTGCTTGTGAGGTGAGTGTTCTAACCAACACACTGCAGGACTCCACGACACCAAGATCCAGACAGAGAGAGACACACTCACATTATAATTATGTCTAAACTTAAAGCAACTTATTTAAACAGTTTTCTCTGCGGCTAAAGATTAAGCCATTAAAATGTACAAAAATGTCTCTATTGCTAAATATTATGACTTTAAAATGCAAAGAAACGTCTATGAATCTTTTTTTCTCTGTGGCTGAATATGAGAAGTTTAAGCTTAAATGAACATTATTTAAACATCATGACATTCAAGTGTAAATGAATGTATTGAAACAGTTGTGTGTGCGCATGTGTGTGTGTGGCTAAAGATGATGAGGGTAAAATGCAAAAAGTTTGTAAATACTGTGGCTAAATATTATAATAGAAGAGCAGAGGAACTTACTGAAATACTTTCTGTAATGAACACATCCCTAAACCACCTGCAAGGGAAGCAGCTGGGCTGGGTTTGCGAATTTATCCAACTCTCATGACGTCTCGGGAATGGGCTGATTTGCTGAGGCGTTGCTGGGAGGACTATCTCACCTGTTGCTCAGAGAGACTGAGTGAAGGGAAGACACTGATTGCATTAATAGATTAATAATAATAATAATAATAATCCTTGCATTTGATATAGCGCTTTTCACGTCGGAAGGACGTCCCAAATTAAATGTGAATTATTCTCTAATAATCCTGGTATTTGATACCGCGCCTTGTCACGTCTTCAAGACGAATCAAAGCACTTCACAGAATATGCTGTCCAGTGACTTGACTATATTTTGTGGGCAAAATTTTTTTATTCTTATTCGGTGAAGCGCTTTGAGATGTCTCGACGACGTGATAAGGCGCGGTATCAAATGCAAGGATTATTATTATCATAAAGTGGTTTGGCGTTAAACAGTCTTATGGGGACCTTAAAGGGGCTTGAATTTGATATAGGCCCTATTGTGTCTTCGCTACGTCTCAAAGCGCTTCACGGGATTTGAGATCTTCTTGCAATTTGTATAGCATATAGGATGTACTGTAAATTGAATTGACTATATTTTGTGGGCGAAACATGGCAGCCAATAGCGCACAACAGTGTTCCACAAACAGTCATGGGTTTTGTGACCACGTATTTTTAATTTTTTTTTGAAGGGATTATGAAAGGATCCGTTTTACTCAACTTTATAATCGGGTTCCTACTTACTGCTGGATAAACAGAGGCGTGTGGAGTAGCGAAACTTGCCCAGGAATCAAACCCAGGTTCTCTTGCTTGTGAGGCGAGCGCTCTGAGCGCTAAGCTACAGGAATCATGACTGTGGCCAGAAGATAAGATTGTGTGCTTTCAAGTGTTGCATTTTACCCTCAAGAAGTTTAGCCGCAGAAACACAGAAGTTTCTCTACATTTTGAAGTAATTATATTCAGCCACAAAGGATAGTACTTTAATATTTAAAGAAATTTCTTTATAAAAGTAATATTTAGCCACTGAAACATCTCGAAGACGTAATAAGGTGCTATATCAAATGCAAGGATTATTATCATCATGCTTTATATTGAGTACCCATTTCCACCACCGGCGATTATTCCTGCAAATGTATTGTTTTATCTGATTGCAATACTATCATAATCTCAATAAAAACAATAATAATTTGGTTACTCAATCCACGACTGTTTGCGGGACACTGCTGTGGGATATTGGCTGCCGCATTTCACCCACAAAATATAAAAAATTAACTTTACAGTATATTCTGAAAAGCGCTTTGAGACGTCTCGGAGACAGAAGGCAAATGCAAGTGTTATTACCACCACAGGATGGCCACGGAGGGGCAGTGACGCTCCATGCAAACAGTGAACTGACACGACTTGAGAGTGAGACATTGATAAACAGGCAGTGGAGTGAGTGAGTGTGAGTGAGTGAGTGAGTGATAGTGATAGAGAAATACAGAGATAGAGAGCTAGGGAGGGATGGAGATATTGTTGCAGAGTGCCTCTGTACAAGAGCCACATTACAGCCTCTGCCCACACACAGCAGGCAGCCTAACCCTAATTAATCTTAACCCTAACCCCTAAATTTGAACCCCAAACCTAACCCTAACTCAAGACAAAAAATACATATCCTCCCCCCCCCACCTTATGTCCCAAGTCTGTAAGATAATGGATTGACCGCTGGGATGATGCCTCTAATATGGCTGTGCCCTGGGCTAGGAGAATTTGAAACACAAAATAAAAGGATCGCTGCAGATCAGGCATTTAGATAGATAGCATCCTTTGCACAGCGTTGTGTCTCAGAGCACTTAACAGTAAATTTGAGACAGGGAGAGAGGGGCGGTGACTGTAGCTGGAAAAGCAGCAAGAAGCTTGCGAGACAATGCTCTTGATTGCAAGCTATGCAGTTTGACCTGGTTGAATTACTTGCAAACTTGGCCAAAAAAGAAACTTGTAGACTGGCTCACTCGTGTCTCTGTACACAACATCAAGCATTATAATAATAATCCTTGTATTTGATACAGTGCCTTATCATGTCTTTGAGACATCTCAAAGCGCTTCACGGGATTCACTGTAAAGTGAATTGACTGTATAGATTGTGGGCGAAACATTAGATTATCTTTTATAAAAAAAATCACTGCAGGCTATTAAAACAATTTATTTAATTTGTTAGATTCCAGGCTGCTCTGTAATACTGCAACGCAGTGGAACACTATTCAGCTTTTCCATGGTAACGCTTCACGTATATCTTTGGGGCATGCCATCCATCAGGTGCTTTCTTCAGCCCAGCCTTCTTCCAAATTTTCTTCAAATCTCTCTCAAACTTTGCCTTTAAAAATGAAGAAACATACAATTAGATTGTAAATCCTGAGCCAGGAAAGACTCATAAGTGTAATTTCTCATTCACTTCACATATTAATTGAACCTGTATTAGGACTTTGATTGGAAAGAGATGAAAGACAAAAAAAAAATCCTCTTTTCACACAATTCTTAAATGGAACATTGTCCTGGAACCTCTAGTATTTTAGTGCGACTTGCACGTGGTAAATTACCTTCCAAATGGTCTCTTATTCCCATGAGGTATTACCTTAACACACGTGGTTGTTCTACCTGGACAAACTGCAGGTTTAGCTGCTTCAACTCCAGATGTCACCAATGTCACTATCCCCAAATCTGTCTTGAGGTTAGTTAACTTTAAACTTACCTTCTCCAGTTCTACTTTCATGTTCCATTTCAAGTCATCTGCTTAGCGATGTGTCACCTATGACTTTTAGCACTTTCAAAACTAAGCTATATTCCCCCATCACCCAATAAATAAGATGAATTCTGCCAGTGTCTCCATACAACTGAATGTTCTCCAGAGCATCTATGTCCTTCTGAAGGTAAGATACAGAAAATTCCTTGTAGTAATTCAAATGTAGAGGTGCGTGCCTCATAACTAGATGAGCACCCATAAAAAATTACAGCAAAGAAAGCAGCAATTGGGTCCTTAGTGATTGCGCCAGCTCCCTGAAGAGCAATCCTTTCAGTTCCATTTACCTGCTCTTTCTCCAGACTCCTGTAGTTGACTCTTTTTAAGGTATTTATCTAGTTCTTTCTCGAAGGGCAGTATGGATTCTGCTGCCAGCTTATCCCTGGGATATTCCATAACTATCATGTGTTTGTAAATACTCTTAACCGCAAGAAGACTGTGAAGTGAATGACCACATTATTTGAGGGTATTCTCAACCAGGAAATTCCCTTCTCTTTTCATTCACCTGATCAGAAGAGCAGTTAAGTAGAGATGGATTGCATTTCAATGGAAGTTACTTAGCTTTACTTACTTGCCGCCTCTGTCTGCGGCCCTCCTTGATCCGTCTACGTAAAAACTTTGTCCGCTTTAGGAACTTTTTGTACTTATGCCGGTTCATTTTTCTCCTTCGAATCTTCAGTACGTTTTTACAATGTATCTCATCTCCACTGATATTTATTTCTCCTTCATTCTCTCCAATCTCTTGTAATCCTGCTCTGGGAGGGCAGTCATACTGCTGGAAATGGGGCCACAGTTTGATCCCAAGGCTCTGCTCATCCTTTGGTTCAAATTTGGGCACATGGTATCTAATTGTTAACCAGCTTTCTATTGGACTGATGGACAGTTTTCGTGGAACCAGAAACTCTTCTAGTTCGTGATTCAATACATGCCAACGCTGTGGTTTCACCTCCTTTTGACCGGCCAGTACATAGTGATTTCTGGATAATGCCCTACAAAGCTGAATAGGCAGAAAGGAAAACTGTGTTCCTGTGAAGAAAATAACAATGCCCGTGTAAATCGAGCATCCATTACAAAACAAATCTTAAACATCTCTACAGCACTGGACCCAATTTAGAGGAAATAATTTCAAATCTCAGTCTTGGCTGACAGCCACATAAAGAGGAAAACTGGGAACTGATTAAGAGGATTTCCCTCCTAAACTGCTTAAAAGCTCCTTCTGATGCTTAAAACCATGCTGCAGCACTTCAATATCATATCTGTTAGGCCAAACCAATTTCTATTGTGCCAGCATGGCTCAGTTAGTAGCACTCTCACCTCAGTCAGAAGGTTTCGGGTTCAAAGTGCCATGTTGGGATTTGAGCTCATATAGTCTAGCGACACTTCAATGCAATGCTGTGGGAGGGTGGGGGGGGGGGGGGGGTTGAATTGTTGGAAGTGTCCACTGGATGAAACATTAAATTTACCACGGCGCTAGAAATGAGAGCCGGGAGTTTCTCCCGGCTGACAATTCCCCCCAAAATAATTAAAAGAAAATTGGTTTCATGGTTGTTTGTGCCTGCGCATAAATGGGGTGCTGCATTCACCCACAAATATAAACAACAACAACTTGCACTTATATAGCGCCCTCCACCCAGGGGCAGAGTCTCACAGCGAGGAAAGGACTTGAAAGAGGTGAGAGAGGAGGCAAGGCAGTCACATCGCTTCACAGTAACTCCTGTGAAGCACTTTGAAACATCCTCGTGAAAGATGTGACACCAAATCAAATATTATTAGGAATAATAAATATGATGCATTTTTATGAAATTATGAATAATAGTAATAATATTGTTGTGGTATCTGGGAAATTAAGAAACTAAGCCTTTAAGTAAAATAGATTTTGTCAGAATTAGGAGCACCAGTTTGCAGATATTTCCCTCCCATTAAACAGCTGTTAAATCAAATTGAGGGCAGAATTTCATGTTTTATTTATTTACAAACCACAACACGTATCAGTCTCACACGGCGCAGCACTACAGTCACTCAACAACAACAACAAAACAACAAGATTCAATTTATAGAGCGCCTTTCACGTCGGGAGGACGTCCCGAGGCGCTGGACAGTTGGGTCGGGACCCGAGCATTGGGGGGAAATGGTCGTCTCAACCATTTCAACAACCGTCTCATCTGAACCATTTCTTGACATCGGATGTGAAGGCCCCGTTTACCTGGTAGTGCGGATATTCTCACCAGTTTCAACGTCAGTCGTGAAAGAAACATGTTACGGATTCATTCAGCAATAGAAGGTCATACTCCCCGAACCTCTGCAGAAACAACAACAACAACAAAATGACATTTGTATAGCGCCTTTCACGTCGGGAGGACGTCCCAAAGCGCTTCACAGAACACACTGTAAAGTGAATTGACTGTATATTTGTGGGCGAACGCAGCAGCCAATTGCGCACAGCAATGTCCCACAAACAGTCGTAGGTTGAAAATGACCAATTTAATTATTGTTTTTGTTTTTGGAGGGATTATTATTAGGCTCTGTGTGGAGTAAGGAAACTTGCCCAAGGTTTGGCCCTCTGCCTGGAATTGAACTCAGGTCTCTCGCTTGCAAAGCGAGTGCTCTAACCACTGGGCTCCAGGGCTCCAGGTGATGCCGCTGTTACCCCCTCCTCACTCCCCCCCACACACCCCCTCCTCCCCCAGAAATAAGGTAATTCAGTGTCTGACATCCGACATGAAGTTGGAGCGGGGGGGGGGGGGGGTCGGGGCTGTGCCGGGGGGCGGGGGTCGGGGCGGGGGGGGGGGTCGGGGCTGTGCCGGGGGTCGGGGGCTGTGCGGGGGGGGGTCGGGGCTGTGCCGGGGGGGGGGGTCGGGGCTGTGCCGGGGGGGGGGTCGGGGCTGTGCGGGGGGGGGGGGTCGGGGCTGTGCCGGGGGGGGGTCGGGGCTGTGCGGGGGGGGTCGGGGCTGTGCCGGGGGGGGGGGGGCTGTGCGGGGGGTCGGGGCTGTGCCGGGGGGGGTCGGGGCTGTGGGGGGGGGGTCGGGGCTGTGCCGGGGGGGGGGGGTCGGGGCTGTGCGGGGGGGGGGGGGCTGTGCGGGGGGGGGGTCGGGGCTGTGCCGGGGGGGGGGTCGGGGCTGTGCCGGGGGGGGGGTCGGGGCTGTGCCGGGGGTCGGGGCTGTGCCGGGGGAGGGGGGCGGGGGCTGTGCCGGGGGAGGGGGGGGGGGGCTGTGCCGGGGGTCGGGGGTCGGGGCTGTGCCGGGGGTCGGGGGTCGGAGGGGCCGCAGTCGGAATAAAACTCACCGCCTCCGGAACGATTCCGCACTTCCTGTCCCACCGACAAACCGTCCCCTCTCTCTCACAGCGCCGCCGAGAAAGGTTCCGACACCGGAGAAGTCCGACATTGGAAGCGATTATTGATCAGAGGGGGAGAGGGGGGAGAGAAATGGGGGCAGAGAGTAGAGGGGGGGGAGGGTTGGGGGAGAGAGGGGGAGGGGGGGAGAGGGGAGAGGGGGGAGAGAGGGGGAGGGTTGGGGGAGAGGGGGGAGGTTTGGGGGAGAGGGGGGGGGAGAGGGTTGGGGGAGAGGGGGGGGGGGAGGGTTGGGGGAGGGGAGGCGCACTTGCCCTCCTGACTGACCCGCAGCACTGACCGGTGTCGTTGCCGCTGTCCGTGCCGTGACGCGCCAGTCGGACGTCGCCGATCTGGACCCGAAGTTTTTGGGTCGGCCGCACAAATCCGTTTCCCTGCGTTAAAACGTGTCTGGGCGGGTGGTGCAGGCCTCGCCCCGGGGACCTGCCCCGCCCGGTGCCGCGCAGAGACAAGTTACTGACTTGGCCCGGACTTGCCTGGGTCGGCGCGGGCGGGCGGGCGGTCGGCAGCCACTCGCCGGCAAACGCCCGCACCAGTCCCATCGCCAACAGCGAGGTCACAAATGAAGAAACCTGTATCTGGTGGGGACCGACCAAAAAGGTTGGCCACCACTGGTCTGGGCTGACACTCCAGCGCCCGCTGGGGGAAAGGGGGAAAGGGGGGGAGAAAAGAGTTCAAGACGTGGCCATTCTCTGTACCAGAGGTTCAACCAAGACCCGGTCTGTGCCGCGTTAGGAACAGGAGGAGGCCATTCAGCCCTTCGAGCCTGTTCCGCTGTTTAATTAAGACCACGGCTGATCGGTGCCTCAGCTAATCCTTTCAATTCCAATTCGGGGTGGAAGCTAACGAGAAGGGAAGCTCTCCCGGTGCCCCGACCAACATTCCTGCCGATTAAATCGGTGATTCACTCCGACATTGCTGTGACCAAATTGACTGCCGCGTTCGCTCCACAAATAATAAGTAAACTTTACAGAAATTTTATGTGGTGTTTCGGGATATTAAGGCCACTATATTGTATCCCAGGATTATTACCCTATTGTAAACCTGAAGACCTCTGATCTTAACTTTAAATACATCACCCAGGATATTAATGAAGTATTAATAAATTACACAGCGCTCAACAAAAAACAAACTAAAATGTAAATAATTATACTTTCTTCTTCACAGGGTTAAACAGATGGCATTTTTGAGTCTAGAAATGATCAGAATGTAGGATATTAATCCATCTTGTTGCTAATCTTTAAAGTGAACAAACAACCCACTCACTTGACACAAAGTGAGAAAATAATTCCAGCAGATTGTTGAAATCAGAAAAGCAGGTCAAACAGATTTTATTTAAAATTCTTTAATTTCAGCAACACAAGTTGGCTACAAATTCTTATTACAATCGTTCTCGTAATTACAATCGTTTTATCATGTTTTAAAAAAATAGAAACTAACACTTCTAAATTAATTGTAAATTAATTAATTCCTAGCATGTATTAAAATCTCAGCTCAACATTCAACCGTATTGCAGACAAATATTCTTTTTGAAATCAAGTGGTCAGCAATGCTTTTAGATGTGTCTCAAACAAGATACACAAAATAAGTCAGATAACACAGATATACTGCTCATCGACCCCCACACCACCATTCAGTCATTATAGCCCCAACCTCAACGCTCTTTCCTTGTCATCTCCATCCTCAAATCACACCTTAAACCTATCTCTTTACCACTCCTGTAGTAACCACACCACCTCCACACCAGCTTGGCATTCAAATCTGTTACTGTAAAGTCTTTCGAGACATTGTCCTTTGCAAGTTATTGTTGTCTTTAAACAATCATTGATTGGGAAATGTCACAAATTGCTCCTTCATACAGAGATAAATTGGAACAAGACACTTGAATTTCCTGAATGAATCACCGATAATGCTGAAAATCAGATAGTTACAAGACACTATGGTAGAACATTGCATAGCAAGAGAGAAGGGCTAACACACTTTAATACCTGTGATGACATTTTTGGATAATAGTACAATAGTCGATGCATTAAATAAAAATGCATTATGACCATTATCCACACTGTCTCCATAACAGATTAGTGCAGAGATTGGGCTCTCAACTGCGGATATGTTATTGAAAAAGAAACTGGAAGGAAATGGTGAAAAGGTGGGTCGTTGTACTTAAGAACATAACACCAACAAAATTACATTTATAGAGCGTCTTTCACGTCGGGAGGACGTTCCAAAGCGCTGAAATGGTTCTCTTCAAAGCACCAAGTCACCCAAAGAGCTGTGTGATTCAGAGTAAATCAATGATCGAATCCTGCTGACTCAGCAGCAATTACATGCAGCACTTTGGAAGATTTGCTTTCTCTTTTTAAACTTTTGTACCCTATTCATAGAGATTCCAAAAGCAAATCCAGCTTTACCCTGGGCCTGACAGTGAACTCATGGGGGTGTCTTTCCGAAGTAAATGGTGTTATACGAGTGTAATTTGTTGTTGTTGAATGATTGGGACACAGAAAGGTAATGAATTGTGTTATTTAATGTCTTTGAATGCTGTTTGTCGTCAGAACAACATCTCTGCTGTTGACACTGTTGCAATACAGGCTTTAAACCTGGGATTGATTTATGCGCTTTCATTAGTGCATTCCTATAATTTCTCACAGCTTTGGTATTATAAATTAAACAAATCATTTATAGATGAAATCCAGTCATAGGTTATTTTTGCTTTGAATGAGTAACTTTACTTCTCGAACATGCTTGCAATAAAATCGTTTTGCACTTGCAACAAAACAGCTACACCGTTTAATAAAGTCTTACATTTAAAATTAGTCACTGCACATGATAGATACCATCTCTAAAGCATTTTGAGACATTTTGACATAACAGAACCATAGAAAATTACAGCATCATGCTGTATCAAATGTAAAAATTATTAAAAAGGCAGGAATAATTGTTGAAAGCTGTCCTTATTCACCTTAATACCTTTAGAAATAATTAATTTCTAACCCTTAATGTAAACAATAAACCATATGATCTTTCAAGAGCTCCTCTGGAAGCCGACCTGACTCTTTCGACCGACCCCAAACTTCAGCTTATGGTGTAATAGCTTACAATGGTGGCTACACAACTATTAAAATCAAAATAAGAGATTAAAGAGCCTGATTTTATAAAAACATTCGGTTTAGGTTAAGTGAGACGCTTGGATTTCTACCCCATATAAGGATATCGCCACGTGGTCAGGGGAGCATGCGTCTCTTTGACAGACTGTGGAGACGTCCAGCGAAGGATGCTGTGGGGTCCGCCTGGTTTGTCATTAGTTCCTGTAAAAGGAGCAAATAATAATGATGATCCGTGCATTTAATTTAGGGTCTTATGTCTTCAAGACATCTAAAAGCGCTTCACAGAATATACTGTACACTGAATTGACTGTATATTTTGTGGGTGAAACGGGCAGCGAATTACACACAGCAGGTCCCACAAACAGTCGTGGATTGAGTGACCGATTCATCATTATTATTTGAAGGTATTACCACCCCCAGAAAAGCGATCCGCCAATCAACTAACAACCAGGTTCCTACTTACTGCTAGGTAAACAGTGGCGTGCGGAGTAAGGAAACTTAGCCAACATTCTGCCCTACTGAGGATTGAACCCAGGTCTATCGCTTGCGAGGCGAGTGTTCTAATCACTGAGCTACTGGACTCCAAATTTGATAAACATCCTCCTACATTTCTCATTGTTCCTGTCAATTTTGGGTACTCAACAAATTAGATCTCCAGATTCCACTGGCTAAGCAATAGGCAAACATGCCTTGAAGGCTTTGCCTACCAAAATATCACCTTCGACTCTCAATACAAGCAGCTGTCACAGCCTGAAAGATGAGGTTGTTGAATTTGATCTGCTGGGATGGAGAGTCAGTGGAGCTGATTGAGGATATGGGCGATGGGCTCATGGAGCCTTGTATGGCAGAGGACAAGGGCTGCAGTTTGTGTAGCGAGGACCTGGAACTTTGCAATAATCAAGTCTGGATATGATGGAGAATGTGGGGGTCTCCGCAGTCTTACAGGAGAGGTTGCCCCTCACCTGGGCAATGATGTAGAGATGAGGGAAAACTGAGCAGGTGAGAGTCTGGCATCGTATGTGAGGGATAGTTGGGGATGGGGCAGTGGGTTCCACACCGGCATCGTGAGCAACTCTGCAGGTCAGTGCAGTCAATGCCTGAAGTAAGAAGTTGCTGATCGAAACCAAGTGAAAGGACCTGGGTCTGATTCCCAGGCGCGGCAAAACCTTAGACAGGCTGCCTTACTCCACATGCCTCTGTTTAACTAGCAGTAAGTGGGAATCCAGTTGTTAAAATTTGCGATCATTTTTCAGGGTAACAATCCTTCTGTGAAGCGCCTTCAAAACAAATCTGAACAACTATTTCAAATGCAAGGATTATTATTATTTATTAATCATAGAATCTTACAGCACAGAGGGAGGCCATTTGTGCTTGTGCCGGCTCTTTGAAAGAGTTTTCCATTTAGTCTCACTTCCCCGCTCTTTCCCCATAGCCTTGCAAATGGTTTTCTTTTCAAGTATATATCCAATTCCCTTGTGAAATCAAACTAATTTGCTCACCAGACATTCGGGAACCTCCAAACGGCTGCTGGGCTACAACTGAGCCTGTTGACTTGTCATTGATGTAGAAGTTGCCAGCAGCATATCGCAAATCCCTGGATACCTCAGCTACAACATCTCTGGAAGAAAACAATGTTGGCATTTGGTTAAAAGAAACAACAATTTGCATTTCTATAGAGCCCTTCACACAGAATAGCGTCCCGGAGCGCAGGCTTTCAGTTGAAGAGAAGCCATTGGTTACTTAGCACGACAACAACTGCATTTATATAGCGCCCCAGAGCGCTTGACAAGCACAGCCTGCGTTAGAAATAGAAGACTTATCAAACCAAACATATACATTTTACAAACCCATTTCATACTATTTATTTATTCCTACTGACATGGAATTCTGCACAGGAATGGCAAAACTTTGCAACACTCTCTCTGAACCTACTGTAGATATATTAATAAACAAAAATGTACTAATTATGGGACTGTGAGCTAATCTGCTGACTGAGTCTCCATAAATAAGTCAAAATTAATCTCTCATACCACCTGCCCACACGTCATTGCTGCCATCGCATTTCTATAACTGGCTTCTGAGACTCCAGGACTGAGAGCATTAACTCTCTTCCACTTTTTCCTTTACATGGTAATATACAACAATTTACACTTATATAGAATACACTTCAAGCAGGTTGGCCTCTCTGAATGCTTATGTTTTTGAAAGTGTCCAAAGTACCAAAATATCCACAAATACTTTACAAATCATTATTGTCAGATGTAGTATTTGTAGCCAAATATGGCAGGAATCTGTACACCACCAACAACAAAATTACATTTGTACAGCGCCTTTCAGGTCGGGAGGATGTCCCAAGGTGCTGGACAGACAACAACAACAACTTGGATTTATATAGTGCCCTCCACGTCGGATAGCGTCTCAGAGCGCTTCACAGTAACGGATCCCAGGACCGAGCCAGGGGAAGGGGGAGGAAGGTGACCGAAGGCAGACAGAGTTACGGACCCAAGCTGGGGGTCAGGGTGGGGAAGGGCAGGGGGGCAAGCAGGGAGATCGAAAGCATGGTTGAAGAGGAGGGTCTTTAGATGGGTCTTGAAGGTGGCAAGGGGGCGAGATGGAGGGACTGTGAGATGGAGCTCCAGAGGGTGAGTGCAGAATGGCGGAAAGCCCGCCCGCCAATAGTGGGGCGAGCGAAGCAGGGGACTTGAAGCAGGCCAGAGCCCACTGAGTGGAGGGAGCAAACAGGATGGCAGGGGGTTAGGATTTCGCAGAGGTAGGGGGAACAAGACCGTGGAGGGCTTTGAAGGTTAGGACCAGGATCTTGAACTGTATCCTCTGTGTGACGGGAAGCCAGTGGAGTTGGGCACTGTGCGATAGGTTCGCAGAGCCCAGTGCGGGAGAGGACACGGGCTGCAGAAGTCTGGATGATCTGCAGCCTGTGGGGAGAGGCCGACAAGCAGGGCGTTTGCATAGTCGAGCCTCGATGTAATGAAGGAGTGTATGAGGGTTTCGGTGGCCTGCGGAGCCGGGCAACGTTGCGGAGATGGAGGAAGGCAGAGCAGGTGATGGCACTGATGTGGGGTAGAAAGGATAGTTGAGGGTCAAACAAGACCCCAAGGTTCTGGACTGGCTTAGCAAGGTGGAGTGTGCAACCATGGATGGTGATACTGTTAGCACCTGAGGTGAGGAGGCGCTAACGGGAGCCAATCAGGAGAGCCTCGGTCATGTTGACATTCAACTTAAGAAAGTTTGCTCTCATCCAGGACTTGATGTCTGACAGACATTTTGTCAGGACAGCAGTGGGTCCTGGAGTCGAGGGTGGAGGCAGAGAGGTAGAGTTGGGTATCATCCGCATACATGTGGAAGTTAACCCCATGTCTGCGAATGATGCCACCAAGAGGGAGCATATTGATACTGAAGAGGAGGTGACCAAGGACAGAGCCCTGAGGAACACCGCACGAGAGGGTGTGGGGGCTTGAGGAGAAGCTGTTTGACGAGATGGAGTGCAGGCGTGAAAGGTACGACCTGAGCCAGTCAAGGACAGCATCGTGGAGGTTGAGGTGAGAGGAGAGGTGGTGGATGAGGATAGAGTGGTCAGAAAGCAGCAGAGCGGTCAAGGAGTACGAGGAGGCAGAGGGAGCCCTGGTCGCAGATGGATAAAATGTAATTTGTCACTTTGACCAGGGCTGTTTGGTGGGCGGAGTGAAGGGGTTCGATAAGGGAGAGGAAGGAGCGAAGCTGAGAAGCAACAACTCGTTCCAGGACCTTGGAGAGGAAGGGGTGGGGGGGGTTGGAGATGGGGTAATAGTTAGGGAGTAGAGAAGGGTCCAGGGAGGGATTTTTTTAAGGATAGGAATGATGACAGCAGTTTTTAAAGGGGTAGGAACAGTACCAGAGGACACCACATGGTCCCACAAACAACCATGAAGGGAATGGCCAATTTATCAAGAGAATTGTTGGTCAGGACACCAGAACAATGAATAGTGCCATAGGATCTTAAATGACCACGGGTAGCTAGGACTTCAGTGTCATATCTCACCTGAAGGAAAACATCTCTGATAATGCAGTGTGCTCCCCAACAGTCGTAGATTGAAAATGACCAATTTATTATTGTTTTGGTTTTGGAGGGATTATTATTAGGCTCTGTGTGGAGTAAGGAAACTTGCCCAGGTTTCGCCTCTGCCTGGAATTGAACTCAGGTCTCTCGCTTGCAAAGCGAGTGCTCTAACCACTGAGCTACAGGACTCCACACCACTTTATGTGGTGTTTCGGGATATTAAGGCCACTATATTGTATCCCAGGATTATTACCCTATTGTAAACCTGAAGACCTCTGATCTTAACTTTAAATACATCACCCAGGATATTAATGAAGTATTAATAAATCACACAGCGCTCAACAACAAAAAAACTAAAATGTAAATAATTATACTTTCTTCACAGGGTTAAACAGATGGCATTTTTGAGTCTAGAAATGATCAGAATGTAGGATATTAATCCATCTTATTGCTAATCTTTAAAGTGAACAAACAACCCACTCACTTGACACAAAGTGAGAAAATAATTCCAGCAGATTGTTGAAATCAGAAAAGCAGGTCAAACAGATTTTATTTAAAATTCTTTAATTTCAGCAACACAAGTTGGCTACAAATTCTTATTACAATCGTTCTCGTAATTACAATCGTTTTATCATGTTTTAAAAAAATAGAAACTAACACTTCTAAATTAATTGTAAATTAATTAATTCCTAGCATGTATTAAAATCTCAGCTCAACATTCAACCGTATTGCAGACAAATATTCTTTTTGAAATCAAGTGGTCAGCAATGCTTTTAGATGTGTCTCAAACAAGATACACAAAATAAGTCAGATAACACAGATATACTGCTCATCGACCCCCACACCACCATTCAGTCATTATAGCCCCAACCTCAACGCTCTTTCCTTGTCATCTCCATCCTCAAATCACACCTTAAACCTATCTCTTTACCACTCCTGTAGTAACCACACCACCTCCACACCAGCTTGGCATTCAAATCTGTTACTGTAAAGTCTTTCGAGACATTGTCCTTTGCAAGTTATTGTTGTCTTTAAACAATCATTGATTGGGAAATGTCACAAATTGCTCCTTCATACAGAGATAAATTGGAACAAGACACTTGAATTTCCTGAATGAATCACCGATAATGCTGAAAATCAGATAGTTACAAGACACTATGGTAGAACATTGCATAGCAAGAGAGAAGGGCTAACACACTTTAATACCTGTGATGACATTTTTGGATAATAGTACAATAGTCGATGCATTAAATAAAAATGCATTATGACCATTATCCACACTGTCTCCATAACAGATTAGTGCAGAGATTGGGCTCTCAACTGCGGATATGTTATTGAAAAAGAAACTGGAAGGAAATGGTGAAAAGGTGGGTCGTTGTACTTAAGAACATAACACCAACAAAATTACATTTATAGAGCGTCTTTCACGTCGGGAGGACGTTCCAAAGCGCTGAAATGGTTCTCTTCAAAGCACCAAGTCACCCAAAGAGCTGTGTGATTCAGAGTAAATCAATGATCGAATCCTGCTGACTCAGCAGCAATTACATGCAGCACTTTGGAAGATTTGCTTTCTCTTTTTAAACTTTTGTACCCTATTCATAGAGATTCCAAAAGCAAATCCAGCTTTACCCTGGGCCTGACAGTGAACTCATGGGGGTGTCTTTCCGAAGTAAATGGTGTTATACGAGTGTAATTTGTTGTTGTTGAATGATTGGGACACAGAAAGGTAATGAATTGTGTTATTTAATGTCTTTGAATGCTGTTTGTCGTCAGAACAACATCTCTGCTGTTGACACTGTTGCAATACAGGCTTTAAACCTGGGATTGATTTATGCGCTTTCATTAGTGCATTCCTATAATTTCTCACAGCTTTGGTATTATAAATTAAACAAATCATTTATAGATGAAATCCAGTCATAGGTTATTTTTGCTTTGAATGAGTAACTTTACTTCTCGAACATGCTTGCAATAAAATCGTTTTGCACTTGCAACAAAACAGCTACACCGTTTAATAAAGTCTTACATTTAAAATTAGTCACTGCACATGATAGATACCATCTCTAAAGCATTTTGAGACATTTTGACATAACAGAACCATAGAAAATTACAGCATCATGCTGTATCAAATGTAAAAATTATTAAAAAGGCAGGAATAATTGTTGAAAGCTGTCCTTATTCACCTTAATACCTTTAGAAATAATTAATTTCTAACCCTTAATGTAAACAATAAACCATATGATCTTTCAAGAGCTCCTCTGGAAGCCGACCTGACTCTTTCGACCGACCCCAAACTTCAGCTTATGGTGTAATAGCTTACAATGGTGGCTACACAACTATTAAAATCAAAATAAGAGATTAAAGAGCCTGATTTTATAAAAACATTCGGTTTAGGTTAAGTGAGACGTTTGGATTTCTACCCCATATAAGGATATCGCCACGTGGTCAGGGGAGCATGCGTCTCTTTGACAGACTGTGGAGACGTCCAGCGAAGGATGCTGTGGGGTCCGCCTGGTTTGTCATTAGTTCCTGTAAAAGGAGCAAATAATAATGATGATCCGTGCATTTAATTTAGGGTCTTATGTCTTCAAGACATCTAAAAGCGCTTCACAGAATATACTGTACACTGAATTGACTGTAAATTTGGGCGAAACATGCATCAAATTTCATACAGCAATGTCCTATAAATAGTCATGGATTGAGTGACCTAATTGTTATTATCAATTTTTATTTGAAGGGATTATTACCCCCAGAAAACCAACCCGCCAATCGACTTAACAACCGGATTCCTACTTACTTCTACGTAAACAGACTAATGTGGATTAAGGAAACTTGCCCAACTTTTCGCCCTGCCCTGCCCGGGAATCAAACCCGGGTCCTCTCACTTGCAAGGTGAGTGCTCTAACCACTAAGTACAGGACTCCAAATTTGATAAACATCCTCCTACATTTCTCATTGTTCCTGTCAATTTTGGGTACTCAACAAATTAGATCTCCAGATTCCACTGGCTAAGCAATAGGCAAACATGCCTTGAAGGCTTTGCCTACCAAAATATCACCTTCGACTCTCAATACAAGCAGCTGTCACAGCCTGAAAGATGAGGTTGTTGAATTTGATCTGCTGGGATGGAGAGTCAGTGGAGCTGATTGAGGATATGGGCGATGGGCTCATGGAGCCTTGTATGGCAGAGGACAAGGGCTGCAGTTTGTGTAGCGAGGACCTGGAACTTTGCAATAATCAAGTCTGGATATGATGGAGAATGTGGGGGTCTCCGCAGTCTTACAGGAGAGGTTGCCCCTCACCTGGGCAATGATGTAGAGATGAGGGAAAACTGAGCAGGTGAGAGTCTGGCATCGTATGTGAGGGATAGTTGGGGATGGGCAGTGGGTTCCACACCGGCATCGTGAGCAACTCTGCAGGTCAGTGCAGTCAATGCCTGAAGTAAGAAGTTGCTGATCGAAACCAAGTGAAAGGACCTGGGTCTGATTCCCAGGCGCGGCAAAACCTTAGACAGGCTGCCTTACTCCACATGCCTCTGTTTAACTAGCAGTAAGTGGGAATCCAGTTGTTAAAATTTGCGATCATTTTTCAGGGTAACAATCCTTCTGTGAAGCGCCTTCAAAACAAATCTGAACAACTATTTCAAATGCAAGGATTATTATTATTTATTAATCATAGAATCTTACAGCACAGAGGGAGGCCATTTGTGCTTGTGCCGGCTCTTTGAAAGAGTTTTCCATTTAGTCTCACTTCCCCGCTCTTTCCCCATAGCCTTGCAAATGGTTTTCTTTTCAAGTATATATCCAATTCCCTTGTGAAATCAAACTAATTTGCTCACCAGACATTCGGGAACCTCCAAACGGCTGCTGGGCTACAACTGAGCCTGTTGACTTGTCATTGATGTAGAAGTTGCCAGCATAATAATAATCCTTGCATTTGATATAGCGCCTTATCACATCTTCGAGACACCTCAAAGCGCTACGCAGGATATACTGTAAATTGTATTGACTGTATATTTTGTGGGTGATAAACAAGATGAAGCCACAAAGTCCCATTGAGTCACACTCAGCTGCACCATGAATACAGCTGCACGAATAAAACCTTTCAGAATATTTCCAAGCAGGATTGAAGGAACGCACTAATGAATGAGTCAACCCAAGAGATTTTAGAAGCTGTTTTTTTTCTTGGAGGACTTTTCCTTTAAAAGGGGGAGGTGGCGGAAGGGGGGGGGGGGGGGGGGAGAGAGAAAGAGAAGAGTTGTAGGTAATTGAATAATTCGACCTGAGAAACTACTTCAACCTAAATTAACACAGATAAGCAGCTTAAGATCATAAGACTGATTCTGGATGATGACTTTCCAAATACAGCAACTATCTGCTCGGAGCCCCGACAGCAGATTGGTAGCTGTCACCCATTGCCTGAGCACTCTATATATGAGGCTGCGGTAATACAAGTGCAGCCCTTTGGCAACACAGGGTACAAGAAATTATGAGGCTGTTAATATCCACACAAGTGGACGGAATGCACCAAACCTGGCCGGACAGTTTCAGGATCTGCTATCAGTTGTGGGGGGTAGGTTTGATCAGATTATATATATTACAATCTCAACTGTCATATTAACCAGCCTGTAAATAAACCATCTATGTAACAGACACTACTCATTTTCAAAAGACACTTCTAATATTCTTTCTGAAAGTCCAAAGAGTTCTCTATTCAGAGACACAGGCTCTTCACTTGCATAGTAATAAACACAGTGGTGGATTGCTGCACCAGTTGGGAGTCCTATGTGCCTTTCAATTCTGTCAGATAGCATTCTGTACAACTATACAAATGTACAGCACCAATCCTCAGGGCTTTGATGCAAGCACATAAAATAAGGCCCTCATTCCTGGCACAATTGGGTCAAAGGTCATTGTATCAGTACAAGCCAGGTTGAAAGTCCGTCTCATAAGTTTTCCCATTCATCAGCTCACTGAGCTGTCACCTTCCCCATCTCTCTCAAGCTCGTCCATGATTTCATCTGTGTTCCCTGAGTCGCTGCTCGCTGCAGAGCTGATTGATGGGGATTTTCTGTCGAGGAAGAGAAATGTCACTAGTGTCAGAATAAAACCAAAACTTAAACAACAACGTACATTTGTATATCACCTTTCACGACAGGAAGACAAACAAACAATCTTGTCTTTCAATTGTCCCACAAACCTGCACAATTGTAGAATGAGCAAAGACAAGCCAAAAGGGGAAATTTTCTGAATGAGGGTTGATACCTCCCAGCGGCCAGTCACACAAAAGCATTGGCTTCATCATCAGCATCAATCAGGGAGAATTGGGAAGACAGACTTCAAGAGTGGACAGATAAGTTGCAGATGCAATTTAATGCAGAGAAATGTAAAATAATACATTTTGGAAAAAAAAAACAAAGGAGGTCTACTTCAAATGATAAAGTTCCTCACTAGAACTTGCAGTGACGTAGCACCCAAAAACAACTTTGATCACCTTGACAGAGATAGTGCTGGACACTGAACAGAGAGGGAGAGGAAGGCTTGATCCTAATCATAGTCAAAGAAACAGATTTTAGACTCTTTTTGAAGATAGAGATAGCTTTTGAAGGTAGACTAAGGGTTGAGGAAGGGAGTTCTTGAGGGTGGCGGATAGTGGCTGATAAGAACCATAACACAGGGAATGGATGCAGACCATGCAGCTCATTCAGTCAAGCCTCCACCATCATTTTACTACATCATGGACGATCTGTAAGCTAATACTGTTTCGCTGCCCTTTCACCATTTCCTTTAATACTGATTAATTGTGACAGTTTTGCTTGTACACACTGACTGAAGTTGTAGATTTGAAGACTGTGCTCAAACTCCAGCTAAGATCAGCACCTTATGAGGGTAATTGAGACAAATATTGCAGAACAATGTACCTTACTGGTTAGAGAGGTACAAATGCTCATTTGTCCACAAATCTGTTCACCATATGTAACCATGGATAGGTTCTCTCACCTGCCTCCCGACTGTTTAATGAGTCGCCGACAGGTTTCCATCTGCACATCAAGGCCACGTTTCATGCTGCACATCTCCATGTATTCATGCAGGTGCCGATTCATGTCACTCTTGGCACTTGCCAACTCCAGCTGAACGGGCACACATCATAATAGAGACAATAATAATAATCCTTGAATTTGATATAGCGCCTTATGTCTTCTAGAACTGACAAGTGAATTGACTGTAAATTTGGGCGAAACATGCATCAAATTTCATACAGCAATGTCCTATAAATAGTCATGGATTGAGTGACCTAATTGTTATTATCAATTTTTATTTGAAGGGATTATTACCCCCAGAAAACCAACCCACCAATCGACTTAACAACTGGATTCCTACTTACTTCTAGGTAAACAGACTAATGTGGATTAAGGAAACTTGCCCAACTTTTCGCCCTGCCCGGGAATCAAACCCGGGTCCTCTCACTTGCAAGGTGAGTGCTCTAACCACTAAGGTACAGGACTCCACTACAGCTTAGTAGTTAGAAATAGAAAAAAAAGTAGATTTGTTTCTTTATAACCTTAAAGATGCAATACTCCCATATTATTCATCACGTTTGCTTATAATAGATTAGTGTCCTTCCCAGTTAAAAAGTCTAATGTTGAATATTGGTTATTTCCTTTGCCATTTCATATCGAGTCATAGTCTCTCATGCATGGTCTAAATACTTTTATTCGCTGAATATTTTCTGGCTTACAAAGCCTGTTGTGTGCTCGCTGATGCACTGATTCAGGAAGTGTTGCAGTGACACACTTGGCGTGACTCCAACTCGAACATCGCACTTTGTTGGGTTGCTTGAAATTGCTACCTTCCTTTTCTCATTCATCGATAGACTGTCATAATGTGACCACCTTCTCAATAGTTACAAGCTGCTCTGCTGCGAGCTCCAAATGTTGTTCTGATCCTTTTCCAATTAAACATATCGAACAGAGCATTTCATAACAGAGCTTTTGTCGTGATGCTAACTCAGCTAATTTAACCTTCCGTGTGTCTCTTAGATATAAGGCAACTCCTATCTTACCTGAGTATACGTTATGTTGACTTTAAACTTTATAATTTAGCCACAATTGTGCAATTCACATTAAATCTCATTTACCAGTTGCCACCATTGCCTATATTAATATTTTATTTTGGATTTCTGCATGTACATCTGAAAGGACTTTACTCTTTAACAAACATTGTCACTTCCTGCATGTGAAGAAGGCAAACAGAGGGAGAACTAAAAATGGTAGAATATAAACATGTTGGTGTGTATGTGTGAACAGCCAAAATATACACGACAGCCTAAGCTGTTTAGCTCAAATTTTCAAATGGCAATGTTAAAATAATTTTAAAATATTTGTATTCACAGCATTTTTTTAAAAAAGAACAAGATATTTAACAGATACCAGACTGGTTTTGCGATAAGAACACTGAACGATTAATGACTTTATTTAAGGTGCAGAACTCCATTGAAGGAGAATATAAAAGATTCTCACCTCTATTTGATCAATAGTTTCTTGATATTCTTTCTCTCTAGTTTTGAAGAGCGATTCTGTTTCTTCAATAACGGTTTCTATAGTTTCATCCTACAAACAAACATGCATAAAATACAACCACTCTTCCACACCATCAATACAAAAGAAAAACTGAAATAAAAACAGACATTTACTGCACTGACCAGTTTCCCATTGCCCAGTTTCCATGTGCATAATAGGATTAAAAAGTTGCTACCAGATGTCTTGGGAGACAAAGTGATCAGTAAGGAACCCTGGTACCAAGCCACCCAATTTGAGCAGATATCACTTTAATTAATACAGAGCAACTGCACAGCTAATAATCTTTTCAGTCCCTCCTCTGAAAGTAAAACATAGAAACAGGAGTAGGCTATTCAGCCCCTTGAGCCAGTTCTGCTATTTTATAAGATCATGGCTGATTTATACCTCAAGTCCAGTTATCCGCCCTTGTCCCATCTCCCTTAATACCCTGACCTAACAGGACAGGAACTTCTACAAGCCAAAGTATTCCCTCCATGAGTGTGCAGCCCAAAAAGGCCCAATTCAGCTCACTTTGACTCAACTGAAGTGAGACACTGTTTAGCAATAACAATACTCCAGTGCAAGGGTGGGAAATACTCCAGGGTAAAACAACCTGATGACCTGGACACTTCCGGTGGAGGATCTAGCTGTGGCAGCAGGAAGCTGTGCCACTCAATACCATTTGAGATCTTATGGGTCCAAACACCACATTAGTAATTAATAATTCTTACATTGAGTATAGGGCCACTCATATGGGGAGCAAGACTCAGTGATTCACAGGATGTAGAGTGCAGTGACTGTGTTTTGTGGGTAAACACTTGATAACAATGCTCCAATGAATAGAACTTAAATAAAGAGCTTAGTTAATTAAGATCACACTAATCTTGCTGTAACGCGGAACACATACATAGATGCCACGTGAATGCATTCTGGCTTACCTCTGCTGGAGGTTCCACTGCGCACTCTGAGAAATCTTCCCAAAGCAGCAACGTTTCTTCATTTTCTTCCCAGCTCAAACTGTCACAGTCATCCTCAATATCAAATGTTTCTCGCCTAGAAAACAAACCCAAGAAATGTACATTAATTCCAGATACAGATGTGTGTAAAACAAACCAAGGTCTCCAAAACACAATCCTTTCCTTTCATTTAAATGGGCTTTGGGACGTCCTCCCGACATGAAAGGTGCTCTATAAATGGAATTTTGTTGTTGTTGTTTGATGTTGCTTCTCTTGTATTAAGAACAATTAGAAACCATGAAAGTGGGTGTGTGTGAGAGAGGAAAGAAACACACACACATTTATGTATGCATTCACACGTGCAATCTCAACTTTCATTGAAAGCAAAATAAATATCTACTTAAAGACAACTGCTCAGTTTGCCTACAAATGCAGTTACTACACTTACATATTTCAAAGGGATCGAATATGTTTCGCTTTTAAAACAAAGCTTTGAAGCAAAAAAACAAGTTCGCTACACGCCAGCTTTTTTAAAAAAATTCCTGAGTCGGAGGAGCTAAACTGGAAATGTTATGAAGTGTCCTATGAATACTCACAGCTGGTTTAGCATTCTCTTCATTTCATCGGTTATATTAAGTGATGTGCTGACATCATCATCGGACTGCCGTGTGGTATCACCGTCCGTTTCCGAGCTCTCGTCATCAGTCCCTATTTTCTTCTCTTTCTTCTTGCTGACTGTCGCCACCTTAAAGGGAGAGGAGAGAATCTGCATTATAATAATAACAATCCTTGCATTTGGTATAGCAGTTTTCACGTCGGGAGGACGTCCCAAAGCGCTTCACAGAACACACTGTAAATAAATCAAATCAAAGGCATTTGATGTAGCGCTTTTCACGTCGGGAGGACGTCACAAAGCGCTTCACAGAACACACTGTAAAGTGAATTGACTGTATATTTGTGGGCAAACGTGGCAGCCAATTGCGCACAGCAATGTCCCACAAACAGTCGTAGATTGAAAATGACCAATTTATTATTGTTTTGGTTTTGGAGGGTTATTATTAGGCTCTGTGTGGAGTAAGGAAACTTGCCCGAGGTTTCGCCCTCTGCCTGGAAGTGAACTCAGATCTCTCGCTTGCAAAGCGAGTGCTCTAACCACTGAGCATTGACTCTCAAGGGGTAGAATTGCAACACACAGGGCAAGAGAGACAATGGGAAGCAGCAGAACATTCAGAATCAAGGCCACTTTAGGAACCGGTCCAAGGCTGGAGTTGTGGCAGTTGCAGCCAATTCCATATGGACAGAAAGTCACTTTTCTGTAAATCTTTTAATTATTTTCTAGTTCTTCTCCGACACGCCCCACCCCACCATCTCCTGAAGTTATTGCCTCATTTATGTTTGAGTCCAATCCCTTACCCAAGTGGCCAATCTTCACCTGACGCTGTACAGTGGGTACCACAGCAATGTCACATCTCTGACTTTGATGCATTTTACACAAAAATCCAACCCTCATTTCTATTCACCTGAAACATCTTGCTCATGTCTTCAGAGTTTCGCTGCTGGGCCACATCGCACAGCTTGGCTGTGATGTCAATCCTCCGGCAGATATCCATATCAACTTTCATAGCCTTCTCTTGAATTTTTGTATCCAAATCGGACATTTGCTGAAATGGGAAGGAAGGTAACTTTTAATCAGCTTTTTTTTAAACTACTGTGGGATCAGATACACCTTAATTCAAGGCTAGGGTCTCGCAGATAAATGGTAAGAGCAAAGGTCTGATGTCAGCAAAGCACATTCATTAGGAATTCATATTTGAATCTAAAACCATTAGAACATGTATTGTGGCACACTGCCTAGATTGAAAGGTTGCATATTTAATAAGCTTTTTGAGAAGCACTACAATTATTTTCCCCATCATATCCTATAAGTGGCTTCAACCACACAACACTTGATTTGCTGCTTAATCCAGCATTCGAAAACACAGTTGGTAAAACCAAAATGTCCCCTGATGCCAGAATACTATTAATCGAACTTTTCAGTACGACACTAGGCTTTTCCCTAAACTGGTTGAGACAAAACCCAACACTAAATAGTCATTGCTTCTCATCAGAAGCAGGGAACTGATAGCAACCACAATTACCAGACAGAACAGACACAAAAAGGAATTAAAACAACTCCCTTCCTGCCTTTACTTTACATTATTTTAACAATGCACTATAAGCAATTCATTTCCATCCATAAAACCACAATAAATATTTTTACAGATGACATTAGTCTTGTTTTAATGGTTTTCTGAGAAACTACGTTAAGCTTCAAATAAACCCATAATTTAGTTTAAAAACAACAAATGACACATGTAGAATAATAATCCTTGCATTTGATACAGCACCTTATCACATTATCAAGACGTCTCCAAGCGCTTCACAAAATATATTTTAAAGTGAATTGATTGTGTATTTTGTTGGCGAAACATGGCAGCCAATTACACACAACTATATTCCACAGTCATGGACTGAGTGACCAAATCTTTTTTTGAAGGGGTTATTACCCCCGGAAAGCGATCCACTACTCAACTAATAACCGGGTTCCTATTTACTGCTAGGTAAATAGAGGCATGCGAATGAAGGAAACTTGCCTAAGGTTTCACCCTGCCTGGGAATCAAACGCAGAGCGGGGCAGCTCGAGGGGATGAATGGCCTACTCCTGCTCCTAATTCCTATGTCCTCTCGCTTGCAAGGTGAGCGCTTTAACCACTATGCTACGGGACGCCACATAGCGCCTTTCACGTCGGGAAACAAAGTCTGAAACTCTCAGCTGGTCAGTCAACATTACATCAAATAGTCATCCTATCTGCTTTAGAAATCTGACCAATAATCTCACATATTTGCAATTGAGCAATCCTCATACTCCTAATGAACAAAAATTGTGTTTAGGAAGCAGAATACAGTATAACCTACCGCCACCAGGGTTTGCCAAGAAACAAAGTTAAGCCTCTATCGAAAGTGTTCCAGGATGCAAGTCTGGTACTGTCAGACCAAGGTGACCCATGTGCAAGATGTAACACAGCACAAAGCAATCTATGGCAAATATCAGACTAATGATAGGCAGTAATTTACTTGTTCTTTGTTAAAACATCTGTCCAAAATAGGATTACACGACTCTGTACCATTTCCCAAGAGAGTTTGACTCAAGTTGATTCCATTTTTCACTATGATTCTATTTTTCAGGGCAGTCTATGGGGAGAAAGCGGGGAATGGGATTGATTTGGATAGCTCTTTTCACAGGGCCGGCACAGACACGGATGGGCCGAATGGTCTCCTTCCGTGCTGTATAATTCTATGATTCTGAAGTTTTTTTTCACAAATTCACAGTCCTACAGGTCACAAATGCTTAAACGTTCGTCTAATTCTTGTCTTATGGGTTTATTTAAAGTTTATACTGTTCAGAGCAATAACCCCCTAAAAAGAATGTTGTTCACTCAATCCTCGACTGTTTGTGGGACGCTGCTGTGCGCAATTAGCTGCTGCATTTTGCCCACAAAATATACAGTCAATTCACTTTACAGTATATTCTGTGAAGTGCTTTGAGATGTCTCGAAGACGTGATAAGATGCTTTATCAAATACAAGGGTTATTATTATTTCCTTAACTCTCTCACTGTAGGGACAGGATGCACAGGTATTAATAATGCACATGCCTCCTTATACATTACTTCTTCCATTGTGGCATCTAACAATACTTTGTATACCCAATTCATCTTTCTAGCTCATTTTCCAACTGCAGTCTCGTCAGCTGATGTATTTTAATTCAAATGAACAGTTTCTGGACAGTAATGACCAACTCTACTTTGAGTTGTAAAATAATCCCTTACTGGGATACAGTTATTTGACAGAATAACAGTACAGTATTTTGTCAGCTTTAATCAGCCACTCGAGCAATTATCAGATGCTATTTTGCGCTCACCTGTAAAGTACTTACATCAGTCATCAGGCTCTTAAACACAACTAGCTCGGACTTCAACTTGTCCACTTTCTCACTGAGCTCCTCTTGAATGGCGTCAGCTTCTTGAGCATCCTGCAATCATAAGCAGTTAGGTAACGGGCCAGTCAGTGCTAGGCGTAGCTCTGTGTACAATACGCATGGGACCAGGGAACTAAAACCAAGAGTACGTTTACAGGGGCACAGCTTGCTAATCAATATGCATGAAACATATCAGGTCAATGCTTGGCTGCAGCAAGTCAAATAAGGCACTGGATTGCAGGAGATAGAATGCAAATCAGATTGTGTAGGTATGGGGGTTACTGCAAACAACCAAACAATAGCAAATGTTTAAGACAGGAAAAGGGAGTTATAGGCTGGTGAGTTTCACTTCAGATGTCGGGAAGCTGCTTGTAGTCATAATAAGAGGTGATCTTGTGAAACACTTAGGTATTGTGGTTGTTTCCCTTTTCTAAGTCCAGAAGGTGACAATGACTCAGAATATTTAAATTATTATCTACTCCCAGACAATGTGCAGTAGTCGTGTTTGTTTCGCCCTCCTCAATGTTAGTATAACTGTGCAACCAGCACACCGTAGATATAACGCTGTTGTTTCCATACAAGCTTGTTAACAGAACCTTCAAAAACAAACACACTAATGTTTTTTGGTCCAAGAGTCACCGATCCATTATAGATTTCCTATAAATTTTTTCATGGTAAGGAACTTACCAATTCCTAACCCATAATACATCTGCTACATTGTAGAGAGAAAATAGCCCCAACAGTGCACATAATGGATTAGTGTACATGAATTGTATATTTTTGCTTCTTACCACTTGTAATGCAGACACTATCTCTTGCAGATGTTGCCTTAGACTGTGCTCTTCTTCCCACCTAAAATAAGAGGATAAGAAGTTAGGAAATCAACACTGTCAGCTCAGCCCACCACACTGGCCTGAATGGCCCGCTTCCATGCCATATGTCACATAACAACCAATAAAATGAGATTAGAGTGCAGAAGTGAGCAGCAAAAGTGCAGATAGACAGAAGTTTTTTAAAATCATTAATAAAGTAAACAAAGAAATGATTTCCACTGATCAGCGAATGAGTAACTAGAGTAACTGGAGAAAGAACAACAAGAAGATTACATTTGTATAGCGCCTTTCACGGAGGGAGAAGAGGGGAAGGGGGGTGACCGATGGCATGGTCAAAGAAGAGGGTTTTGAGGCAGGACTTGAAGGAGAGTAAGGAGGGGGCGAGACGGAGTGATTAGATAGACAGACAGAGAGGAAGTTCTGAAAAGATTGACTGGGCTCAAAATTGATAAGTCGCCAGGACCAGATGGGTTTCACCTAAGGTTGCTGTGGGAGATACGGGTTCAAATAGCGGAGGCTTTGGCCATTATATTTCGATCTTCATTGGACACAGGAGTGGTGCCAAGAGACTGGAGAGCGGCTAATGTTACCCCCCTCTACAAAAAGGGGCAGAAAGACAAACCCGGAAATTACAGGCCAGTCAGCCTAACCTCGGTAATAGGAAAACTACTGGAGACCATAATCCGGGACAGAATAAATCTCTACTTAGAGGAACATGAGGTAATTAGAGACAGCCAACATGGATTTGTTAAAGGCAAAAATAGAATTTTTTGAAGAGGTGACTGCGAGGGTTGATGAGGAAAATGCGGTGGACGTTATTTACATGGATTTCAAAAAGACTTTTGACACAGTACCGCATAAGAGATTAACACAAAAATTAGAGGCCCACAGTATGAAGGGGACAGTGGCAGTTTGGATTAAGAACTATCTTGAGCGACAGAAACCAGAGGGTGGTGGTTAATGGGTGTTTCTCGAAATGCAAGGAGGTGTGCAGCGGTGTCCCCCAGGGATCGGTATTGGAACCACTGCTCTTTCTAATATATATTAATGATCTGGACTTGGGCATAGAGAGCACTATTTCCAAGTTTGCAGATGATTCAAAGTGAGGTCGGGTAGTAAATAGTGAGGAGGACTGTAACCAACTGCAAGCAGACATACACAGAATGGTGTAATGGGCTGACATGTGGCAGATGGATTTCAATGTGGATAAGTGTGAGGTGATACACTTAGGTAGGAAAAATGATAGGAGGCAATATAGACTTGGTAGCTCAATCTTAAGGGGGTGAACGTACAGAGAGATCTGGGTGTTCAAGTAAGCGAATCATTAAAGGTAGGGGCAGGTAGATAAGGCAGTAAAAAAGGCATTTGGTGTACTGAGCTTCATTAGTAGGGGCATAGAGTATAAGAGTAGGGAGGTTATGGTTAATCTGTACAAAACACTGGTTAGGCCTCAGCTGGAGTACTGTGTCCAGTTCTGGGCACCTTACCTCAGGAAGGACATTAAGGCACTGGAAAGGGTGCAGAGGAGATTCACGAGAATGATACCAGGAATGGGGAACCTTAGCTATGAGGACAGTGGAGAAGTTAGGACTTTTCCCATTAGAGCAGAGAAGGTTACGCGGGGACCTGATAGAGGTCTTCAAGATCATGAAAGGTTTCGACAGGCGAGATAAGGAAAAGCTGTTTCCGCTGGTAGGTGTGTCTGTGACCCGCGGTCACAGTCTTAAGACATCTACCAAGAGAAGCAGAGGGGAGGTTAGAAGAAATGTTTTCACTCAGCGAGTTATTCGAATTTAGAATGATCCGCCCGAAAGGGCAGTGAAGTCCGATTCGATAACAGCTTTTAAGAGAGAACTGGATAGGTATCTGGGGAAGACGGGTTTGCAGGGTTATGGGGAGAAAGCTGGTGATCGGGGTTAGTGAGAGTGACGCTCTGTCAAAGAGCCGCACAGACTCGATGGGCCGAATGGCCTCCTTCTGTGCCGTAACATTCTATCAATCTATGATTAGGGGATGTAATTCCAGAGGTTGGGGCCAGAGCTCATCAAGATGCCCCACCGAGAGCAGTGATTGAGGCAGAATCCAGGAAAGCTTTTAAGATGGAATTAAATAAATATCTGGAAAGGAGAAATATAAAAGGGGACGAGAAAAAGGCAGAGGAATAGGATTAAACAAGACAGGAATTTCATAGCGGACACATCCCTCCCTATGGTTTTATACAACAACAACTTGCACTTATATAGTGCCTTCCAGGTAGGGTAGCATCTCAGAGGGCACAAAGTAGTTAGAAAATCTCAATCAATTAACAAGTAATCCTGAGCTTGGTTCAAACTTGCCACTGAGTCAGAAATGTGTTGGTTCAGGATCTACAATGGGACTTTAGGCAGTGTTAGGTGGAGGGGAGGAGAAGTGCTGCATATCAGATATAGTTTTGGATGAACGGTTATAAATTGGACACTGTCTATCTTTGCAGTGGATATTAAAGTTCCCATGTCTTGGCACAAATAGCTACTGCGTTTGCCTACATTACATGCGGAGACAAGGCGTGATAATAGTGTTTGCTTGTGAAGTTCTTTGCCACACCTTGATGTTATAAAAGTGGCTTCAAAAATTCTTTCACTTCAGAATGCTCCAAGTTAGAAACTATCGTGTGAGTGTTGGGAAGAGCGGGGCGCAATCTGATGTGAGAAACGCTTTGTCCCAAGGAGAAATTATTAAATTCTGAAGCACTAGCAGTTTACGTTGTAGGTGGAGTGAAAGTTCTCGGGTGCCCTTTGAATCGAGCGCTCTGGGACGCTGCCCTGCTTGAGGGGTGCTACATAAATGCACGTTGTTGTTGTTATCGATCTGCCCCAATCATCTCATGCGCCTCCTGAAACGTGCATTTGTTGTCATTTCCTTTGCAACTTTTTGCTAATGTCATTTTTAACAGCAAAGGTGTTCCAACAGAGAGCAAAACACTTCAAAACAAAACAGGAGATTTGTCTGGGGTGTTGCCTCCAAACCCGCCTCCAGCCTAAGGTGCTTGTACCTCAGAATAAAAGAATTTCTCCTCAGGACAAGGCGTTCCTCATCTCAGGATTCCACCCAACCCTTCTCAACGCACGCATTCATTTCAAATGACATCCTCTGATTAAAAATGCAAGAATTTAGTCTTTGAATCGCTGATGTTGATGCATCCAGCCTGCTGTGCCTTGAAACAAGTGGTTGCGTCTCTACTTGCCCGCAAAGATTTAGCACCCGGCAGATTCTCAGTCAACAATTCAAGCTAAAATACCAGAAAACCCACAGTCACACCCATAGCCTACTAATCACCTGCTCTTACATTCTTCCATGGGTGCAGTTACAGTTAACATTACTGAATGTGTATGGAATATCATGTTAGGTCAGCTTTTTTTTTTGCACAGACATGACCATTAAAAACTAGCAGCATCGTGAATTCATGAATCAGTTTAAAACTGAATATACAAATTCAACATCTGTCATGACCTTCTGTTTGGAACCGTTTGATCCACTCCACTTAAAGAGCTAAACCTTTGTGGACCGATTCAGGCCTAATTCAGATCAACTGCCAGGGAGCAAAAAATGAGACGTGCAAAGCTAAGGCTACATCAATAGTCTACGTTTTTACAAAGTACACACTCAATCCACTTTACAGTATATTGAGACGCATTGAGACGTCACAAAGACGTGATGAGGCACTGTATCAAATGCAAGGACTATTATTATTGTGGATAAATTGGACTTGTGTAAGGTTGAGTTAGGAAGGCCAGTTAGGGAAATCATGTCTAAATGTGACAAAGATGCCAACAATTTAGAGATGGCATCAATCATAAAGCCTACATGAGATATAAGCAGCAACCTTTCTAAATTTACACAATTAGCAATTTCTTAGTGAAATCAACCATTTGGTCAGCTGGCATTTCATGTTGACTGCATTGCACACCGAGAAGCTCATAGGCAGTTCCTGGTACCTGCCATCGACCAGATGTCAAAAGACCAACTAGTGACTATCCTCGGGGGTGCGGGGGGGTGGGGTGGGGAGAGGGATTGCGGAGGGAGCAGGTAAGCAACAGCAACAAGAACAAATTACACTTGTATAGCACCCTTCACGTTGGAAAGACACCCCAAGCAGTCAGGTGAGTCTGCAGCATTACTCGGGCACTGCTGATGACAGCCCAGCCAGCCTGGCTCACTGGTGGGACAGAGATTCTTCCCACTCAGTTCAGGTTGACCCTGCAAGCCAAAGCCTAATGGGTAGGGTGACAAGCAATGGGAGACAATACTCTTAACTTCAAGCTATGCAGTTTTAGTTGGTTAAGACTCCAGCAGTTACCCCAACGCACACTCGGAGGTTCCCAAGCCTTGGCTCTTATTTACCTTCTCCTAATGCACACTCTGGAATTAGATTACCAGGAAGCATCCTTCTAGGGACAGAATGCACATTCCATCCCAATAAATATCTCTGGAATTTCCATATATAGGTGTGATGCATGGAGCTCGGTTTGGTTTGGATACTCTTAAGCGTGGGTGGGTTTCCATATGTTAGACAACCCAGCTGACCAAAAAAAAAGGATATAAAATAATCTTGTTTTACTGTGTCACATTTGCTAACGTGTCTCTCTCACGCACAAACATCAACAACGCGCAGAACCAAGTCAAACCTGTGGTCCAACTCGGTGATGTCTGCTTGCCATTGCAGCTCTCCAGAAGTGATGACGGACCAAGCTGTCCGGCCCATCGAGGGGTAAACAAGCCCTCGAGAAACGTGACCATTCTCGTCACTGGTGTGACTAACCCGACGAGCGGTTCAAGAACACGCGCCTCGCAAGCGAGAGGACCTGGGTTCGATCCCCCCCACCACCCCGGGCAAGTTTCCTTACTCCGCACGCACGCCTCCGCCGTCCAGCGGCAACCCCCGGCTGTCTGCCGGGTCGCTTCGGGGGCGGGGGGTAGAGAACTAACACAAATAATAATTTGGGCCACTTCAATCCGATCCGATCCAATCCGATCCACGACCCCGTTTCGCGGGGGGGGGAGGGGGAGGTCGCCGCGGCTCGCGGGCGGGCGCGCACGCACGCACGGTCAGCGCGGTGACCGCGCCGCAGTCCGGCCCGCGGTGACCGCGCTTCGGAGACGCCCGGAAGAAGGGGACCGAGGCTGCGGATCAGATGCAACGGATTATTATCATTATCATTATTATCATCAATAACTTATGATTACGTCTATTTTTTTTCGGGTGGGGGGGGGGGGGTGAGGGGGGGGGAGTGGGGGGAGGACTTACTTTCTCCGGTACTCGTCGCGCTCGCGCTTGACTTTGGCCAAGACGTTGTACAGGGCGCGGATCTCGGGGGTGATGGTGTCGATCTGCACCCCGACCCCGTCCGGGTGGGTCCACGACACGCCGGGGCCCTGCAGGGTCTCCAGGCCGCCGCCCACCTTCCTGATGTGGGTGAAGCTCCAGATGGTGCCGGGCAGGCGGCTCGGGTAGTGGTGGGCCAGCGAGGCCGAGGCGGCGCCCGAGCCCGGGGTGTAGTTAGCCCCGGAGTGCGGGTAGGCGCCGGGCCCCCCGGGCTGCGGGTAGGCGCCGGGCCCCGGGCCTCCCGGCGGGTAGGGGCCGGCGCCGGGCCCCGGGAGGTCGCACGACGTCTGGGTGGCCACATGGCGGACCCGGCCCAGGCGGCGGGCCCGGGGCTCGAGCGCCGACTGCAGCCGCTTCTCCAGCTGCCGGTTGCGGCGCTCGAGCTCGTGCACCTTGGCCAGGAAGCAGCGGAAGCGCAGGTTCAGGGTCTTGAGGTGACTGATGTTGGAGCCCAAGTCGTTGCGCAGCGCCAGGGTCAGCGGGTTGGGCTCCGACAGCCCCCCCGACACCCCGCCCCCGCCGCCCGCCGACAGCGACAGCGACAGCCCGCAGCTCAGCATCGCCGGGTTCATCATCCCCCCCACTCCTCACACCGAGCGGCAGCGGCTCCGGCTGCTCCTTTCCGGCCTCGGGACACGGGCTGCGAGTGAGGCGGCGAGTGAGCGAGTGAAGCGAGTGAGTGAGTGAGTGAGTGAGTGAGTGAGGCAGTCGGTTGTGCCCTTCCCTCAGACCCCACTGCGCTGACTGACCCGCGGCCCGCGCCGGCAGCGCAGTTACAGCGGCTCCCGAGAGGCGGGACCGAGGGGCGGCCTCTCCCTCTCTCTCTCTCTCACTCTCCCTCTCTCTCTCTCCCGCCCTCCCGCAGCGCGTCATCCCGACAGCGCCTCCAGCGCCGGGACACACCCACAGCCACCGACTGACTGACTGACTGCCCACAGAGACAGACACACCCGGAGCACCAGCACCGGCACCACCCCCCCCACACTGCACACACTGTACACCACCCCCCACACACTGTGCACCACCCCCACACACACACTGTGCACCACCCCCCCCACACACACACACACTGTGCACCACCCCCACACACACACTGCACCACCCCCACACACACTGTGCACCCCCCCCCCACACACACACTGTGCACCCCCCCCCCACACACACACTGTGCACCACCCCCCCCACACACACACTGCACCACCCCCCCACACACACACTGCACCACCCCCCACACACTGTGCACCACCCCCCACACACACACTGTACACCACCCCCCACACACACACACACTGCACCACCCCCCCACACACACACTGCACCCCCCCCACACACACACTGTGCACCCCCCCCCCCCACACCACTGCACCACCCCCCCACACACACACTGTGCACCCCCCCCCCCCCCACACACTGTGCACCACCCCCACACACCACTGTGCACCCCCCCCCCCACACACACTGTGCACCACCCCCCACACACACTGTGCACCACCCCCCACACACACTGTGCACCACCCCCCCCCCACACACACTGTGCACCACCCCCACACACACACTGTGCACCACCCCCCCACACACACACTGCACCACCCCCCCACACACACACTGTGCACCACCCCCCCCACACACACTGTGCACCACCCCCCACACACACACTGTGCACCACCCCCCACACACACACTGTGCACCACCCCCCCCACACACACACTGTTCACCACCCCCCACACACACACTGTGCACCCCCCCCCCACACACACACACTGTGCACTACCCCCCCACACACACACTGTGCACCACCCCCCACACACACACTGTGCACCCCCCCCCACACACACACACTGTGCACTACCCCCCCACACACACACACTGTGCACCCCCCCCACACACACACACACTGTGCACCACCCCCCCCCCACACACACTGTGCACCACCCCCCCCCCACACACACTGTGCACCACCCCCCCCCCCACACTGTGCACCACCCCCCCCACACTGTGCACCATCCCCCCCCCACACACACACACACATACACAGTGTGCACCCCCCACACACAACCCCCCCCACGTCTGCACCAACACCCCCCTTCACACACACACTGTGCACTAATCCCTCATAGACACACACTGTGCACTAACCCCTCAGAGACACACACCGTGTGCACTAACCCCTCAGACACACACTGTGCACTAACCCCTCAGAGACACACACCGTGTGCACTAACCCCTCACAGACACACACTGTGCACTAACCCCTCACAGACACACACCGTGTGCACTAACCCCTCAGACACACACTGTGCACTAACCCCTCAGAGACACACACCGTGTGCACTAACCCCTCACAGACACACACCGTGTGCACTAAACCGTCGCAGCGATACACTCAGAAAGGTAGACAGGAGAGTTGAGGGCCAAACAAGGTGGGGTGTGATGCTGTCAGCGCCTGAGGTGAGGCACTGACCGGAGCTGATCAGGAGAGCCTCGGTCTTGTTGATGTTCAACTGTAGAGAGTTCGCTCTCATCCAGGACTGTCAGGACAGCAGTGTACACACCAGATCCCCACAGTATACATCAAGTGGGATCTGAAAATTGTTCACACTCACAACAAATAAACAAACTTGATTTAATGGTGAACCAAAGCTTTCGCAAAGAATTACAAACAATTAGTGTTTGTCACAATATGATTAGATACATTAAACTGAGGATTAAACTGAGAATAAGATGATTCCAGCCCAAACCTTTGTAAGGTATTATTATTATTATTAAGCATGCAAACAAATGTTCACATGCACAATAAATAAGCAGTTATTGATAATAAATGGATGTGGAGACTGGGATTGATTCCAACTGCCTTGGGTGGGTGAAAAAAGCAATTAATGTTTCTAAAGGTAGATAAATACCTATTAAGGAAAGTACCTTCAGCAACAACCTGCTGTCAACAACCATCCTGGAACAGTCCCGTGCAACCAGTGACCATACTTTTCAGCGTACAGAGGTCAGGTCTGGCGGGCATTGGCAATGGGCTAAGGAGTCGAGCGGAAGTCTACACATGGGCCATGGAATTTTTGCCCACAGAAAGAGTTACGCTTTATATTTTGTGACTGATTTATTACTTCATTGAAACTAGTTTGATTTAAGGGTTTGTACACGCACTGTGTTTTATATCGCTCAAAGAAGCAGTCGGCCTAAATCTAATGGCTGTGATCAGGGTGGGAGTGCAGGTCATTAAAGTGCATGATAAAAATCTTGTATTTTTATTATGCTCTGCGGATTTGGATTGATTTATGTTGTTTCACAATTAATTGTTTGTTGTGGCCAACACAGGAAACCAAAAGAGCATTGCTTCAATGATGCCACTTTGAGTGTCTTCTCTGTCCTTTTACTATAATAATAATAAAAAAAATTGCATTATGTTTTGCATTTGTTGCTGTGTCCTTTCCAGATCTCTTGGCTCTCCTATACTCTTTATTACTTCTTTCTGTATATTCTTGGAAGTCCTGAGGTTCAGGAATTAGAACAAGCGAGAGATCTTTGTTCGATTCTCTGCAGGGTTAAAGATTGGGCAAGTTTCCTTAAATACGTCTGTTTATCTAGCAGTAAGTCGGAACACAGTTGTTAGTCGATCGGCAGATCCTTTTCAGGGGGCAATAATTCCTTCAAAAATATATAACAATAAATTAGTTACTCAATCCACAACTGTTTGTAGGACACTGCTGTCCGCATTTGGCTACCGTCACCCACAAAATATACAGTCAATTCACTTTCCAACATACTCTGTGAAGCGCTTTGAGACGTCTCGAAGACATGATAAGGCACTATATCAAATGCCAAGATTATTATTATTATACACTATTTACAGGCTCATACGAGAAGTTATTTGCTGAATAGGTGCAGCAAAGAGATTGGTAATGAATACACCATTCTTCTGAGCCTTTCTACCTTTCCTATCCAATTGTATGTGACCAAAGCATCCTTAATCGCTTTGCAAGAGACCTGAGTTCAATTCCAGGCAGAGGGCGAAACCTTGGGCAAGTTTCCTTACTCCACACAGAGCCTAATAATAATCCCTCCAAAACCCAAAACAACAATAAATTGGTCATTTTCAATCTACGACTGTTTGTGGGACATTGCTGTGCGCAATTGGCTGCCGCGTTCGCCCACAAATATACAGTCAGTTCACTTTACAGTGTGTTCTGTGAAGCGCTTTGGGACGTCCTCCCGACGTGAAAAGCGCTATATCAAATGCAAGGATTATTATTATTATTATTATTAATATTGAATTTTATATCCAGCCCCGAACGGATCGATTTCAAGATCCTCGCACCTCCTTAACCATCCGATCTGCTTACCTCCCCACTCCACCACCCGCTGCCTCCGCTTGGCTGGCTCTGGCCTCCTGTTTGTCCCTCGTCCCTACCATTGGTAGCCGTGCCTTCAGCCACTACGCTCCGAAAGTCTGGAACTCTCCCCCTCAATCCCCCTGCCTTGCCCCCTCTCTCCCCACTTTCAAATTCTGCCCAAAGACCTTCCCTTTTGATCGTGCTTATGGTTAACCTCCCCCCTCCCTCCCTCCGTGTCAGACTCCACCACCGTCAAACGCTCTGGACCGCTACCAACATGAAGGGCCTTTTATCAATGCAAGTTGTTGTTATAATATGCAAAAAGAAAATCTTTGGGATTTTTCAGATTATAACCTGAAAGTCCTTTGTATATTAAAACACACACTTTTAAAAAAAATTAGCCTTTTGATTTTTTGGGGGGGCTTGGAAATGACAAGTGCAAAAAAGGGCCTCACCACACCCAATGTAGGAGTATGGACTGGTAACATTAATTCCCAGTAGAACAACTTGTTCATAATTACGATAATTTATGTTGCCGCTTATTCTGATCACGAACAGGCAGCTGTGCTTTGACTAGCAATTATATCGCTCAAACTTGAAAGCCAGAAATGTTACACAATTCTTCCACCCAGGAGCTACACACATTCCATAAACCAGCTTGCTTGTCACCTGGTTACACACTTTTGATAGCAGGGAGTCAACATTTGTACATACAAAAACTACAGTAACCGCTGGTTAATTATACACTTACTGAGAAGATTCAGTTTGATTAGGTAATTGCACTGTCACATAACTTAAAACAAAACAAACCCAACCTTTCTCATAATTGCTTTACTTTCTACGATGAGGCACCGAGGCATCTCGAAAGTTGTGGCCACCTTTTCTCCTCCACAGGAGACAAAGAGGTTATGGAGAAGTGGGGCGTATTGGCCGTCTACAAGATGATGTGCTTGTCAATGGAATGGCGAAATCGAGCAAAATTATTCTGTGGTGACCTAAATCAGCATCTTCAACTGGTCTATCTCAGTGATCTCTTCATCAAGGAAAAACTCCTCTCAAACTCCTGGTCTCTACCACCTGGAATGGCAATTATTTGTGGTGCGAGACTTTTGAGATCGGCTTTTTGTTTTTCCAGGAACGGATCCATTTTCTAGTGCTCGAAAGCTTGCCACGGAGAGCATCGTCTGCATAGCGCCTTTCAGGCCGGGTGCAAGTCCCAAGGCGCTGGGTGAACGGGAATGGAGTGGGAGAAATCTCTGCCAATAGAGACGAGTCTGCCACTCCTGCTGATGAACCAGGCTAGCTGGGCTGTACTCAATGGGTCCTGGACTACTGTGGACCCACCTCGCTCAATGGTGAGAAGAGACTGTTGACACAATTATGAAATTTCATTGGCGAGCATGTCATCTTGGGAGCCAGCTCAGCCCCAAGGAGATAAGCTCTAACTTCCCCCCCCCCCCCCCCCCGACTAAGAGTATTCAACGTATTCCACCAACCAGATGAGTTCTGGTTGGTGCAAAACCTTTGATTAGCTTTTCCCCCCACCCACTAGATTGTCAAAAAAAGTCCCATCCTTGGAATCCACCTCCCGGGTCAGGAACATGTATTTTTATATATACAGCACATATTTAGTACTTTCTTATCTCTTCCAATTACTGTATTAAACCAAATATTAAGAAGTCAAGATCTTGGACCAATGCTACATCTGCATTTTTGTCGCTCTTTTTTATTATTGTGTAGGCTGCTGTTAGTTGACCCAGTGTGAATCTTACATTGTATTGAATGTTGATGATGAGGTTTCCTCTTAGGTTCAAAATACCTGTTGTACTTTGTGTGTCTCTTGAGTTTAATTCTAACCTCTCTTCAATTGTTTGAGTAATGGAGCTGATGCACTTTAGATGATGAAAGAGGAAAAAGCAAAAAAGGATCGTGTTTGCAACGTAGCGCTCATTTTTATGGGGAAATTTTGCAAAATAAATACCAGAATAACTGTAATAGCTACGTCTCAAAAAGCTCCTTATTGATTTCTGTACATCCCAATTTTATTTTTCTTAAATTTCTCTTGGAAAAGGTTCTCATTTGAAGTTCTGCTCTCTCCTAACATTAGGTAGCCGATTCATTACATCATCGTAAGCCCACATTCCTTTTCATTTTCTCCTCCTCCACACAGTGTGGGCTTAGGTCCCAGCGAGACATGACTCACCCTTGTTTGCAGTCATGAATTCTGTTAAACAAAAGCTTGGTTGGTTTTCGTCTACAAATAAGGTAATTCTGTACAACTAAAAATCAGACACACCCATTGACTTTTTCAGAAAGCAACCACTCCCTAAGGGCTTGTCTGAAAATGATATCATTGAATGTGATATGTGAAACTGAACATGCAGCAGTTTTATCCCATGATTGGGAAAAGTTCTGAATATCTTTTTCCCCCCAAACGGTATCAGACCATTAAAATATTTCAACAGCCTTGAAATAGACAAATAAGTATGAACCTTGTTTTGATATACAAACAACATTAAGGTTTATTGATACAGACCTGTGGCATATGTGCAAACTGCTGCGAAAGAAAGAGTCATTCAAAGACCAGGCTGAACAAAAGGAGGGCACTTTCACACACCGGTAACCTTTCTTTCAAGAGAAATTACTCGGTCGATTTATCTAACTTTCTTCATTTGGTTACATAGCCAGTCCCCATGGGAGTGGAGAAGCTGCCTGTCTAGAGCTTGCTAACTAGTTCTATTGCCATAAGTTGTGCACAGAATTCATCTCCATTATAATAGTGAGTGAGATTTATTTTCAGTTTTTCATCTTTTCCATTAAGTGGGGAAAAAAGTGACCAAAAAGGCGTGGGTCAATTTTTAAAAAAAAAGTGTCTTAAAGAGGGGGTGACGTGGAGGGGGTGAGGCAAGGGAGTCAATGAGGGAAATCCAGAGAGCAGGGGTACAATGGCTGAATTTTTGTTCATCAGTAGGGAGGGGGCAAGTCAGACGAGGAACATGAAGCAGGCGATGCTGAGCAGAAGGAGTGGGCAGGGCGGGGGGTGGGAGGGTCACAGGAGGTTGCAGACGCCGTGCAGGGATTTGAACACGAGGATGAGGATATTGAATTCACAGTGAGGATGGGGGTGATCGGCTTGTGAAGCCCGATGTGGGATAGGACACCAGCTGCTGTATTCAAAGAAACTTTATTAGATGCAATAGTGAACCAGAGGTTTAGCAGAGAATCACAAACAATTGGAATTTTCCCCATTTTTACTGGGATACAGCAGCAGAAAACTGAAAATAAAGCAACCAAACGTACTCCTTAAAATGAGCCGATTCCATTGCCAAACCTTTGTACGCATGCATGTAAACGTTTAAACCTAGGATATTTGCACACACAACAAATAAGCCGTTACTGAACAGAAATTGATGTGGAGGCTGGAATTGATTCCATCTGCCTGCACTGTGAAAAAAGCACAACTAATGTTTCTAAAAGTAGATAAATATTTGCTTTGGAGTTGAAGAACATTTACGGGACAGAGTTAAGAAGATCTTTCAAGAAGTTGTCAGGATCTTCAATGTCTGCTAAGAGTCCTGGAGAAAAGAAAACCACAAAAAAATCAGTCAGAAATGGAGTTAGGCATTGGAGGGAATATAAATGAATATTCTGATTTTACAAATTAAATTATTTAAGTTGTTTGCAGTAGCTTATTACATTTTCTACATTTGTTTAACTTTCGATTCATAAAAGTTTTCATAAGAATATAAAACAGGAACCGAATGCCGCCCAGACAATGATTATCATAGCAACTGTAAAAACAGAGTTCCTATTATTGCAGTTCCAATAAAAATCAATCACTGGTTACAGCAACACAACAAAGGAAGGAATGTGAACACCAAGGCTGGGATGAGAGTCTCTGGGACTTCCCCCAAGGTGCTGGGATTTGTAGATCAATCTTCACCAATGAAGATTTCATGTACAGCAGATTTATTTGAGGATCTTTCATCCCTAGAACTCAAACTCGAGCCAGACAAAGGTAGGAACCATCGTAACACCCTTGCTGCTTTGCAGTGGGAAGGACTGTGAATACTAACCCGCAACATCTAGAAATTCAGAGAAGGACTCAGCCGGCATGAATTCATCCTGAAAGGTTTTGAGACATCTGTCTGTTGCTTCATAGATGGGCATGTCATTATGCCGAATGTATTCTGCGAGAGAGTAGGACCAGCCACCCTCTGTGTTACTGGTAGGAACCTTCTGTAGCAGAAAAGTGAAAGAAGATCTCAAACCTTGATCTGTATACAAAACATATTGGGGGATTTCTGGCATGTCAAGTAATAATTATCACCAGTGATCTTGCTTTTCCAGATTTTGTGCTTCTTCACCAGCCAGTTGCCAAAATCCGACTAAATAATGAGTTTGAAAACCACCCAGACATTCTGAACCTGCCGGGGGTGAAATCAATCTCTAGAAATATTAATGTGTAAAGTACAAGACAAAAATGACTACAAATTCTGTCAAACAACACATTCTACAATTTTTTCTCCTTTGAATATACTATACAAGAGCACTCACTCAACAACTTACTGAACCAATGACATGGGGCACAATGAACAAGGCTGCCGTATGGACTGAATTTGAGCCCCAAATTCTAGCCATTTTGCCCCCTATTATTATCCAAAAGAGTAGGACCAGCCACCCTCTGTTACTGGTGAAAAAGTGAAAAAAAAAATCCACCCACAAATATACAGTCAATTCACTTTACAGTCTATTCTGTGAAGCGCTTTGAGACGTTAAGAAGACGTGAAAAGCGCGATAACAAATGCAAGGATTATTATTATTATTATTAAACATATGGCTGGAGATGACAACTTTGGAAATTTCTACTTTAGTTCATGGAAAGGGAAGGATTTGGGGGAAATTTCCCTGGCTCAGTGCGCTGTTATCACAAACGTTTGGTCTTCGCTGCTATGAGGTGCTGTGCAGAACAGGGGATTATTCACATTCCCAGTAAGTTGTCATTGTCTGAAGGTTCCTGCAGCTTCCTGGTGCTCTACCCAAGAGCTTTAGTGTCAGCAATCTTAGATTGTGGGGAGCCTCACCACCGATTCTGATCCCATCTCCGATGGATAATTTTCCTTTCCCCTTCTCAGCTTTAGGTTGGGTGGGGAAAAGTGGAATCCTGGTATTCTATCCAAGTCCCTCTCTACCCTTTGCCCCAGATCAGATCAGGTGGGGAAGGCAAAGGGTGAAAAGGTTATAGTAGAAGAGCAATAACTATATCATTTGGAGAATAAGTTTTAACGCTGCAGTACTGTTTATCCATGTGGGTGTTGCCAGGCATACTGGATACAGGAGTAGAAAACTGAGAATAAAGCAACCAACTACAGTGCAACTTTTTTTGATCGAGTGTAAAAAATGCAAGGATTATTATAAGGTAAAGACAAAACTGCCTCCAGGACACTGCAGGGTATTAACACTGGGACTGAATTTTGATCACACCGTTGAGTCAATGTTTTCAGCCATGTTTGCTCCTCTACATTCAGAGCGACACTAACAGAACTGGGAGCTCTGCTTTCCACTGATGAAACCCACGTAACGTAGAAATCTCCAACAAAATTGTAAACAGCCTAAAGTTGACAATCCCTCTCCACATATGTCATGATTCCCAGAATATGACCAGACAAATCTGAAACAAGTCCACACAGGTTGACTACGCCCAACAGTCTGCTGAGTTTCATCTGACATCATTAAAACTGCACCTACACAAATACTCAAACGTAATGTTAAGCCTGGAGACCAATAGTCTAACAGGACTTACCTTAAATATTCTATAGATAAGCTCCACTAATCCCCAGAAAAGGAGCACAGGGCGGTACAGTGAATACTCCTTCCCAGTTTTATCAGATAATCTGAAAAGCAAATCAAGAGACATTTCATTAGATGAACTGGATGCAAATACATTATCTGGTTCCACAAAGATTGAGAGGAAAAGTCGTGTGTTATTTTTCTGGCCTGTTGGAAACTCACATTTATCCACTGCAATGTGTAATGCTCCCGGACTACAAATCCTTGGATTTTCCCAAGAACCCGAGTGCGGTTAAGGAGGACACAATCCCCTTTGACATCCAAACCTTCATGTCTGATGCTTGCATCTGCTCTGGTATTGAAACTGTACTTTTCATAAATCGTATGTCAATGACAGACACGACATGCATTCACACAGCGCCCTTCAGGAGGGGTAATGCCTTGCAGCGCTTAACAACAACAAATTATATTTGTATAGTGCTGTTCATGTCAAGAGGACATCCCAAAGAGCTGGACAGTCAGGGATCAGCATTCAAGCTGGTGGTTGGGTTCAGGAGGGGTGGGGGATAGGGATAGGAGGGTAACTGAAGGCACGGTTGAAAAGGAGGGTCTTGAAGGAGGCAAGGGAAGGAGCGAGGCGGAGGGACTGTGGGATGGAGTTCCAGAGGGTGGGGGCAGAGAAGCTGAAGGCCCGCCAGCCAATGGTAGGGTGGGCAAGACAGTGGCAGTGAAACAGGCCAGAGCCCACTGAGTGGAGAGGTTGCTAGGGGGTAAGGAGGTCACGGTAGAGCTTGACGATGAGCCAGGGAGAGAAGCGAGGTGACTGTCTTCAAACAAAGCAATCTAGCTTTAGAGTCATGATTACCTGTGCAGCTCCTCAAAAGACACGATATTGGAACATTACAAAGCTACGATGTGTATAAGAAAGAATAGTCCCTTCTTGCATTTACATTTACTATTCACAAAAGCGGAGACTGTATATTGATGTTCTTACTTGCTGCAGCCACCGGGTGAAACTTTTCTTGCTTGGGTGGTGACCAGGAGACGTTTCAGAAAATCCACACGTGTGGCTTTCCATTTCTCTGGTGGAAGAATGTGCAATGCCAGCACCGTGAAGTAGTGTGCGCTTTCAACCTCATAAGCATTCTCGAGCCACTTCTCCTTTGGCTGCTCCAGGAAACTCAGCAGATTCTTCTCCTCACGGGATGTGGCCCGGGTTCTGTGGCAGGATTGTGTATGTGAGTGTGATTAAAGCCCACACTACATAATAAAATAATAATAATCTTTCATTTGATTTAGCGCCTTATCACGTCTTCGATACGTCTCAAAGCGCTTCACAGGATACACTGTAAAGTGAATTGACTGTGGATTTTGTGGGCGAAACGCGGCAGCTAATTGTGCACAGCAGCGTCCCACAAACAGCTGTGGATTGAGTGACCAAATAATTTTTTTTTTGAAGAAATTATTAGCCCCGGAAAAGCGATCCGCCAATCGACTAACAACTGGGTTCCAACTTACTGCTAGGTAAACAGGTGTGTGGAGTGAGGAAATTTGTCCAACGTTTCACCTTACAGGGAACCAAATCCAGGTCTCATACTTGCGAGGCGAGTGCTCTAGCCACTGAGCTACAGGACTCCATGTCTAACCTTCATGATGAAAGATTCAGTACTCACGTGTTGAGAACGTAGAGGACTGTATGAATGATGTATGGGATGAGGTGGATGTTGCTCTCTCTGCCTCCTCCACCGGTATCAACACTGAATGACTGCTCCATAGCAAAGCGCAAGAAGAGGAGTTTAATATCCTGGACATTTAGCTGGTAAGTGGGCTCCCGCTGGCCTGTACACTCTTGCAAATATGTGTTATGCCTGAAATCAGAAGAATGCAAGTTAAGAACATATTCCTGCAGGGAATTTGACAACCAATTTTAAACAAGACTAGATGTAAATGAGTTTGAACTTTATAATGTAGTTTTAGTATTTGGAACCTGAACCCAAACTACTCACCTTGCCAAACACGTAGCGAAGGCTGATTCCGGCACATGTGGACCCCACACAGGCAGCAACCCGTTGCACTTGGTATTTGCGTTCTGTAAAGCAGCGCTTTCCCACTCCTCCCGACCACGTGCCAACCTAGACAATGTAGATGATGACATGCTGTTTCAGCTAGTCCAGAATAGTAAAACCAGAGAACACGGTCTGCGATTGAAGGGGAGTAAGTTCAGAACAAATCTATGGAAACACTATTTCACTGAGCGAACAGTGAACCTGTGGAACAGACTCCCTGGGGAGACAGTTGAAGCAGGAAGTGTTGATTCCTTCAAACACAGATTAGATAGTTTTTGTTTAGGAAATAATATTATGGGTTACAGTACATAGGTAGTTCGGGATATGTGCAGGCGATCGCCAGGAAGGTGAACTAGACCTTAGTCTTTTTTTTGATTGTACAGAAAAGGATGAGAGTCAAAGTGATTGCTGACTGTTTGGCTTTGTTACCTGACTGCAGCAAGGTGACAGTCATAGTGGACAATGTTGAAATGTGACACTGTGCTGTATCCCTGCTGCTTCCGCGGTTTATTCTCAAATTCTTCAAGTGCAACGCGCTTAGTGAACGTGTAAATCCCCAGTACTTTGGTTGGCTGCAATAAACACGAGAACAAGGATAATTTTGCAATTGACAGAAGACAGATGGGTGGACCACAAATGTATTGACTACAAACGCACACAAGAATCAGATCTCTCTTGGACAGACACATGTACCTGGAACTTGTAGCCCTCCCGGCAGATGCAGCAGGTCAGACCTGGCTCCTCAATTAACTCCTCCATTTGCTGCAGCAACTTGGTCTTCGTGACAACCTGACCTTTTTCGTTAGTCTGCAGAAAACAGAAAAATAAATCGGGTCACTAGAGGCAGAAAAAAACCTCAAGAGCTTGACCTTCGGAGAACACACATCACTGTATTATCAACACGTCATGATCTTCAGTGTTAACAGACTCAAGGCTTACTGTCATTCCCAAAGTGCCCAGTGCTTTCTGTCGCATGGCCATTGCCATCCGTTTTTTCTCTGCTCGTGTCTCCTTCCGTGCGGCTTCAATCTTCTTGTTGACCTCTGTGTTCTCCCGCAGAGCCTCCAGGAGATTTTCTGCCAGAGTCCCAATGCCTTCATCACTGGAAACCTGTTCCAGCTTGTGCAGGTTTGTGATGGAATCTGTTCCAATCAATGCCTGGAATAATAGTCAAAGAATTCAATCTCTCATATCAAGCATACCAACAGGCTACCCTGCATGAAGAGCACTATGTAAATGCAATTCTTTATTATCTAGCGTCAGATGAAGCTTGAGTACTGCTGGGGTTTAACCAAGAACAACAATTAGAATTTATATAGTGCCTTTCACGTCGGGCGGACGTCCCAAGGCCTAGACAATGAGGGATTTGCACTTGACCTGGGGTTGGGATCAGTGAGGGGTGGAGGGCAAGGAGATGTGTGAAGGAGGGAAGATGATCAAAGGTATGGTCAAAAAGGAAGGTTTTGAGACGATCCTTGAATGAGGCAAGGGAGGGGCCGAGGTGGGAGGATGGTGTTCCAGATGATGGGAGCAGAAAAGTCAAAGGCCTAACCTCTGATAGTGCATCAGGCAGGAGCATTTTAAAGTTAAGATTGGAAGGATTTTATAAACAAAATCTGAAAGATGAAGCAAAACATTTAAAAAAAGAATTGTTTGGGTCGAGGCTGACCATTCACTAGAAATGTGCGCCCTGCAGGAGTCCATCCTAATTAGCAATTAGAAGCAACACCGTGTTCCAAAGCATTCTGAATGCAGTGTTGAGAACAGCTGTCTCAAGGGTTATCAAACAAAGAGAAAGGACCCAGAGGCAAGGCACAGGTTTTATTTCCACAGGAGGCTTGATGCACTCTGTTCAGGAGGGCTAGAAGCTCTACAGCATGCCAATGAGACAAAACAACTTACTTGTGTGGGCGGATGCTGCATTGCCAAACCCCGCAACAGCCGCAGAATGAAAGGGAGTGCTGGCTTTGCTAGGAACTTCTTCCACACATCAGCATCAAGGCTGCAAGAAGATAAAATCAAATAAGATAAAATCAAATCATAAAATAATCCAAATAAGTCTGAAGGTTTAAAGAAATCTCTCATGGATATCATGAAAACAGACAACATTGCACAGCTTTGAAATTCCTTGAACTCCTGACTATCTGGAGGTCAAAATGTAAACTGGATTCGCCATAGTTGACTCATTAAGTAATAGTTTTATAACAACTGATGATTAGAAACTGTAGCTGAATGAATCTCACTTCTTGGCACATGGGATGTGCTTCCTGATGTATTCCAAGGCATTCTGTGTGATTCCTTTCTGAATGATCAGCTCTTTCAGTTGGTGGCCATTGCTGTTATTTTTGATTCCAGCAGCAATTTTACAAAAGCAATCCAGGAAAACTTTGTCGTCTGCATTGTGCTCTTCATCATACCTAAGAACGGGATAAAACCAGCGTTAAAAAACTTCAGAACAACAAAAAAAACTAGAATTAACAGGAAACAAGAACAAAGACAAGATGTGGTAAGGTTTGGGCTAATAAAGAGAATCTTGTCTTATGGACAGTGAAAGCATAGATTTCTTGTTTCCTTCAAGACTGAGATCGATAAGATTTTTAAAAACTAAATGGGTTAAGGGATATAGAGATAGGTTTGGTAAATGGAATTAGGTTGGAAGATCAGCCATGATCTTATTAAATGGCAGGGCAGGCTCGAGGGGCTGAATGATCTAGTCCTGCTCCTCTTTCTTATGTTCTGATCAGGCTCTGGCCCAAAAATAAAGCTAAAAAGTTAAAAAAGTAAGCTTTTCGACCTGGTGATTGAAATGCAATAGAACCCTTATTTCCATATGTATGTGGATGACACCCAACTCTATCTTTCTGCCTCCACCCTCAACTCCAGGATCATTGCTGCCCTGACAGAATGTCGGTCGGACATCAAGTCTTGGATGAGGGCAAATTTTCTACAGTTGAATGTGAACAAGACTGAGGCCCTCCTGACTGGCCCTCTGCACCCCAGGCTCTGGCAGCATCAACCTCCATGGTTGCACACTACAACTCACCAGCTGGTCAGGAACCTAGGTGTCTAGTTAGACCCTCAACTGTCTTTTCTTCCCCACATCTAAGCCATGACCCCTCTGCCTTCCCTCACCTCCGTAACATTGCCCGACTCCACCTCTACCTCACCCCTCAGGCGCTGAAACTCTTGTTCATGCCTTCATCACCTCCAGGCTCGACTATGCAAACGCCCTGCTTGTCGGCCTTCCCAACTCCTCCCTCCACAGACTACAGATAATCCAGAACTCTGCAGCCCGTATCCTCTCCCGCACCAAACTCCATGACCCCATCTCCCCCATTCTCGCCCAACTCCATTCGCTCCCTATCCTTCAGAGGATCCAGTTCAACATCCTGGTTCTCACCTACAAAGCCCTCCATGGCATCGCCCCACCCTAGCTCTGCGACCTCCTAACCCCCTACCAACCCGCCGGCTCCCTCAGCTCAGCCGGTTGCGGCCTGCTCCATGTCCCCCGGGAGAGCCTTCAGCCACTCTGCCCCCAACCTCTGAAACTCCATCCCCCAATCACTCCGCCTCGCCCCCTCATTAGCCTTCTTGAATTCCCACCTCAAGACCCTCCTCTTCTACCATGCCATTAGCCATTCCCCTTCCCCTCCCCTCACTTCTCGCTCCCTGACCCCAGCTCGGATCTGAAATGCTGTACACTGTCCAGCGCCTTGGGACGTCCTCCCAACGTGAAAGGCACTATACAAATATAATCTTGTTGTTGTTGTATTTTATCCCACTTTAATTCTCATCATTTCATCTGAGTCCTTTCCAGCACATTGTACTATAATACGTTCCCCCTCCACACCCCTACTAAGCTGGGTCATTTATAATAGTAGTAATAATCCTTGCATTTGATATAGCGTCTCATCACGTCTTCGAGACGCCTTAGTATTTCACAGAATATACTGTATTAAAGTGCAGTGACTGCATCGTTTGTGGGTGAAATGTCCACAAAATTAATCCCTAACCTCATTAACCACCGAGTCCTCCAACAAGATGTGTTTGTAAATGCCTAGTTCTTGGCTCGAGCCACTCGGACGTATAGGGCAGCACCACTGAACTCCTGAAAGTCACTTACTTGTCAAAATTACAGCACGGCTTGAACCTATCCACAAGGATCTGCATCTTTTCCACCTCTCCAAAGGACAGGTACGGGATAATCCGGAGCAACCCTTGCAAAACACTAGGATTGGAGCGGACAAAGGTCGAATTGATCTGGTCCAACAACATGACCAGTTGATCTTTATCTCCCGTTAGCAGCAGGTTTCCCTAGCAGCAAAAGGAACAGTGTAAGACATGGGAGTTCATTTCCACAAACCTCTAGTGTTTAGAAAAAAAAGTATGAACTTTAAAGATTCAGGACAATGGAAGACAAGATTTTTCCTGTCAAACTGAATGCTGAGGTCTTGAATGTCACAGCCCTCATCCACTGTCTTCACACAATGGATTGCAGAGTCTGATGTGCCTCAGATACTCACCCTGTCCTCAGTTAGTGGTTCTGCATTCGCTTCATCAAGAATTATTTCCATAATGCTTAGCACTTGCTCAGCAATCGTCGCACCACCACTATCTTTACTCTCTTGCTCCGCCAGCAATGCCTGCAACACAAATATGCTTTAGTGCACAGATTACCTCCTATGTAGCTCATCACAAATAGTATTTCGCAATGTTACATATGGAATAAAAATATAGAATTTTAATAGAAAGAAAACTTGCAGAGGTGGAAATAACATAAGAAATGCTACACAAAAAAAAAAACAATGTCCATCTAGCTCGCCTTCCACCTTCCTGGCGGTCGGTCACATGCTCATATGTCCCGAACTCCCTATGTACTATAATCCCATAATGTTATTTCCTAAAAGAAAATTATCTAATCTGTGTTTGAAGGCATCAGCACTTCCTACGTCAACCGTCTCCCTCGGGAGCCTGTTCCACAGGTTCACTATTACTATTTGGAAATACACAGACAACAAGTCCCACCTGAATCATTACCCAGGGAGCTGCTCAATAATATTAAAAATCCTTGCATTTGATACAGTGGCTTTCACGTTGGGAGAACATTGGAAAGTGCTTCACAGGATGGAAGCAGCTGTGAAGGAAATTTTACTTGGGGGGGGAATTGCCGGCCAGGACATTGGGAGATACTCCCTTGCTCTTTTTGAATAGTGCCATGGAATCTTAATGTCAACTGGAAGAGACAGGTGGGACCTTGGAATGATTTTACAGAAGATCTCTGGATAATGGTAACCAACAACAACAAATTACATTTACACAGCGTCTTTCACATCAAGAGGACGCCCCAAGGCGCTGGACAGTCAGGGATCCTCACCCGAGCTGGTGGTTAGGTTCAGGAGGGTGGAGGCTGGGGAGGATATAGGTAGGAGGGTGACCGAAGGCACAGTCGAAGAGGAGGGTCTTGAGACGGGTCTTGAAGAAGGCAAGGGAGGGAGGGGGCAGAAGACTCACCAGGTTGAGTGTTCCCAACATGACGTTGAGTGGATTCATCTCTGGTTTGATCAGCTGCTGACGGTTCACCTTGACCTTCACACAATAACTGAAGAGTTTCAGCAGCACCTGAGGGGAAGAAAGGACAAAGAAATAACCTTATATGTCAGAATGTTACTGTGTATCAAATTGCAGCAATTACAAGGTTGAATAAAGTGCACTTGATCACTGAAACCCCTTAAAGGGGCTTACGACAAACTATCGGATCAAACAGATGTAAAGCACTTGGGAATTGTTGATTCGTATTAAGTAACGTGTTCAAGTACCCATTCCAGGGGCTTGCGTTCAAAGGTCACATCACAGGAAGCTTCCTATAGAAACACTCCAAACCAACCACTCACACTGAGAAGATGGCGTCCCTGCTTGAAGTCTTTGATTCCGGCCAATCGAGTCAGCATACACTCGAGACCACCGCACTGTGCCATCACCCCGGCCATTTTATACACCTCCTCCTCATCCTCCTCCTCATCTGCAGGGGAAGAGCAGAGCGATTGTCACATGTGTTCTGTAATACTTGAGCAGCCAATGTTGAACAATTCCATTCATAACAATCCTCCCCAACACCTGCTCCTCACGTTGATGGCAATGACTCTTTATTTTTTACCTGTAGTTGAATCTAGGGACTCGATAAATTCCTCTGTTGCATCTCCCAGAAGCCCTCTCATACGGTAGATTATACGCATCGGCTCTCCCTGGGTAAGATTGAAACCAATTTACTGAATAATCCCGAGCAATGTGTGCAAATGTCTCTTCAGCCTGACGGGTTTTAGTTTCTACTCCTGTAGCTCAGCGGTTGGAGCACTCGCCTTGCAAGTGAGAGGACCTGGGCTCGATTCCCAGGCAGTGCGAAACATTGGGCAACTTTCCTTACTCCATACCCTGAGCTGTCCTTTCTCCCCCATATCCGCGCCACAACCGGCACCGCCTTCCATCACCTCCGGAATGTCGCCAGACTACGCCACTACCTCACCCCTCACGCGGCTGAAACCCTGGTCCACGCCTTTATCACCTCAAGGCTGGACTATGGGAACTCTCTCCTCGCGGCCTTCCCGGCCCTCCCTCCACACTGCAGGTCATTCAAACTCTGCAGCTCGTGTACTGTCCCGCACCAGACACCGCGACCACATCACTCCCACCCTCGCTCACCTCCACTGGCTCCCCATCCCCCAGAGGATCGAATTCAAGATCCTCACCCTCACCTACAAGGCCATTCACGGCCTCGCTCCCTCCTATCTCTCCGACCTACTATCCCCCTACCTACTCGCCCGTACCCTCCGTTCCTCTGGCTCCGGTCTGCTCCACATCCCCCGCCCCAACCGCCCTACTATCGGTGGCCGGGCCTTCAGCCTCTCAGCCCCAAGGCTCTGGAACTCTATCCCCCATGAAGTCTCAAGACCTTTCTCTTTGACCGTGCCTTCAGCTCCCCTCTCGACTCTCTACCCCCTCCTCGCTCCCTCCCTCCCCTCCCCTGACCATTCCCCCCTCCTCACTCCCTCCCTTCCCTCACCCTGACCATTTCCCCCTTGCTCGGGTCCTGACCCAACTGTACAGCGCCTTGGGACGTCCTCCCGACGTGAAAGGCGCTCAATAAATGGAATCTTGTTGTTGTTGTTGTTTACGTAGCAGTAAGTAGGAACCCGTTTGTTAATCGATTGGTGAATCACTTTTTCGGGTGTAATAACTTCTTCAAAATAACTAAAATATCGGTTACTCAATCCATGACTGCTTGTAGGACACTGCTGTGCGCAATTAGCTGCCATGTTTTGCCCACAAAATATAGTCAATTCACTTTACAGTATATTCTGTGAAGACTTTGAGAAGTCTTGAAGACATGATAAGGTGCTATATCAAATGCAAAGATTATTATTATTATTACTCACTTCGTTGGCTGGACACCAGACTTTCTTGTACACTTCAGCCACCGGCAAGTCCAAGCTGATAATCTTATTATTAACCAAAAGCTGCGAAGAGAAGCAGATGGTAAATATAACATTCACCCAAAACTCTACAGTTGGTTACTTGCTTTCGACGCAGGTCCTATCAAATTGATCAAAAAATCAAATACTATTTTGCATCTAACTAGTTTCTGGCTTCCATTCTATCATAAGCCAAACATCAGAAATGGCAGGACCATTGGGTCGCGTGATGGAGCTCAGATAGGTAGGCTTGCTTTCTCATTGATTGAGACAATTATTATTACTATTAAGGGAGGGAGCTGCAAACGAGTAAGGGAGGGAGGGAAAAGTTGGTGAAGACTAGCTTCAGATGAGATTGAACAACTGAGTCAGCAGAGGGTGGAAGCATTCTGGGTGTGCGAGTGTGTGTGTGAGTGGCGTGCAGTTATCATCACATTCAGACAATAAATAGGTCCACATTGTCGCTGTTCGCCCAGAGCACTGTGTGAGCACCATTCCCTGCACCATTGCCCTACTCCATGCATTGAGGGTACCTCCATCCCGCTGTCATCCTCTAGCAGTGCCACCAAGTCACAATCCTGGCAGATCTTGTTTTTGATGTCTCTCATGAGTGGACCAATTCCTGGCTCGCTGCTGCTGTATGGATTTCCCGGCATTCTCCCTTGCAGGAAATCCTCTTGTTGTGGATCTTTTTCCAGAGTCACAAAAAATTCTGTCACCTCGTTTTCCTCCTGTCGAGAGAGCAGAGCTCAAATTTATCTCTTATGATCAGCAGGTCACTGGAGTTATTAAGAGTATTGACAATTTGCACCAATTTAAGTAAGGTCAATGATACAAGCTTGAACACATAAAATGGGGCTTGAACTCCCATGAAACCTGGTGGTTGTGAAATGCTAATGAGCTGATGAGCAATATAAATGCTCTCACTGTAGCTGAACTCCAGCACAGGGGTTTGACACAAGATTCACTTGTGGGCTTATTTTCAGTACAAGCGCTCTGGGACATTACCCTGCGTGAGGGACGCTATATAAATGCAAGTTGTTGTTTTTACAGGGGGTTCCATACTCACTGGGTAGATGATGCTGCAGAGTCGTTCAAAGATGAAGACTGGAGTCCTGTAATCATCCAGATTGTAGCGTTTGGCAGTTTCAATGCAAACGGCCATGAAAGCTTTGGTTTCTGATTCAGTTCCTGCAGAGATCAGTGTAGGTTAGCCCCGGACATAGGAATTGTTTTTTTTTAGGAAAAAAGATAGGAATATAAGGAAAGAAGGAAAGATATAGGAAAGTTGTATAGAAAAGAAGACATTGGAGTAAGTATTTGCTGTATCTCAGGTATTGTAATATAATAATTCTTGTATTTGATACAGCGCCTCATCACGTCTTCGAGATGTCTCAAAGTGCTTCACAGAATATACTGTAAAGTGAATTGACTGTATATTTTGTGGACGAAACTGTGTAGCTATATCCAACCTCTTGAAACCCAACATCGAGTCAGTAAATCAACCTGTTCTCCATGTGGGGAATGGGGCCAAGGCTGCAGAGCCCTAACGGATTTTTGGTTGATCATTGAGCAAGAACGTCTTGTTGATTTATATTGAAACACAGCAGCCAATTTGGCACAACAATGTCCCACAAACAGCCATGAAGTGATTGACAAGTTTTATCTGCTGATTATCGGCCAGGACACCAGGAGGAATCCCTTTCTCTTTTCGAATAGCATTGTGGAATCTTTAAAGTCCACCTGAACAGACAGACGGGACCAATCATTTCATCCGAAGGACATGACACAAATACCTGTTACCCAAGAGCACCTGTAATTCCATAACAACGTGACTGGAAAAGGAGCCGAGGAGAACAGGATACAGATGAGAGAACAGTTTTATAACAAAGAAATGTAAGACATTATACACAATACACTTTAGCCACAGTGCGTCCCACACGTTCTCAGGACAATCGGGAACGTAACAGCAGTGTTTTGTTTTGCTAATCGAAACAGGACGAGCATTGGACATATGATCACCTGTCGTCATGTCCTCTAGCATCTCCAGCAGCATGTCCTGTGTTTCATCGATCAGCTTAGTCCGTTGCACCACCAGTTTCCTCAGACACAAGTATCCGTTCAGCACCGTCCCCACCAGCCGGCTCTTAAAGTGACGTTTGATGGATTCGACCTCCACAAAGGATGAAAGCAGCGCTAGGAGAAAGGACCAGAAATACGTGTGTAGGCACAGTGCTCATCAGGCTGTGACCTATTCCTACAATAGCTTACTATGGATACTCTTGACACTAAACTACTGTGCTCCAGCTACAGGTAATTCGGGGTGAAGCTCTGTGTATAAAATACCTGTCAAGCTTTTCAGTGCATATCCTTGCTGCAGGTCTGTGCTCAATGTCGCCTCTTCCAGGGCAAGCAAATGGGCAATTTCCTAAAACACAAATACATTGTTTAGATCAGAGACAAGAGCACCCTGGTCACAGAGCTCCCTCCACTCAGCGGGCTCTGGCCTGCTTCATGTCTCCCACCTTGCCTGCCACACCATTGGCGGGCCTTCAGCCCCCACTCTCGGGAACTCCATCCCAGTCACTCCGCCTCGCCCCCTCCCTCGCCTCCTTCAAAACCCATCTCAAGACTAGACCTTCCTCTTTGACCGTGCCTACGGTCAACCTCCTACCCCTACCCTCCCCAGCCTTCCACCCCTTCTGATCCCAACCACCAGCTTGGGTGAGGATCCCTGACTGTCCAGTGTTTTGGGACGTCTTCCTGATGTGAAACGCGCTGTTTAAATGTTTGTTCAAAAAAAAAATTCCTCCTGTGAATATTCTACTGGATTGAGATAATGAGCAGGAGTCACATGCCTTGGTGATGAGGTTCCCGATGTGGGGCAGGACTCCGCGAGCAGCGAGGTAAATCTTCCACTGAGCAGGTTTGATGAGTTTCTGATAAAGGGAGAGGTATTCCGCAGCACATTCGCCAGCTACGCTCAGTTCGTCCAGGTAACTGAGAATAAAATGCAAAGGTGATTTCTGCTCTGAGCGTTATGTCTGCGCTCATACCATGGCAGCCATGTAGCTGAGAAAACTCCTGTAAGTAAGGGGATTCCCGCAACTCTATCCATCTCCCAGGGTAATTCTGCAATAGACCACCATTAGACTGTACCCAACCCACTAACGTTCAGCTGCTGTGAGTACCTGGTGAGAAGGTCGAGGACCTGCTGCTTGCGGCTGGGGATGGTTGTCAGAGCCTCCACAATGGTGCATGCGGCATGGCGAGCAGCTTGGGTGGCAGGAGTGAACAGAACCTGAGGAACAAACAGTGCTAAATTACTGAGAATACAGATATCACTCAAGCAGTGTGTCACCTACAGCTACTCCAGCAGGCTGGAGGATCATTCTCCCTGCCTGAGGTCACCAGGGCAGTGTGGAGGATGTAACGCACAGTGAAGGCATCGGGACATGCAGTGATGAGGTCTTGAATGCTTTTCTATGAAGCAAGTGAATTATGGCTTTAGGGAAGAGCTCAACTTATTATTTATTACCATTACCTGTCGAAGCCAGTTATTGTGCCCCAGTTTGAGGTCAAGTGGTGCGTTCCTCTTCCCTCGTTTACTGAGGTATTGCTTCCACCTCCATGTGTACTTCTCCATCAGATACAAGCGCCTCAGCTCCATTTTACTTGCTGTTATTCCAGGCGTGTCCAGACCTGAAAAGAGGAAATGCGTGATAACAACACAGACACACAACAACCTTCACTTTGAAGCTAGTATGGACTTGTTAGCATCAACATGACTGAAGGACAGAAATGCTACGACTCGTGGAAAACAAAGCCAAAAAGTTTCTATCACTTCATTCTAAAGGGAGGCCACCGTATCTACACAACACATTGCTAACAAAGCTGTTTTGTTATTGGTTTCAAATTCCAGCTGCTGAAAATCGCTTTCCAGAATACAATTTCTCACTGGTACCACATGCAGTAAAGTCCAACCTGGACCCAATACCTGTAGCTCCTGTAGTTTAGTGGTTAGGGCACGCGCCTTGCAAGAAAGAGGACCCTGGTTTGATTCCCACAAAACTTTGGGCAGTTTCCTTACACCACACACCTCTTTACCTAGCAGTAAGTGGGATCCCGTTATTAGTCAACTGGTGGATCGCTTTTCCGGGGCTAATAGTTTGTTAATTTTAAAAAAAAATTGGTCACTTTATCCACGACTGTTTGTGGGACACTGCTGCGTTTTGCCTACAAAATATACAGTTAATTTACTTTATAGTATATTCTGTGAAGTGCTTTGAGACGTCTCAAAGACGTGATAAGGCACTATATCAAATGCAAGAATTATAACTTCACACACTACTCTGGGGTACACATGCACACAAGATACTGCAGATACAAGAACATTCAAATCTAACACACCCAAAGATAGGAACAGGAGCAAAGCATCAATCGTGAACAAATGCCATAGCTGTACCTCTGGCTGGTAGGCATTTCTTCCATGTCTCATACGATGCCTTAGGGTCTTTCTTAAGCCACGCCTGAGCTTGTGCATGTATCTCATTGCTGTATGGTTTCACTGTGGTGAGTGTGTCAATTGAGATATCCTTCAAAGAACATAAACAAAGTGATAAAATGCCAAAGAAAGTAGTTGCTTGGGCCTCAGACCAAGAGGTATAGAAAGTATGTAGAATATAAAGGATGTATTATATATGTATAGTATATAGAAAGACGCCAACAGCCTGCGAGAGCACGCCTGGGCTGGCTGATGCAGGCACATACCTTGTTCTTCTTGCTGGTTGGGGCAGGTGGTTTAATCAGACGTTGCAGAATACGTAGACACATCAATGTGATGTTCTCCACAACCACCGGAGTCTTAATATTCACAGCCATCAGATACAGACTGAGTGCTAAACAGGGAAAGAAATCTCATCAGTTAAATCTAGGGCACTCTGTGCCTAGCATTTGTAAGAAATATTGTGAATTTCTCTCTCACACCGAGACTCACCACATCTCAGGCGCAGCTCCCAACAAGCATCCTCCTTAGAGATGGAATCAGTCAACAGCAGCATCTCGTACTGAAGGCTGCCAGCCTGCAACACACAGGGGTTCACTGGAGGCAACATTGCAAAATAAATCCAGCCCAAAGCTTGTCTCAAGAGCCCTCACTTCCCCCAGTTTCTCCTCTTCATTTGAGGGCTGGGCTGGTGACCACAGTGGTTGGGGATGGAGGCAGCGCACTCTCTGCCCACTCTCTGGAACTCCATCCCACAGCCCCTCCTCCTCCTTTAAGACCTGTCTCAAGTCCCTCATCTTTGAATGTGCTTTTGGTCATCCTCCTACCCCTACCCTCCACCAATCCTGATCCCAACCACCAGCTCGGGTGCGGATCCGATTGTCCAGCGCCTTGGGACATCCTCCTGACGTGAAAGGCACTGTGTAAATGTAATTTATTATAGTTGCCTCTTTCGAAAGACTAATTTCTCTGCGTGAACCAAGAACAAGTTCCAGCAGGATGTTGTGTGCCTGACGCCAAGCATCGAGCTGTGTATTTCCAGCCTGTGTCTCTGTGAAAGAGGGAGAATCCCAGGCTGATTTTTCACCTCATTAACCCAGGGACACTTTGTTATCCCCATCACTATACAACTCGAGATCTGCATTGATCCCGATTAGCAGCTGTGAACTTTGCCCCAGAGAGTTGTGGAGCTGGAATCAATGTTTAAATGATAGGCAATTTATTTAGGTTGTAGATTTATTCAGGAGGTTGGTGAATGGAAGAGACATTAGGATTGAAAGATCCGTGAAGATCTAATTAAACTGATGGAATAGGCTCAAGGAGCTGAATGGCCTCCTGTTCCTCCTTTCCTAGAAGTTTTCTGTTGTGTACGGCACCAAATGATGCTTTCCTTACTCACCAGATCGGGATTGGCCCAGTGCCCCTTGAGTGCCGTTGAGACCTTAGCGATGATAAGATCGTTCATTTGCTGTGTCGCTTCAGTGTTATCTCTACAATTGCAAAATAAAGTCCCTTCAGTTACTGCAATAACAAGCCTAAACATATGGATCAGTCCATCGTACTCTCACATCTGGGGCAGGAGGTGGTGGTTTATGCCCATTATTATTATTATTTGGGGAATTGAGCTCCCGAGATCTTTAAAGAACAGGAGATGGGACCTTGGTTTAATGTTACATCTGAAGAACTGCAGCTCGGACAATGCAGAGTTCCCCTAGCACTATCCTGAAACCAGGATCAGGAGATATAATCTGTATTCACCTGAAAAACCTTGGTCTTGTCTATCCAGTATTCCTACACCTGGTCTGAATTGAAGCATTTGTGGAATGGTTTTGTAGCAGAGGAGAGAAAACTCTGGGACTCCCACAGATGAAAGACCTGACTGAGTGTCAGCAGAGGGGAATGGGGGGGGGGTTACCTGCTGTATTGACACAAGGCAGCAGGTAGATGATGTTGAACAGACAACACTTGGGAGAGGATTCACTGTGACACACACGTTCACAATGAGGAAGTGTTGCCAACACATAGCAAGAGCAACACCAAGTGGCCAGCAACAGACAGACACTGGCTCCACTATGAGTTAATTTAGACGATAATACTTGGTTAGATATTATCACGAGAGTTTATGCTGGATTATTTAAAACAATCTGGAACACTCAGCAGAGAGGCTTTCGTTTCATTCATCCCAGCGGTGACTACATTTTGCCCACAAACTATACAGTCAATTCACTTTACAGTATATTCTGTGAAGCACTTTGCGACGTCTCAAAGGCGTGATGAGGCACTGTATCAAATGCAAGGATTATTATTAGTTAGGAACTATCTCTCGTTGCACCATAAATCAATGCCGACCAGTTAGCCACAGTATGGCAGCTTCCACCCCTCTATCCTTACCGAGTTAACAGGCACATCAACTGCCTGACCTCCTCTCTCATGGAAGCTGTGCCGCGACGCAGATTGTAGTCAAAGAGCTCGCGGATCAGTCCCTGGGACACCAGGATCTGACGGATGGTGCTGTTGGTGGCCAGGGCTCGAAGCAGAGTGATGCAGTGCTCGGTGACCGCAGAGGCACAGCCGTAGCACTTGGTGGAGGAGGTGTGACCGCAGCCGAGCACAGACAGAGCCCGGTACTGACTTGCGGTCAGCGTGGGCTGCACGTTGGACCGAGAAGATTTGGTCGCGGCCTCTCGCTGTTGGAGATCATATTCGAGCAGCTCCTTTCGTGAAGCCAGGACTTTCTGGAGAGAAAAAGGTGGGAACCGTCAGTCAGGCAAATGGAGCGTCGGAGACCTTCACCCAGAGATGCTTCCAGCGACAATGAAATCCATCTGAAAAAGCCAGTCTTCTATCCGCGCCACCCCCCACCGTCCCCAACCACGGCTTTAAATCAATTGTATTTGTCACCTGAATTATTTTGGACAGCTCATCGAAGGAGGTCTTGCAGTCGCCGCAGTATTCCTGGGCCAGCTGCTGGATGTAGCGGTTCACGCTGACAGCTGTGGAACCGATCCCAGCAGCAGCAGCGGAATCCTCCTGAAAACAAGTCAGAAGTCACCCCATCACTTAGAATAATAATAATAATCCTTGCATTTGATATAGCGCCTGATCATGTCTGCGAGATGTCTCAAAGCGCAGAATCTACTGTAAAATTAATTGACTGTATATTTTGTGGGCAAAAATGATGAATATGCAAGATGTATTTGAAAGGATTCAGGAAGCTACAAATAGAGATAGTGCAACTGCAGGTTCGACTAAGACCTCAGAGGCTGAGATCGACATAAAAATGACACAAAACTGATCCAAATCTCATTCCCTAAACTCACACTGACCAGGGAGAAGCCCTAGCATAAAGGGATCAGCAGCTTTAGTTTGTAATTGGTGACAAATATGGTAAATAAGTATATTGATTGTGACAGACAATTTTTTCTGCAGTGAAATTTAAACAAGTGACTGCTTGCTCTGGGGTAGCAGAGTTACAGTATTTTGAATGTGCTGACGTAGTAACAGGACAATATATTGAACTCTCCATACTTCCCCTGATGCGATGCGATTCCTCACTTCAGTTTCCTGTCCCAACCCAGAAATACCTTCCTCGTACCTGTGGTTTCTCAGGAGCCGCCTCACTGACTTTGACTAGCAGCGTCTCCAGCTGTGGCCGGTGCCCCATCAACTGGTGATAAACACGATCAGCTTTATCCAGCAGCGTGTTAATGTTGGTCACGGCCTGCGTGGGAAAATACAAAGTAAATGGTTAGAAAGCGGTAAACTGTTAAGATACATTTGTCGCATATTTCGAAGACGTGTTGAGGCGCTACATCAAATGTAAGGATTATGATTATGATATTTTGCGGTGCCAGATGTTCATCTAATTACATCTGCACATCAAAGCCTATAATTATACAGCCTCACACACACTACCCCACATCTAACAGAGGCCGAACAACAACCTTTCAGGAATACGCAGCAGGTCAGGCAGCAACTACGGAGCAATGCTGGCTGACCATTTTTCTCTTCATAGATGGTGCCTGACCTGCTGCGTGTTTCCAGCGACTTCTGTTTTTATTTCAGATTTCCAGCATCTGCAGTATTTTGCCATAAGTCATATCTATCAATGGGTCAAGTCCTGTCTCGATTCTGGGACATTAGAGTGTCATACAGCCCTCGTCTCACCTTCTTACGGTCTTCTTCGTTTTCGATGGGATCCACAGCGCAGCAGGGCTTGGCGTACAGCATGAAATCAAAGCGAGCGTATTTACAGAACCCACACGCATTGCACAAGAATGGATCCTTCTCGTCGTAGTTAATAGACCTAAAAAGACAGCAGTTACGTTACCCCAGGTTCACAGGTTAAGAACCATTTTCCCCACAGCTCCAGAGTGGCACTCACCTGCACTTGTGGCACTGATACACGTTCTCTCCACAGTTCCCGCAGACACCAGGATTCGCGGGGACCGAGGCACTGCACCGTGGGCACTGCAGCGTCTCCGTCGAGGCCTGGTAATTCTCATAAAAATCTGAAAACTCAATCATCAGGTTGGATGCGACAATGGGGAGTGGGAGATCGATCTTGACCTCAGTTTGACCAGGCGTCAGCTGCACTTTCTTGGCTTTGTGCCAGCGAGCGGGCCTGGAGGGAGAAAACATCACACGAGTGTGAGGGGCAGATACTCAAGAACATAAGAAGTGCTAGACGAAAAAAGATCAAGGTCCACCCAGTTTGCCTTCCACCCTCCTGGCGGTCGCCTGCACGTATGTCCCAAACTCCCTATGTACCATATCCCATCATGTAATTTCCAAAAAGAAGATCATCTAATCTGTGTTTGAAAGAATCAACACTTTCGGCTTCATTGTCTCCCTAGGGAGCCTGTTCCACAGGTTCACTATTCGCTCGGTGAAATAGTGTTTGCGTAGATTTGCTCTGAATTTACTCCCCCTCTGGTTTTACTATTCTGGACAAGTTGGAACAGCCTGTCATGATCTATATTCTCTCACCCCCTTTAGAATCTTAAAGACATTAATCCCGTCACCTCTCAAACACCAATATAATTCAGTTCAACCACAAATAATGTTTAAACTATTTGGTACATTACTAAACTCCTAACAAATCAGCCACCCTGTTCTTAAGTGCTTCCTGTTCCACCACTGATGGCCACACTTTCAACCACTATGCCCAAAACTCTTGTTCTATCCCTCCGCCTTGCCCCTTCCTTCTCCATCTTCAGGTCATGCCTGAAGACCTTCCTATTCGACCACAGCCACCTCTCCCCTCATCGGTGTCGTGTTCTGCCACTGTCAAGTGCTCTGGGATGCTAGTTGGCATGAGGAGCACTATATAAATACAAATTGTTGTGGTTGACTACTTGCAATTTATGCACGGAATCTGGTGACACAGCCTGATTCTATAATTTACAAACAAATCTCTGAGCCACGTCGCTGGTTCCCGATCAGAGGTAGAGAGCGGGCAAATGGATGAACGCTCAGTGGCGCCGCAGTGGGTGAGGTGCGCAGGACTCACTTGTTTTTGAGCTCCACGATGGCCTGCACCGTCCTGTTGTTGTAGTACAGGTTAATGGTGCGAACCATTTTGGTACGTTTCAAGTCGCCGATCTTCACCGTGACCTTGCTGATGGTGTGGCTGCCGATCAGCTTCACTACCTGCTGTGTGGTTGTGTACCGAGTGTCCACCTTGATCGACGAAAGTTTGATGTTCTGAGAAAAAAAAGTTTTTTTTAAAAAAAGCTAAGCAACGGTCAGCAGCCTGCCACACCGAGCACAGGTGAGGGGAAGAGTAGGGGAACGCAATGTAACCGCTCAACGCACATCACATGGGCTCAGATGCAGCAGTGAGGCAGAGCCCCGAACACTGACAAAACATTTTAAGTTGTGCCCATTTGGGAAGATCACAGGTAACGCTAGGCCCGTTCGAGCACGAACTTTGCCTGAACAGCGCCAGAGCAGTTTCCTCCCTTCGCTCGGTTGCCGAGTAGCCTCCTCCCTTGCTGAATCTTCCTCGAGTCTAAAGTGCATGAGTATCTGCGTTGTCAGCTTTCGACTAGAATAGGTGGTTGGTGACTGTATGAACCTGGTGGAGATCTCTCCCCCAAACAATATAAAAGTACATTCGTTTAGCGTCTTTCACATCGGGAGGACATGGAACATAGCTTATTTACAATGCAATCAAAGGCATCAAACTGGCTTTACAAACAGCAGCGGGTGGCACAGTGGAGGTGATATCACCTTAGAGAACAAACATATAGGGAGGAGAGACGAGCATAAGGTCGGATGAGAATCTTTCACTTTGATCGAAGCATTTGGTACTTACAGAAAACGGCACCTCTGGGTTATTGCACACAAGGCAGGGATCACTCTCCAGGAAATAGCCGTCAAACTCCACCAGTCCAGAAAGCATGCTGGAGACGAGAACAATGTGTCAAGATCAGTCCAAATAAATCAGCATAACGTCTGCTCCCACTAACACACAGTATCATTCTCTCAAATTCATGGGCTCTACAGGAATAAATATGACGCTCTGTGGTAAAAGAGTAACATGGAGTAACATCACTTACTTATAGATGTTGGAGTTGGGATGGTTGGTAAGAATGTGGTTCTGAGTACGAAGAATCTCCACAGCCTTGTGCGAATATTCTTTCAACTGGGACAAGGATAGAAGCAAATATTATTGCAGCCGAGTCTAACGTCTGAATAACAACAAGGAGTCAGGGAGCGCCCTTCATGCAGGTAGCGTCTCGGAATGCTTAACAGCAGCGTAGCTTGAGCTGACCCGGAAAAGTGGGGGGGGGCGGGGAGGAGGAGGTGCCCGAAGCCACCTCAGTGAGGAAAGTCTTTAGGTGTGATTTGAAGATGGGCAAAGAGATGGCAAAACGGAGGAATTGAAGCAGGAATCTCCAGAGATTCGGGGCATAGTGGTTGAAAGCACGACCACCGATTGTGGAGCAGGAGGGATGAGGTACAGGGAGCACATCCTGCCAGCTGAGCAAAGGTGATGGGTAGAGGATGGGGTGTGAGCAGACAAGAGAGATACGGAGGTGCTAGGCCGAGAAGAGATTTAAAAGTGAGAGTATCTTGAAATCAATCTGTTCTGCAATAGGGAGCCAATGGAACCTGACAAGAAATGGGGTGATGGTGGTGCGGAGACCGCTAAGGTGAAGCCATAGGTGGCAGAGATTTGAATCATTTGAACCGTAATAGTGGAGCTGGGGAGAATGCAAGGAGTGCGTTGGAAAAATTGAGGTGGGAGATGACAAAAATATGAATTAGAATTCGGTTCGGTGAGTCTGAGGGACACACAGGGAAGGGCAAGGAGTTTGGGACCATAGTGAGAAGACATTGACAGAAGTCAAGGAGGATGGCTTCCTTGGCTGAACAGAACTCACTGTGAAAACCCCAAACACTTCACCTTTTTCTCTGTCTGTGGGGTTTTCAGTGAGAAGTATCCAAGTAGATCCACAAACTGCGCTGCCTTGCGTCCGTACGCGGGGAGCTCTGGCCAAATGGACCACATCAAGTCCAACAACAGCTCCTGCTGGGATTTTCCAGAACTCCTACATATACCAGACAAACAGGACAATGAGAAACACACAAGACATGCCTGAGCTGTGCAATCACTGTGAGTTTAACCAGCTGTAGGCCTCACCTGTAGATGTGCAGGGTCAGACAGTGAGCTTGCCAGCGCACAGATGAGGAGTTTGATTCCAGGAGGAAACAACGTAAAAACTGGATGAGAGTTTCTTTATCTGCAAACTTATTCAGCTGATTGACCAGAGCTGTGCAGAGCTGATCCTCCTGACTGTTTGCGCTCTCTGCCAGAATTAAAGGAGATAAGAAATACATTATCGGCACACAATTAAACCACTGAAGGTCTATAATCCAATTACTCCGAATGGCACCATTCCCAACTTTGAGCCTCGGTATCAAAACAGATAAGATAAGATAGCACAGGCCATAAAACCTGCGCTAGTGACGATTATTATTCTTATTTACTTAAATATTGGATGCATATTCCCTGTTGTTGTGGGTTGGAGCAGTGCAAAGTATTGAGAAGCTTAGCACCCCTTACAACTAGCGACAGGACAGTGGACTCTCCTCACCTGCCCATTAGCAGATTGTCGCTGCAGGAAGCAAGGTATCAATGGTTCCGCTAGTTGCAGCTAATGAAATATCCCAAAAGAACATCTGACATTGTAACATGACCAACTCTGCAATTCATGTGCAGTTAATATCCAATTATTTCCATTTCTTTCCCTAGGATTTCCTCAAAGTTACCCATTTTCTGAAGGTTTAGCATTTCCAAAGGATCTCAAACCTCTTTTATCTTGCGTCACACTTCAGTTATATATAATTTTTAAACACATATGTTTATCTACACATGATCAGTGTGTATGTTTTGGTATGTAACCAGTGAATATGTGAAGTATCGGGTACTCAAATGGTGGGTGTGCTTTTCTTCACCTACCTTCCTTCTCCCTCTCGCGATCCTCTTTCTTGCTCTTTTTGCTGGAAGACTTCGACTGAGAGACAGACTGGCCGGTGCTGGAGGCAGTGGGTCCTGCCCCTGTGCCACTTGTGTTGCTGGATGATGTGGCAGCGAGAACCTTACTCCCACACAGGGCACAGGACAGCAGCTGGAGCAGAACTGGGGACACTCCCTCATCCACAAGGAAACTCACTTGGAGCAAGAAATACAGAACAGCTGGGGAGGAGAGAAAGGCGTCAGAGAGCAACACAATGAGATATTGATTGAATTCTTAACGCAGGAAGTTTAAAATTGGAAAATAACATTTAAAAGGTAAAAACTTGTTACAAACATTACAAAATTCCATGAATGAAGAGGATGGACAGAGGATTTGGGGAGTTTACTGAAGGCTGAGAGCTAAATTTCCCCCCCGCGCTCCCCCACCCCCAGGTCGATCATCCTATTAAACATCCCACAAAACTATTGGGATGTTTAATAGGATGATAGACTGAGAGGTTACAGAACTGAGAGGTTACACCTGTCAGGAGAGGCTGAACACGCCTGGTCTATTTTCTCTTGAAAAGAGGAGGGTAAGGGGTGACCTGATAGAGGTCGTTAAAATTATGAAAGGTTTTGATAGGATAGACATAGGGAAGGTGTTTCCACTTGTGGGGGAGACCAAAACCAGGGGCCATCAATATAAAATAGTCACAAATAGATCAAATAGGGAAGTTAGAAGAAATGTTTTCACACGGAGAGTAGTGGGAATGTGGAACATGTCCACCACAAGGAGTTGTTGAGGCAAATAGCATTGATGTATTTAAGGGAAAGCCAGAGAGGTACGTGAGGGAGAAAGAAATAGAAGGTTATGCTTGAAGGCTTAGTTGAGGAAGGACAGGAGGAGGCTCATGTGAAGCATAACTAACTCGAGATCACAGATTCAAAATAGTCTCTAAAAGAAGCCGAGGGGAGGTGAGAAGACATTCTTTCACGCAACGAGTTGTTCGTATCTGGAACGATTGCCTGAAAGGGCGGTCGAGGCCGATTCGATAACTACTTTTAAAAACGCGGTGGATGGGTATTTGAGGAGGACGGGTCTGCGGGTTATGGGGAAAGGGCTGGGGAGTGGGATTGACATTACATTGCTCTATTCAAAGAGCCGCACAGACTCGATGGGCCAAATGGCCTCTTTTTGTGCTGTACGATTCTATGATAAACACCAGCATAGACCAGTTGGGCCGAATAGCCTGTTTCTGTGCTGTATTCTAATGCACTCTAAGGTATTCTATTGGCTGCTACGGTTTGCCTACAAAAATACAATCACTGTAATTCCTGCGAAGTGTTTTCAAGCTGTTCTACATTCAGAAGATTGGTTTATTGATATCCAGCAGCAACAGCAGGAATACTTACAATCGTCCTTGAGACAGAACTTCTGCCAGTTGATGGTCCGCTGGCTTGCAATCTCTGCACAGGCCTTTAAATGTTCCATCTGCAACAACCAAGTGTCAAGCTCAGCCCACAACAGCATAATAGCAACCTCAAAATCAGCTGTGGCACAGACAACGACAAACTATATTGTCAGACAGAGCTAAAGCACAAGTTAGAAACAAACTGAAGGATAAAGATCATACATAAACCCCATCACCATGATCTTAACATTAACAATTCAAACAGCGTTGGAGATAATAATAATCCTTGCATTTGAAATAGAGCCTTATCACGTCCTTGAGACGTCTCAAAGCGCTTCACAGAATATAATGTAAAGTGAATTGATTGTATATTTTGTGGGCAAAACACGGCAGCCAATTGCGCACAGCAGTTTTCCACAAACAGTAACGGATTGAGTGATCAAACTATTATTATTTATTTTTGAAGGGATTATTATCGCTGGAAAAATTATCTGCCAATCGACTAAAAACCGGGTTCCTACTTACTGCTAGGTAAACAGAGGAGTGTGGAGTAAGGCAAACTTGCCCAACATTTTGCCCTGCTGGGAATCAAACCCAAGTCCTCTCACTTGCGAGGCAAGTGCTCTAACCACTGAGCCACAGGATTCCACATGAGATGTTAAAACTTTATCATTATCATTTCCTCTTCATTACAGAGCGACCAATGGTGGGATGTGCCAAGACAGGCCTACAGGGTGTTATACTTAATAATAATAATCCTTACATTTGATATAGTGCCTTATCACGTTGTTGAGACATCTCAAAGTCCTTCACAATATACTGTGTTCCATATACAGAATATACTGTAAAGTGAATTGACTGTATATTGTATGGGCGAAACACAGCTGCACTCACCAGGCTAATCAATGTGTCGTACTGGAGGGCAGACCCTGATGTTGCCGTCACCACAACCCCTCGCAGGAAGATTCCCTGCTCCTCCAGCAGCCGTTTAATCCCTCGCACGTGTGAGTCTAGCGTGTGCAAGTCACGCAGCTGCCGGTACTTCTCCTTCGATCCACAGATGAACAGCAGAAGCTTCCGAACTTGCCGACGAACAAAGGGAGTCTGCTGGATCATCAGATACTGGAACGAGCAGAACATGACCGTTAGAGAAGTGGCCCAACACCATACCATCCCTCTCACTGAGACGGACACACACGCACACACACCCCCCGACGATATGTTGCACAACTGTGAACCTCTCACCTCCGAGAGGAAATAGAACCAGGAGTGGTCAAAGATGGGTGGTGGAATTCGCGTGTTGGCGTCTGCGATTTTCTTGATCTGGTAAGGTAATCGCAGGACCATCTCCGTCAGGAGCTGCGAATACGCCTCGAATACATCAGCAGCATGTCCCTGCAAGCCAGCCACACAGGAGAAAGACTCAGTGTTAAACTCGCAAGATTTCATATGGTCAATACTCTCTCCAAATTTACAACCCCTCTCCGGCCCCTTGCCTCACACTCGGGCCTTTACCTTCACATACTGCCGCAAGAAGAACGGGCTCATATCTGGTGGAGACGACGAGGTATGTGGTTTCAGCAGTTGACTGGTTGTTACAGCCTCCTCCTCCCCCTGCTGCATTTTCCAATAATCCAGCAGCGATTTAAGGACATGAAGACAATAGTCAATGGCTCCCGAACTTAACAGAGCGGTGGCTGTTGCGTTGGAGATCAACGAGGAGGACTGATGGAAGAACAAAACTACAATCAGTTGCTTGGTCCATAGCAAACACCAAGGTGCATCTCTGCCTAGGAGAGCACAAGTAAATGCTGTAGTGAAACAATCTCTGAACTATGGATTTGGGCAAAAGCAACAACCTACCTCAGAGGCAGATTTGGAACCAGATTTAGTTCGAGACATGAAGACGCTGAGAAGCCTCATAATCACCAGATGCACCTCGTTGAGTGGATTGCGATCATTTTTTTTGGAGACATCCTAGTCAGGAACAGGAGGATTTAGAATATTAATCCCGAAACGTGCAACAGTTTATTTCAGCATTACTGTTGTGCTAAAGAAATTATAACTCTATCACACAGTGCCATCTCTCAGCTGATGTGCAGAGTTGCAAAGTCGATGGCACCCAAGCTTGGAACACACTTTGTGTCAGTTTCCTGCCATTTCTAAGGTGGTAATGAAGCGGAATGGTGTGTTTGCTCCTCGCTGAGACACGTGTCATATTCTTGACAAAAGGTTGTGATAGAATGCTGGCAGAAAGAAAGAAAACAGTTGCATTGGGTCGCAAAATGCCGCTACCTTCTTGTCCATGCCCAGCTCTGCAATGAACTGGGACAGCAGGTTATCCAAGGCCCCTTTATCCTTCTCATCTTCTCCATCCAGGTCAGCAGTCAGCATTAAGATGACCTGTTAGATGTAAGAGAACAGATAGACATCATTGGCCCCATGACCACCTCTCTTCCTCTCTCCCGAACCCACCCCCTCCCCCCACACCACCACCCCGGGGTTTAATTCTATGAACATTCCTGCGTCTGCTTCAGTAAGAAGGCGAGGTCTGTGGGGGGAGCTGGTTCTCACCTGCATGTAGGGGATGGCACGGACACCTCCCACGTGCCGCAGCTGTGGCAGATGTTGTAAGAGCCTCTCAAGCAGCATCAGATGCACCGTGTGGAGCCTGTGGCAGGAGCAGAGTTAATGATCCACAATCAGAGCCCTATTAATAACTTGCTATTAATTTCCCCCACAAAAATATACAGTCACTACACTTTACGGTATATCCTGTGAAGCGCTTTGAGACGTCTCGAAGATGAGATAAGGCGTTATATCAAATGCAAGAATTATTATTATTATTAATTCTGCTTTGATTTGAAGTGTAAAATCTCAGCCTTACACTGAAACTCACCTATTACTGGTATGGAGGTCACTCTCAGTCTCTGCTTCTCCCTCAGAGCCCTCCCCTTCCTGCTGCCCTGTGGTGGTGCTGATGGCTCCCGTGCTGGAGCTGACACTGCCAGGACCAGCAGGATGTCCCTCTGCTGTCGTATCTCCATAGGCACTGCTGCGCCCAGACACTGGGGAAACAAAGGCCATTGAACCATAGATTCTTCTGTGCTGAAGGATTGATCCATGCTCTGCTACAGATTTATCTATCCCCCATCCCCCCCACAACTGGCCTACACACACGTGGACACACATACACAATACACAACAACTTGCATTTATTTAGCACCCTTCACGTGGTGTCGCATCCCGGAGCGCTTCAGTGGTGAGTCTGACAATGAGCCAAGGGGATAGGGAGGGGCGAGGTGACTGTAAGCATGATCAAAAAGGAAGGTCTTTAGGCGGGATTTGAAGGTGAGGAGGGAGGGTGCAAGGCAGAGGAACAGGGAACACACACACTATGTACTTTAAGTCAGTTTCTCACCGCTGTGCTCTCCAGCGACTGATCAACAGCACTGCCCCCGCTCTCTGAGCCCACACTGCCTCCATGCTCAGCAGGTGATGTGCGCAGTGTTGATCCGTCTGTTGCTGCTGTGCTTCCTTCATCATCAGAGGCTGGAGCTAAAAGCATAAGAACGTCTGTTACAGGAAGACACTGTCCCTGCACTGGAACAAGGCAACTGAACCAGATATGCGCACATCACACACTGGGGGCAGTTTGGGCAGCATTGCTACTGTTGTTTAAAGGCTGACATGTTGAAATTGGAAACCAGAAAGGCTCTGGCTCCTGATGGTATCTATTGGAAAAATCTCTATCCAATTCTGAATTGTATTTATTGGCATAATCTTTAATTGCACTGAAGCCATTATGTATAAAAGGGCTTGAATTCCCCACATCCCTAAACATCACATCACATAAACACGCCTCCATTAACCTAGCAGTAAGTCGGATCTCCCAGTTGTTAGTCGATTGATGGATCGCTTTTCCGGGGATAATAATCCCTTAAAAAACTAATATAATTTAGTCACTCAATCCACGGCTGTTTGTGGGACACTGTTGTGTGCGATTGGCTGCCGAGCTTCACCCACAAAATATACAGTTAATTCACTTTACAGTATATTCTGTGAAGTGCTTTGAGACGCTTTGAAGACGTGATAAAGCGCGATATCAAATGAAAGGATTATTGTGCCTGTTAATCTCCTTTACTATTTGACGCCTGAAGTGACAACAGAACACTGTTGTCCTCCTCTCCTACCACACGTGGTGAGTACAGTTACCTGAGGCTGTGGTATCAGATAGTGTTCCTGCGTCGAGGGAGGAGGAGCTGGGAGCTTGGCCGGACAGGCCCAGGCTCTGCAGGCCCAGCGCACTGCTGCTGCTGCCTGTGGGAGAGAACTCAGCATCAGCAACACATGCAGATCAGTGACTACCAACGTACGGTTTCTGCTGAGCTCAATCAAACCAGCTTCTCCCATAATAAGCAAAACCATATCCAGACACGAGTGAGAGACATTGGAATGGTTATCAATGTAGAAGTAACCAACAATTTGCATTTACACAGCGCCTTTCATGTCAGGAGGACGTCCCAAGGCGCTGGACAGTCAGGGATCCGCACCCGAGCTGGTGGTTGGGATCAGGAGTGGTGGAGGGTGGGAAGGGTAGGGTGGGTAGGAAGGTGGCCGAAAGCAGAGTCGAAGAGGAGGTTCTTGAGACGGGTCTTGAAGGAGGCAAAGGAGGGGATGAGGCGGAGTGACTGTGGGTGGGGGCAGAGAGGCTGAAAGCCCACCTGCCAGCCAATGGTGCAGGAAAGGCAGGGGACGTGAAGAAGCTCTGTAGGAGCAAGGCTCTGGGTACCTTGCTGATCTTGCTGCAAGCTCAGAGCGATGGCCAGCTCCACCATGGTCTCATCATCGGCATCGGGTGGGATGTCCAGCATCGGGGGGAAGCCCTCTGCCCCGGCCAGCAGAGCCTCCAGCGGAGACGGGTTCCCATTGGTCACATTTTCAGCCGATTCCAAAACCATTGACTCTGACTGGAAAACACAACAATGGCGACTGACTGTGTGGCCCCCAGTGAAACACAGGAAAACAGGACAAGGCCATTCAGCCCATCAAGCTTGCTCCTCCAGATTATTAGATGTTAGCCAATCTGTTAATCCCAATGGTATTCTCCTGTCACCAGACATCTTGAACACCTCTACTGTGTCTCCCTGAATAAGGAGGCAACACTTCCGTTAAACAATTTATCGAAAGGACAATCCAGTAGTCCCTAGTACTGCTCCAACATTCAACTTACATGGGTTTGAGCCCTCACTGGATGGATAGTAGGTTCCCTGTGAGCTTCCTGGTGGCAACACAGCTCAGCATGAAATGTCTGACAGCATTGTCAGCATCTTCCTGTCCGCAGCTCAAGCACATGTCCCTTCCCATTGAGCAATGGTTCCACCAATTGAAGGTGCGGAGTTTAAGAAGCAAATACCAACAAACTCACCACCATCTCGAAGTCCCCATGGTCCACCTCGCTCTGCTCCTGGCGAATGCTTTCATTGCCGGTCATCCCAGATGGCTGCATTTTGTCATCTGCGTCATCATCATCCTCGTCATCTTTGTCTCCTGAGGACACATGGGAACGACACGTCAGAACAGCCCCACACCCGCTGACTGATCACCACACTGCTGCCCTCATTGTGCTCTAGGCAATATGCACACAAAACAATCCTCTAACAAAGATTGTCTACGTGAATATCTAATAATAATAATCCTTGATGTAATGCCTTCAAGACGTCTCAAAGCGCTTCACAGAATATACTGTAAAGTGAATTGACTGTATATTTTGTGGGTGAAATATACCAGCCAATTGCGCACAGCAATATCACATAAACAGTCTTGGATTAAGTGACTAATTATTATTATTTTTTAAGGAATTATTACCCCGGAAAAACGATCTGCAAATCAACTAACAACCGGATTCCTACTTACTGATGGGTAAACATAGGCGTGTGGAGTAAGGAAACTTGCCCGACGTTTCGCCCTGCTCTGAACTGAATGCAGGTCCTCTCGCTTGCGAGGCGAGAGCTCTGAACACTAAGCTACACGACTCTAACAACGATGGTCTATGTGAATGTGACACGGTGGCTGGTGTCTGTGTGGTGCTGATGGAGACTGTGCCGGCTCCTTACCCATTGGCGTGTTGCTGCGAGGTGGTGACGGCAGTGTCACGTGGCGGCGCTTGCTGCGAGGTCTCAGGACACGGATCAGTGCCTGCTTACACGCAAAACTCACGGACTGATCCTGGGAAAAGCGGACAGTACGTAAGAACATGCTCACTGAACCATACACAGATTCTTGCCACAGATCAACCCGGGGAGAAAAACAGAGAATCATTTTACAATATAACGTAAATCTGGTTCCGTAAAATTTTGTAATAATTTTGTAATAAGTCAGTAAATAAATGACCAGTTACTGCCTTCCCTTAGACACAGAGCACTTACAGGACATAGCAGCATCTGCATGTAAACCTTCGCTGCACCATTGATGTAGTCCAACTCACAGGTGCAGTATCCGTGAATAATGTCCACTAGTGCATTTACTGTTGCCTCAATGTGGGTCAGACCTGGGAGCAGTGAGATACCAACTGTTATAACAACAACAAGCATTTATAAAGCGCCTTTCACACGAGGTAGCTTCCTGCAGCGCTTTTGTTCAAACGATAATAATAATCTTGCATTTGATACAGCAGCTTATCACGTCTTCAAGACTTCTCAAAGCGCTTCACAGAATATACTGTAAAGTGGAGTGACTATTTTGTGGGCAAAACGCGGCAGCCAATGGTGCCCAATACAACCATTGTATTGTTTCTGCAAATGTTTCATGGCCTATAGAAACCTGACGCCAGCAAAGCACAGACAGGAACGTAGCAAATATTCCCCAACACACACAACGATAATACTACTTTACCTTACGCGATATTTATTATCAATCTTGTGCTAAGGACATCGTAAGCAGCATCTGACTAGTGACAACTGCCTTCTGATTCATGGCAACATACTAGTTGTGGAAAAAAAAGTCCTGTGGAGTCCTGTAGCTCAGTGGTTAGAGCACTCGCTTTGCAAGTGAGAGACCTGAGTTCAATTCCAGGCAGAGGGCGAAACCTTGGGCAAGTTTCCTTACTCCACACAGAGCCTAATAATAATCCCTCCAAAACCAAAAACAATAATAAATTGGTCATTTTCAATCTACGACTGTTTGTGGGACATTGCTGTGCGCAATTGGCTGCTGCGTTCGCCCACAAATATACAGTCAATTCACTTTACAGTGTGTTCTGTGAAGCGCTTTGGGACGTCCTCCCGACGTGAAAAGCACAATATCAAATGCAAGGATTATTATTAATGTCTCTCGCAAGAGAACATTAAAAATGATTCATTCCAATAAATCCTCTACATTTAAAACCAATTAAATAAAAGCTTCAAAACCTGGAAAGCCTGTTCTAGGTCTTTGTCCACATGTGATTAAACACAGCAGTGAAGCGCCCGCCTTGTCTCACCTGGCAGACAAGCTGGAGCCAGGAAAGCGTTCTTGGGTTTGGAAGCGTGGAGCCTCCAGAAATGAGCGACTAACTGAGTGATAAAACTGCAACCTTCGGCTTCTGCACTCTTCTGAGCTGGTTCTTTACTTTCATCGACTACTTCTGGTAAAACAGAAAGAAATTGGCAAATTAACACCAGTGGGAAAGCCTTGTCTGCTGTAAGCGGGGCTCACAGCACAGTGATATGGGTACAAGTCTCACCTAGTTCGGAGTGCGGCACTTTAGCTTCGGTAAAATGTACCAAGTTATTGGGTCGCATCATTGCGATCGAGCGTGCGGTAATCACCAGGCGTTGGAACACTTCTGGGTCAAGGTCCCGACCCTCCTTATTACAGGTGTTGAGAATCTGCACAGCATTACTCAGCAACGCTTGATCCTAAGTTTTAAAAAAAACTCTTGAAAAAAATCTTTTTATAGATATTGTCCCAATTATTCACAGCAACAAAAACTAATTATATTTACAAAGCGCTTTTCACATCAGCAGGACGCCCAAGGCGCTGGACAGGCGGGGATCTGCATGTGAGCTGGTTGTTTGGGATCAGGAGGGGTGGAGGGTGGGGAGGGTAGAGGTAGGAGGGTGCCCGAAGGTACGTCTGAAGAGGAGGATCTTGAGGGTCTTGAAGGAGGTAGGGGAGGAAGCGAAGCGGAGGGACTGTGGAATAGAGTTCCAGAGGGTGGGGCAGAGAGGCTGAAGGCCCACCCGCCAATGGTAGGCATAATTTCAACATAATCCCTCCACCGTACGCACTCTATGTGCACCGTGTGTCGCCATGCATCACCTTGTGCACAGAGATTGGCTGTGTAGCTACCTTGTGATTGTGATAACCCCCACGGCTGGTGTGCAGACTGGCCAGCAGCCCTTTGGTTTGCTGCTGAACGCTGGATGGAGTCGGCATTGACAGCAGGAGGGTGGCCAGCTCGAGGGCTGTCTGTTTGTTCTTCTCCTGCAGGAGAAACGAGGACCAGTCAGTGAGATGACAACAATAACTTGCAGTTATGTAGCGTCCTTCACGCAGGGTAGTGTCCCGGAGCGATTAGAGTGAGACATCATCACACTCACCCCTCGTTACTGAAGCTAAACCCAACATGCTCAATCCTCCCAGCACTACCAGTGACATACATACACTCTTAGCGTAAGAGATTTACCTTTTCAGTTGAAGACCCAACAGCAAAGCAACTTTCCAGCACCTCCATGGAGCTCACCACCAGCCTGAAGGAGGGAGAAGTATTCCATTACCCACCGGTATAGGGGAGAAGCCTCTTATTAATAAATGGATCAAAGTAGTTTGATACAGCACGAAGCCAGAGGCATTATCTTTAAATTGCACTTTGTTTTAAAAGTTTACCCGGCAATGAAATACACTGTTACAGAGCTGCCCATCCAACAAAAGACCAATTCTCAGCAAAATTAATTCGGAGGATGTTTCTTGCTAAACATGTACTAGGACCAGCCACATCACACTGACAGCAGCAGGGAGTGAGCCAACACTCGAATAATGGGATCAAATCAGATTTGGACACACGAGTTTAACTCTATTCTTACAATAATGTAGAATTCCTGAATTAAATGTGTTGATGTGTGTTCAAACCAGCTGTATGGATAATCTTGCAGTTTAATGCTTTTCTTTCAAAAATTGAAAAATTCTGCTAATTCTAAATATTCTCATCATGTTTTGGTCTGAATTATATCATCTGACTGTAGAAAAAGAATCTTAATGTCGGACCACAATATATCTTAATATACAAAAAGCATGGGACATTACTGTGTGCAATCGGCTACTGCGTTTCGCCCACAAAATATACAGTCACTACACTTTATAGTATATTCTGTGAAGCGCTTTGAGACGGCTCAACGACGTGATAAGGCGCTATATCAAATGCAAGGATTATTATTATTATAAGCACAATTTAATGCAAATCACAACAAATATGTTTTAGAAAAGTTAAAGACAGCGAATAATATCCTGCAGCAAAAGGAGGAGCAGACAACACTGACTGAACGTGCAGTCACAAACATTCACCAATGCAAAGGATGTTTGCTAAAGGCAGATTCTGGGTATTATGAAGCAAAAATGCTGACATTCAGAATGTAAAAGACCTTAATATTCAGAGCACAGGGACACCAAGACATCAAGTCCAAAAACAGAAATAATGACTAAACACACACACTATTTTTAATAAAAGAATTAACGACTTGATGCTTATCTTTCAGAAATGTACATCCCGAAAAGCCTCCTAAATATAGGAAGAAATCTTATTGGCCATTTTAGAAATGGATTGCAAAGTCATCAATTCAATGTTGAGAAAGAGGTTCACTTTCCTGTCTGGCTAGATTTCGTTCACAAAAATCACAGTCACTCCGCTTTACAGTATATTCCATGAAGTGCTTTGAGATGTTTTGATGACGTGATAAGGAGCTAAATCAAATACAGGGATTATTATATTAAACCTAGGTTCCAAAGTTAAAAAAATACACTGCTCTCTCCTAAAGTGTCACCCAATCCTTTTTGCAAGGACTTTTTTTAAAAAACTAAAATAGTACTTCCTCTATGTTTCAGCAACGAGAATGATGAAATATATAAGTGCAGAAATCTTCCCTAATGAAGTCTCCGCAACCCTGACCTTTTCATTGCACTGAAAACTTTTGCACTCAGATGAAATATTCACCTAAAAGTCTTCATTATATAAATAATTGCAGTTAAATATTCAAGTAAATAATTTCCTTCAAGTAGCAGAGTCTGTGCACCAGGACCATAGCCACTGGCACAAATACCAAGCTATCTACATGAGGTCACTGGGACAAACTTTACATGGATAGCAAACAGCATATTTTAAATGCAACATTTATTTAGATTTGTGCTTATTAACTGGTTGTTAGTCGATAGGCAGATCACTTTTCTGGGGTTAATAATCCCTTCCAAAAAAGAAATAATAATAATAATTTGGACACTCAATCCATGACTGTTTGTGAGACACCGCTGTGTGCAATTGGCTGCTGCCTTTCACCCACAAAATATAGTCAATTCACTTTACAGTATATTCTGTGAAGTGCGTTGAGACGTCTCGAAGACGTGGTAAGGCACTATATCAAATGCAACGATTATTATTGTTGTGCCCGAGGAGAAAAATCGCAGACTGAGGATGGAGGAGAAAAATGAGAATCGGAGAAAAACACTTGTAAATGTGATGGAATCCTGACATTATAATGTACCCTCTTTTCTGTGTCAAGACTCACTTCCTTTCAGTAACAATGTCAAGGAACCACATTATGTAACTCAAAAAGGAAACCAAAAGCAAAAGTGAAGTGTGTGCAAAACTACAAGTGACAGCGCCTTGAAACTAACAATTTCTGCTCGCCATCTCATTAAAACATTTGACAATTTCTATTCACAACCTTTATCACTCTCCTACTTCTACCATCTCCGCGCTCCATCCCTCCTGATCCCAACCACCAGCTTGGGCGCGGAGACATCCCTGACATCCTCTTGACATGAAAGGCGCTATACAAATGTAATTTTGTTGTTGTTTTTCAACTGCACTAGTGATTGAGGCTGCAGGAATTCGGTTTGGATACTCTTACGCAATACAATTGGACCTCGAGTTCAGATAACATGAAAGTTTGCAAAGCTCAATCTCGTCATTACATCCTCGCCATTCGTCTGTATAGAGCTTCAACACGTCCCAATTCGTTCTGAAGGTGATTGGCAAAATAATCCTAATGTGAACGGCTACGCAGAGGAACACACACGTCTAGAGCTTTAAACAGCAGAGGCAGAATCATGCAGCGTTCATGTCCGTCAGTCAAGCGCTCTGGGATGCTACCCTGCATGAGGGGCGCTTATATAAATGCAAGTTGTTGGTTTTGTCAGCTACCGACAGTGACACCAACCAGGTAACATACACTGCTGCTTTGCCAGGTATTTGCCCACAGATTGGATTCACTGGATCCAAGACGTGATATTTATTTCCAACGATATTCTGGGAAGAACTTTTCAGAATCAAAATGTAATCATACAGCAAGTAAAGCCACAGACACAAAAGACACAAAAAGAGCAGCATAAAGAGATACTAACCGGTCTAAGGAGTTTAGGGACTCAGTCTCACAACTTTCATGGAACAATAGAAAAGAAAACCACGTGAGAATTTTTAAAAGATTAAAGTCAAACGTTTCATCATTTTAGAAAAAGAAACTAAGAGAAGATGAGCAGCCAGACATGCAGAAACTGCACGCAGAGAGTGGCAGGAGGCATGCAGAGAGTTTGCTGTCAAACATCTGACTGTAAGCACAGCCTAGGCTCTTGGTGCAGGAATGGGGAGCCTAGTTGGAGATGTTTTTGCATCCAGATGATACAATCTGTCACAGTGACCGAATGAGCACGATGAATGTTTCTACAAATGGCACATGGTGTGTGAGCCCAGAGAAACCAAGTGACGATTTGGGTTTAAATGGGAAAACACAATCAGATTTAAGCAGCCGAGGGCGGATTCCATTTCAAGCAAAATATCTGCTACAGCTTCACGCCCGTTTGTTTTTTGATGGGAAAATCCAGCAGCAAATGGAAGATATCCTGACTGTTCCACCAACCTCCCAAGAAATAAGCAAACTCCGTCAGGATCGAGGGCCACAGTGGCGAAGCCTCAAGTTATTCAAAATAAATCTACCCATGAACTGGACATGTTGGCAGAACAGGCTCGAGGGGCTGAATGGCCTATAACCTGCCCCTACGTTCACTGCTCTCATTTCAGCTGTGCAATCAGCCTGCTCCCCATTCTCCCACTAACATGTAAATAAATCTACAGACTTTTTGCTGATCTCGTTCGGTTGCTGATTATCAACGTCAGTGTATAAGCAGCAAAGATGGTATAGTTTTCGCTGTCTCAGCACCTCTGTGAGATCTGAACAGTTTCCATTTTTTTTAAAATCGAAAATTTGTCAAATTCTCTCGAAATATTGTAGATAAAACAGAACATACAGAATGCTTTACTGAAGAAAGTCGTATCCAGAACCTATACCTTTAAAGCTTGCGCTAGCAGGTGAGAGACACCCAGTCCTCACATTTACCCAATTGACAACTGCCTTTGGTTCATTGGACAGAATAAAAACGCTTTTCTGTCTAAATCTGCACACTTCCCACAAAGACTAGCTGGGCCGAATGGGCTGTTTCTGTGTTGGATCATCACTCTGTGTAACATCTGTCACAGGCTTCCTGATAGTTTCAGAAAATGCATAGATTCGCAGCCAATGAGCAGGCCCTAAGCTCTGGGCACAAGGGTTGCTCAGGCTGCAATGACAAGCGGTCGCTTATGGCTCAGCAACAATAGACACAGATAATCTGCCTTTGCGGGTTCTGGTATTAGAACAAATGCCCGGGGAAGAATAAACGTTTCCCGTGTCCTATTGCTCCTAAATTTATCACCTTGTTCCGTTCCGCTCACAAAATATACAGTCATTTCACTTTATAGTATATCCTGTGAAGCGCTTTGAGACGTCTCGAAGACGTGATAAGGCGCCATATCAAATGCGAGGATTATTATTATTTTCCACCCGTTACAAGGTCCAATGCCCAGGATACAATTTATAGGAAAAGTTATGTGAATGGGAATGCTGAAAACTCCACGCCCGCCATTGTGCATTTGTTCCCGATCCCTTGAGTTGCGTCGAGGAACGTCCTCAGAAATACATAAACCAATACCTCTCCAAGACGGAGCCGCTGGTGGAAGATGGAGCCACGGAGTCGGCCTCTCCGGCTGTGCTGCTCTGGTTCAGACTCGGAGCACACACATTGTTCACTGACGCTGTTGGAAAGTCCTCTGGTGGTTCGTCCGGCCAACCAAACTGTTCCTTTGTTTTTCCGTAGATTTTTACTGAATCGACCATTGTGACGCCAGCGGGATCCACAGAGGCACCAACTGCGAATGGGAGGAAGAGAGATATTGCAAGCGCTGGACAGGACAATGCGTGAGGAGCGCTGTAGCAACGCGACCTGTTGTTGTTGTGGATCTACACTAACTCTGCATGATGATGGCGTTCCTGCACCGTGGGGTGGCCGGATGCTCAAGGCCCACCTCCGCTTCCACGCGGAGATTCCCGATAGAGGTCAGGCTGAAGGGAGCATCTTAGCAACGACAACTTGCATTTATCAGCGCCCTTCACACAGGGGTTGGTTCCCAGGGCGGATATTGGAGCATCTTACATTACAAAGTGAGGCGTGATGAAGTAGGTGGATACTTAAAGAGATGCCCTGTTCGCAGGAAGGCATTCTCAAGCCCTACATTTCCTGCTGCTGGTATTCACTTACCAAAAATAGTTAGTTTCTTGTCAGCCTGTAGCGCCTCTTCACGTGTAAATGGGCAGTCAAACCAACGAGCTCTTGTTAGGTTTAACTGCATTGTGCGACCAAAGATCTCAATGTACGATGGAGCTCTTTCAATGGCCTGTGTCCCAATCTGGATCCGCATGCCAGTCATCACCATGGTACTGTTATTGTTGGCTGCCTCCACAGTGAACCCACCCGGCTGAAAGTAAACACACAAAACCTCAGCCACATTCACATCAAACCCACGATTGGAGAAGTATCCATCTCCAAACGCCTTCCATAGTAATTCTGATCGCCACAAAGAGACCGACACTTTATAGGAAGGGAAGCCAGGAATCTTTGATCAAGGAGCTCAATGCCAAGCGCAGCCAAAAGAAAACAGCACCATTATCCCAATAAGCTGAACCATAAATCTTACAGCTCCGCAAACTACTCAATTCATCAGCCTAATAAGCCACAGGAAAAACTTCCTATAAACATGCTTCCCATTTGAATAGCAATGCCTGCAATATATTATTAGCATTACACAACCAAAGCAGCAATTCACTCTCTGACACCCTGTAGTACAGTGATCACCAACAGACCATTTCAGAAACATAACACTGTCAAGTGTCAGGATTGAACCACAGGAGCGACAGGCACCTCAGGGCGTGTATGTACCTTGGTGCTGGCCACGTACATGCCAGTGGAGTTGAGCCGGTGTTTGATCTGCTGCATGTTGTACACCTGGAGCAGGTCGTTGCCCCCAAATTCAACGTCAGTCAATTGTTGGTTGTGTTCAAAGAAATCAATTGGAAACGTGACCTGACTGGAAGTGCGTGTTGCTATGAACAGAAGAGACGAAACAGGCTGAGATCTGAGTAAGGCATTGCTTACCATTAACCATCTTAAAACCCAACTTAAAAACACAAGAATTGGCTAACAGACATGTAAGAGCAGGGCAGAGAAAACACATACTGGGCGCTGAACCCCCAATCAGTGTTAACAATATGTGGTGCATTAGCACGGAGGCAGCGTTAGTTAGTGAAGGTCCCCTTGCGTCCTGCTTACTGGTGGCTGCAGCTTTGCGCTTGCGGACTGGCTTCAGGATGCTGATGACGCTGCTGGGCTGCAGTGACGGCTGGAGCCAGTAGGACGTGTTCTCCACGTTTGCCATGTAGATGCGAAGGCTGCCGTCCTCGCACAGTAAGATCATGGTTGTTCTCTGCTGATCATTGCTGGCTGTGTGACGGATTGCCACCATGTCCTGGATCTGAAACATGCAAAGAGAAATAACATGGGAATTAGCAAACAAAATCCATCTACCTACCCAGTTCCTGTTATATTACTTAATAATCCTTGCATTTAATCTTGTGCTTTATCACGTCTTTGAAATGTCTCAAAGCGCTTCATTGAATATATTGCAAAGTGCAGTGACTGTGTATTTTGTGGTCAAAACCCGGCGCATAGCAGTGTCCGACAAACAGTTATGGATAGAGTGACCAAATTTTTATTATTTATACTGTGATGCTTTCTGCACTGAAGGCATTCAGGGTTAAATCACTGATGGAGAATGAATACGTTTCCCACAATGTTGAATCTTTATGTTCCCAAGAAAGACACTGACCTTGGCTTTGGCTGGCAGTGTTTTGATCTCCTGGATCAGGAAGGTATCTGGCTTGACCATGATGACGAGTGGGATTCCAGTGGTCTGTTGGACACAGCAGACCAGACCAGGATGGTTCATCACCTCTGACCACTGGCACAGAGCAGGCACGGCTTTCCCACTGCCTCCGTTAGAACTACGGGAATGCAATCATCACCATGAACATACATGCACCGGCAACAATGCACAGCCAGACAGCAGCAGCCTTCACAACAAGCAACATGTTTAATCCTGCAAGCTCCCAAGTACTATTTCCATGACTGTGGCTCAGTCATGCTGTAGTACATTCTTTCCCACTGAGTGATTCAATAACAAACAACAAATTGCATTTGTCGTGCCTTTCACATCAGGAGGTGCTGGATTGATGAGGGTTTGTACCTGGGCTGGGGGTTCGGAAGGGGCCAAGGGGAACAGGGGTGGGAAGATGATTGAAGGCGTTGTCAAAGAGAAAGGTCTTGAGATGGACCTCGAAGGAGATGAGGGAAGCGGCGGGGCAAAGGGACTCCGTGATGGTGTTCCAGAAAGTGGGGCAGAAAGGCTGTTTGTGTCATTACTCTCTCTCTGCCGTTTGTGTCGTTACTCTCTCTCTCTCTCCCTGCCATTTGTGCCGTTACTCTCCCTCCCTCTCTGCCATTTGTGTTGTTACTCTCTCTCTCTCTGCTGTGTCATTACTCTCTCTCTGCCGTTTTGTGTAGTTACTCTCTCTCTCTCTGCTGTTTGTGTCGTTAACTCTCACTCTCTCTGCCATTTGTGTAATTACTCTCGCTCTGTGCCATTTACCTTTTCAGGTTGATTGGGAAGAGACGTTGCACCTCGAGTGTGCTGCGACTCAGCATGGCAGCGAAAGACTTGCCCTGACTGTAACTAAAAAACAGCATCTGCAGCACGTGTGAGTAATACACCGAAACCCCACCGCCGGCCACCTGGCCATTACTGTCCTGTAGAGAGAGAGAGAGAGAGAGAGAACCGTCATTTGATTATTCATGAAGAATGATGACATTAGTTCATCATGAACAGCATTCAGAGCAGGAAACAAAACACCTGCTAATAGGGACAACCCGTATCTCACAGACCTTCAGGTCCTCGTGTGTGATCTCCAGGACATTAGTTACATAGAAGGGTCCGTGCTGGGCACTGCTCGCTTCCTCCATCACTTGGGTGTAGATGTAACCAGCCGAGGACATGATCACAATGATGCTCTTCCCTTCTTCATTGAACAGGAACGTGGTGTCACGAATCTTCGAGCTCGGCAAGAGGAAATAGTACATGGGACTGAGGGCATCAGCTGAGAGATCGTACACCTAAAGGAGCGGGGCATAAAATCGGAGGAATATTACAAATGGCTTTGTATCTTGTGTAACTGTGGTCACCCTCCTACCCCTAACCTTCCTTGCCCTGCACCCCTCCTGATCCCAACCACCAGCTCGAGTGCGGATCCCTGATTGTCCAGCGCCTTGGGACGTCTTCCTGACATGAAAGGCGCTGAACAAATGTAAACTGTTGTATCTGCTAAAACTGTTCTGAGGTAATTCCTACATTTGCACTTTTAAAGAAGTTGAATCTAACGTTAGAATTTTCACAGTGACTTTTACACAAGTGAAATGTGTGAATCATAAGCTCGAACACCAGGGATCAAAGAACATTTAATACATCAGCACACAAAGTGTTACAGTGGTGGCCAAGGTCCTGACATGGTCACTGGCAGGTGAGCAGGGATGGGCAAGAAATTGCAGTGAGTTTCCCGCTGGATGCAAGAGACTGAAAGTGTCAAAATTTCTCCTCAGCACTGATATTCTTCAGGTAACAACAATACTCATTACGTTTACCTAAACTATAAACTGAGACAATTTTCACATTAATGGGTTAGCCTCAACAACAACAACTTATACTTATATAACACCCTCTACATGAGTTAGCGTCCCGGAGCGCTTCATGGTGACGGAGTCTGACACCGAGCCTCAAAACTCTTTGTACAGCTTTGGTTGCAATGGAGTTTCGAAACCGAACAAAACACTACATTCTTCTACTGAATTTACCTTAACAAAGTCTGCGGTGATGATGGCAAGTTCTGTCTGGGAACCCGGCAGCCAGATTGCTTTAATAATGAAGTTACCAGTGGCAAGTTGCGGATGAAGGACCAGGTGATCAGAGACAGACCCTGAGCTGCTGAACGTGAGGACGTGACAGTCCTAGGGAGAGACACACGGGTACATTAGCAAGGCCCATAAGTCTGTCAAGGACTAACTTTGGCATCAGGGCAGGAGCTGGTTTAAACATGGGAGAGCACAAACTACGCACCCCGAGTGGAGGGATATTAACCCGACTATCTTCACGCACTTTATGTTGACCATTTCACGTTCAGCTGGAGGAAGAGCAATGCACATGGAGATAATGATCATCTCCCACCCAGCATGTTGTGTTTGGAGGCAACGAGTAAAGTTGGGATCTGTTCCTTGTAACAGTACCTCCCATGTAACAGGCACACCACAGCTGAGCCCAGTTTGCCTACACTTCTCAGCAAGTGCTACTGGCAAGGCCTCTGTATAACTCCGAGACCGAGGTTAGTCACAGAGTCACTCCCGTGAGCCCAGCTCAAAACAATTGGCAGGAAACGAGGCCTTACCTTGAGACCACACACAGCGAGATAATCCTCATTGCAAGGGTTCCCGGTCAGACTCAGGACAGTGAAGGGAACGGGTGCAGAAGCTAGCCGAGTCAGGGTTAGTTTGCGTTTGCTGGAGTCGGCCTGTTTCAGTAATGCCGAGAGTTGTAGCACTGTGATCTGCAACAAGAAAACAGGAAAGTCATAATTCACTGATAAGATAGTCGTACAATCTTCTAAATTGCTGCTCATTCTGTATCACGAACATGACGGGCTGAAACACACCTTTCCTTTCTCGTGGCTCACAGCCAGGTGCTGCCGCCGCCCGTGGGGTGAGGAGAGGACACACATGGCGACCCTGCGCAGCACGTGGGCGCTGATCAGCTGGCGGATTGTCTGCCCTTGGTCTCCGCTGTAGTTCATTCTAACGTTCTCAAAGGCCCCCTCCTGGGAGCCCAGCGTTGGAACCTACATAAGCAAACACGTTCAGTTAAATGTTACAGAGCAACTAAGATCAACTCAGTAATCAAAAGATCAGAGAACCAGACCCAATAAAATAAGTTCATTTGAATTGACCCAGATTTTGTAAAAAAAAACCCTGTACAAAAAAAAGTGCACAAGAGTTCTAAATGTGGCAATTATTGAGTTGCTGTTGTACTCCTCGTCCTGCACATTAACTGTAAAGCGCTGCTAGCTGTGAATTTTCACAATGACATACTTTGTTTTAGCCGGACGCACAGCACTGCAGGCTATTGCCGCAGCACAGTGACACACAGGGTGGACGCGTCCGGCTCCTAGAATATCAGAAGACGAGCAATAACGTGAAGCATTAATCCGCACGTTAGAACTACGCTTGCAAGTACTTGTAACTTCAATGGCTGTACTTTACCAAAGATTTTCTAACCCTTTAACATTACTTCCCAGGACGTACCATCAGTTGGTCGGTCATTTCCACCGCCTTCTCCATCGTGTGCAGGTTGTTAAGCGCTTGCTGTGCTCGACTGCTGCTGCCAACGGCGGATGCCTGCTGGAAGTTTGTCTGAATCGCGTCCATCAGGAAGTTCAGCATATCAATGACTAAGCCAGCAGTGGAGGAACCAGACTGGGAGAGGAAGAACAAAACAACAAGAGCACAATTGGTCGGAGAGCAAGAAGAGACACAAACATACAGAACAGCAACACTACAAATAGGGAACTCTCACTGAGTGCTCAGTGACGGGGATGGATATACAATACAAAATTACAATTCCACATGTCGGGAGGACGCAATTCATTGACTCACCACTTGACTCTGCAGTTCCTCCCTGCAGCCCTCGATCTGCTTACACATGGTGCTTTTTTTGGGTTTGTCATCGTCACAAATCTTGCCGTCGCTGCCGATGGTCTTGGCCTTGTCGGCAGGAGAGGTGCTCTGGTTCCGCAGCGCGCTCTCGGGCACGCGAGGCTCGCTCTGGAAAGCCGAGGATTCCTTCATCGTGGAGCTGATCCCACTGCTCGGGCTGCGTTTCACTAACGCCTACAAGACAGAGAACAACAATGCAATGTCCCTTCAACTCTACACAACAACAACTTACATTTATTATAGTGCCCCTCACGCAGGGTAGAGTCCCAGAGCGGCTCCGAAACACAAGGGCGTCTGGAGTCTCCTCTCCTGGAACTTACAGTGCAGGTTTCTCCATGTTGCATGGATGAACATTATTCATACAATAATAATCCTTGCATTTGATATAGCGCCTTATCACGCCTTCGAGATGTCTCAAAGCGCTTCACAGAATAAAGTGTAATGTGTATATTTTGGCTGTATATTTTGTGTGCGAAACACAGCAGCCAATTGCACGTAGCAGTGTCCCACAAGCAGTTGTGGATTGAGTGACCAATTTTTTTTATTAATTGGTTAAATTATTATTCATGTTAAATTGTTTCTTTTTAAGAAGCTAGAATTTGATTATAAATTCTTAATTCTACACAATGTCTGCTGCCTTGCCATAAACACTCCTCACTCATGTCAGAAACACGTCTACAAAATAGATTTAAAAAATGTATGCTAATACGCAAATTAGTAAAATTGAGCTGATTGGGCTGTAGGGCCAACAGATGCTGACATCAGTCACAGCAAAGCAAGTCTCCAGCGAAGTCCGGCTGTCCATAGAGCTGCGGAAGCCAACGTGGCCGTTACTTGTGCAGTCTGGCTGATCGGGATGTCACATACCTGACAAGTGCCGTCTTCCTTTGCCCCACAATCACAGAAGAACGATCCATACTTGGCGTAAGAAATCTCATGGTCCTTGTGACAGACTTTAGCACAAATGGTGCAAACGCCAACCCCGTCAACCATTTTACACGTGTGACAGTGATACCTGAAACACATTCAGATTCTCAACAAGGGAAAAATAATCAGTTTAATAACAATCCTTGAATTTGCTAGGATTAATATCTGAGACATCGAGCGAATTGGGACGATGATGATGGAAGGGCGTGAGGTTTTTGCTATAGGGCTATCCTGACAGATGACAACGGAGTTCACTTCAAACTACAGAATGAAATGCTGTGCTCACCAGTGCTGGTTCATGAATTCCTTCTGTGTAATGGTGAATGTACAGAGCTTGTTGCACAAGGAGTCTTCATCCTAGGAGCAAACACAGTTGCACTCATTACAGTGTGTTAGCAACAACAACCGTGGATGTCACTGGACTGAAAATCCAGTGACATCCACCGTTTTGGTTTACGTATGTAAAAAAACAAAGTGATGCTTATAATGAAAATAATAAATAATCCTTGCATTTGATATAGCGCCTGATCATGTCCTCGAGATGTCTCATATTTTGTGGGCTAAACATACTGACCGAATCCTCAGCCTGGGAGTCTTCCTCTTCCACAGCCAGATCCTCCACCCAGTCTGAATCCACCTCAATCGCTCGTTCCTCCCCATCCACCAGTAGGTGTGTGGATCCCTGGCCAGTACTCAGTCTCAGGGCGTTCATTACGTCAGCAAGATAGGTCATGATGTGGCAGGTGCAGTCTAGCATTCCCACGTGCTGCAAGGCAGAGTGAAACCTGACATTGTTCCCTCGGTAACAATCAACAATCACAGAGAAGTGAACATGAGATAAATTATTATAAGAATAATAATCCTTGCATTTGACACCGCGACTTATCACGTTGTTGAGACGTCTCAAAGCCCTTCACACAAAATACTGTAAAGTGTAGTGACTGTGTATTTTATGGGTGAATTAATGGGTTCTGAAAAGGGAGCTGGGTTTAAGAACGAGCCACATGGCATATCCCATGTGCCTACCCCAGGATTCCCCTCTCAGGGAACATAGGAGCAGGAGTAATATCATTCAGCCCCTCGAGCCTGTCCCGCCATGCATAAGATCATGGCTGATCTGTACCTCAACTCCAATTACCCGCCGTTGCTCCATATCCCTTGATACCCTGACCTAGCAAACCTCTATCCACCTCGGTCTTCACTCACCTTGCCCTGTGTCACGTTGGCACCCACCTTCTCCAGCACATTCTTCTGGGAGAGGTACTTCTTACTGAGGAACAGAAACCAATGTTACAATCAAAAGACTCTTCAAGTGTAAAAATTAACTAAATTAACTAAAACTAAAGTAAATAAATGTAATGTAAAGCCTTCAAGAGATTGGGGATAAACCAACATCCGAAGTTCTCAAAACATTTGGAAATAATCTGCACCCACCAGAGAACACCAACCCCTCTTTCTGCGGTTCAACAACAACTTCTTGGGAGTTCCAGAGGGCGGGGGCAGAGAGGCTGAAGGCCTGCCTGCCAATATAGCAGCCCCCATGAAGGGCAGCGACCCACAGCGCCCACACACTGTAATTGGTTGGCGGCCACTCGCACACTCACCATTTGCAGAGCCAGTCCACGGCTGCCCGGTGAAGCTGAAGGTGCCCAGCGCCTTGACCAGAGCTGGCCAGTGTTGCCATGACAACCATCAATTCCGGGAAGCCTGTTCCGTCACCGTTAGCTAACATGTCTGTTGCCATAGGGATAAGTGTGTTCAGTAACACGGTGCAGACTCCTTCTCCGACTTGGCTGAAGAGGAGAGAAGAACAGATGATTAGGATGGCCTCACACTTGCAGCTCAGAACTTTGCAATTCTCAAACATAAAGTCGGTCACCGGCAGCGGTAATAATAATAATCCTTGCAGTTGAATATAGCGCCTTATCATGTCTTTGAGACGTCTCAAAGCGCTTCACAGACGATATTGTAAAGTGAATTGACTGGATATCTTGAGGGCAAAACGCGGCAGCCAATTGCGCACAGCAGCGTCCCACAAACAGTCGTAGATTCAATCAGCAACTTATGATTGAGAGATCCAGGAAGTAATTGGAGGAAATTCTTGCTCTCGTATAAAACATACATCGACTGTCGGAAAACACAATGTCCTTCTTAAATTTTTTTCTAAAATTGCAAAGAATTCCTCTTTTCACAACAATAATAATAATAATCCTGGCATTTGATATAGCATCTTTTCACATCTTCAGGACGTCTCAAAGCGCTTCACAGAATTTACTGCGAAGTGTAGTGACTGTATATTTTGTGGGGCAAACGTGGCAGCCAATTGTGCGCAGCAGCGTCCCACAAACAGTCGTGAAATTGGGTGACCAATTTATTATTACTCCCCCACGGACACCCTTAAAGATTCCCAGCTGCCGGCTCACAAACCTGTTCTCTCGCACAATGCAGGCAGTCAGGATCTGCAGCAGTTGCCTGTTGTCCTGCACCACATCCAGCTGATCGGAGTCTTTGGGAGGAGCGTGGGTCATCCTTGTGAGCCAGGCGTTTAAGCGCCCGTGTTCTACACCGGTGAGCTGGCTAAACGAGCCACATAATCTCAGGAGACTTGGGTTTGGGCTTTTCTCCGCTGCAACAAGAGTCAGTTTGTAGGCTTGAGTCTCTACACTGAAGTGCATTTCAGCACTCACAGCTTTTACCATTGCTAGTCAGACAGGAATGGGCTGAATGGCCACCTTCTCCTTCTGTGCTGCAAATTTCTATTGTTTCATTTGCAGCACAGGAAAAATATTCAAACTGCTCAGTAGCCTCGTTTTTGTTATCGTCCTGTTTCTTCTAAACTACCCTACAGCTCTGAGGGATAACAGCCGACAACCCCCCTCCCACCAACACAGTCACCCTCCCTCAACTGCCCCCATCCCCCACACAACACTCCTCTCCCACCTTGACAGAGCGCACCCTCCCACCCCAACACAGCGCCCCCTGATGCCCGTCATACATCGCAGTAACATGACGGAAACATGTGGCTACTCACCCAGCTGGAAAAGTTTGGTAAAAAACTTCAACACTCGGTTACAGAATTTAGCTGAAAGGTTCTCATTGGCTGTCGCCATCATGATCTGGACTAGCTCCCCCCTGCAACCAAGAGAGAAAATGCCATCAGCACATTACACGTGTAAAGCGCCTTTCACATCGGGAGGACGTCCCAACAGACTGTCCAGTCAGTCAGCCACAGCCGAGTAACTACACACAGTCACATAGGTTTACTAACAGATAATTGAGTATGTTAAAAGAATAAACAAGAATCACAAAGAAAGATAGTGGTCTCTGGTTCCCTCTGTTCCTGGGTCTTTTATGAACTAGAATCACACAACACAGCACCGCGGAGACTAACCACACAATCAGCGTCTCACCTACCGATCAGAGAAGAACTCCTCCATGGCTTTGCGAGCTTGGCTGCTCTCCAGCTGCTTCTCCAAATACTGCAAACACTCCTCCAGGATGGCCTCGTCAAGCCCGCTGTGGGAGTACATCAGACACTGGGTGAAGCACTGCCATTCTCACACACACACTCCCATAACATTTTCCCAACACACAGGGCTTCAGGCAGAAACATCCATAAAGTCTGAGTATAAATTCACCAGAGTATTATTTAAATCCTTTAAAAATATTAAAAAAAAATAAAAAAAAAAAAAAAAAAAAAAAATATTCTTAACTGTTTTTTTCAATTGCTACAAATAGTCATTCACTTTACATGTTTTACCTTTCCACATGAACCTTCAGCAAACCCCCCCCCCCCCCCCCCCCCCCCCCCCCCCCCCCCCCCCCCCCCCCCCGGCCCTATAATCTTGTTTTTTTTTTTACATATTTCACAACTGCAAGCTTCACAAAATAGCAGTGAAGCGATTCCTTAGAGTTACTGGATCAGATCCAATATAAATGGAGAGGCTGTGGCTAGGAGGGGGGTGCAATCCTGGGAATTCCAATCTCAGGATCTCATGTGCTAATTCTGATCCCAAAATCCCAGGATTCTCTTGTATAAATATCAGGAGCCGAGCCAGAGTGGGTTCCCTGCTTGGCTGCTCCATGAGGATGAACCGGCCTGTAAACATCCGGGCAACCTACTCTCCGTGCCCTTCTCCTGCAGCCACTGCTGCACCCGAGTCCAAGGTGCTGTGTGGAGAATGACCACAGACATCCTGGATGGGGTAAAATTTAGCATCTCGAGATCCCGGGATTTGAGGTATACCAAAATCTTGGGATTCAGAATTGCAAGCCCTATAGAGGCCCTGGTACTGTGCTGCTGCTCACAAACAGTAAAACCTGGTGCATTCCTCCTGCAGCAGTCACAGCCTCTCAACCTCCCCCCAAACCAGCACTGATCTGGCACCACGCTTCACAACTAAATTTGCAGGAATCAGGACTGTCCAGTAAGTCCACTGATTAATCTCACGGTGACATACAAAAATACTTACACTGTAAATACAGAAATAGTTCTTTACTATGAATATTTTAGAATGTTAAAGTGCTTCATTAGTGATGGCTTTGCCAGTGGTTCCCTGTATGAACCAGAATGTGTATTTACCTGTATGCGGCAGAGTGTGTATTTATTTACCTGTGTGAGCTGGAGTGCTTAGCGATGATGTTATAGCAGCTGGTAATGAGTCGCTCGTAGACACAGGAAAGAAACTCGTCGGACTCTGCAGGGCCCAGGATCCGCTCCAATGAGGTGGAGCTGATTTCAGACACGTTCTCCGTGCTCGTCTCCAGAAGCAGCGGCAGCAACGTGCGGATCAGCTGTGGATGGTTCTGTTCATCTGGACACCAACTGGAACAAAATTGGGCACAAATGAACAGTACAATATTTATATAGGGCCTTTCACATCAGGAGAACGTCCCAAGGCACTGGACAGTCAGAGATTTGGACCCAAGCAGGGAGGCGGGGGGAGGTTGGGTTGGGCTCAGGCAGGGGTGGAAGGTAGGGGTGTTGGAGGTTGTCCGAAGGTGCTGTTGAAGAGTAGGGTCTTGAGATGTGAGATTGAGTTACAAAGGGTGGGGGCAGAGAGGCTGAAGGCGCGACCTCCGATGGTGTGGTGGGGCGGGGCCAGGCCTGCTGAGTGGAGGGAACGGACAATGCAATAACCAAACATTTTGTTTACAGGGGCAGTTCCTCACAAAAGCTTCCAGAGACTATGGGAGAGAGAGGAGGAAACAGAGAGATGGTAAGAGAACAATGAAGAGCGGGAACAAAAGCCGCGTTGAAGAACAAGTGTCTATGCGTAGGTGTTGACGTGACAGAGACAGACCCTGGAATAAGAATAAGAAAAACAATCCCATAAAGTGGGCTGGGCTATAGGGAGCCCAAACGAGGCATGGATATCAGAAAGGAATTGAAGAGAACTAATACATTATTGAAAGGGCCGTGCACAACAGCAGTGAGCCCCGGGGCTTCTGATCCCAGCCACGCAGTACAGAATGCCCCATTAAAGGCCATTCATGTACCTCCTAATGGACAACCACATGCAGAGGAAGGGTATTAGAAGGCATGAGAAAAGAGTAGGGATTAGGATGGATGACTAACACTGATAAATGGTCTCCTGCTGTGACGTATGTTTCTACCATTCGATGGTGAGATATTAAATGTCTCCGTCAACAAAACCACAAGTCTGAAGATCGGAAGAAATTAATTCCGGTCTTAATCTGGCTAAGAGGTTCAGATACACTCACAGCACCCGGCCAATAAGAGAGGGAAAGCCTCAACCCGATAATAATAATAATCTCAAAGCGCTTCACAGAATATACGTTAAAGTGAATTGATTGTATATTTTGTGGGCGATACATGGCAGCCAATTGCCCTGCCTGGAAATCCAACCCAGCTCCTCTCGCTTGCCAGGCTGGTGCCCTCACCACTTAGCTACAGGACTCCACAGTCGTAAGTTGCATTAGCTCAAATGTTATTGAGTGACTTACACAATGAGGTCACCGCTGAGCCGGACCAAGGAGAGCAGGATGTGTTTGAGGGAGGCAGCGAGGGGCAGGCTCTGACTGCACAAGGTGCCCAGGTGAGCGGCTTGAATGGCACTGATGTAGCTCTCTGCGGGAATCGTGTCATTTGCAAACGCATTTCGCTGCCGGAGACAAATACACAAATTGACATGAAGCAAGAACATACAGTGTGCTGTGGCTGTGTGGCAGTTACCCTTTTTTTTAAAAACTAAAAGCTATTTTACAAGATTCATTTTAATTTGAAAAAAATACGTAAAAGGCTTCAAACTGGCCTCAGATTGAATTAACTCCAGGGTTACTTGAATACAATAATGAAACAGTGCAACAACAACAACAACTTGGATTTATATAGCGCCCTCCACACCGGATGGCGTCTCAGAGCGCTTCACAGTAACGGATCCCGGGACCAAACCAGGGGGAGGGGGAGGAAGGTGACGAAAGACGCAGTCCAAAAGAAAGGTCTTCAGCAGAGACCTGAAAATAAGAAGGGAGGGAGCGAGGCGAAGGGAGTGAGGAAGGGAGTTCCAGAGCCTCAGGGCACAGTGTCCGAAGGCACGGCCGCCGAGGGTGGAGCAGAGGACTCACGCGACGAGGAGGAGGCCAGACCTGTTAACTAAATGAACAGAAACAGGGCCCAAGAGGAGAGAGACAGCTGCCCTTGTTATTCCAAAATAAAACCAGTTGTAAATGACATGAACAAGTTGTCACTTACCCAAGATCCGATGTTGGGGAACTCGTTGGTGTGGATGTTGTTCCAGGAGTCACACAGGGTCTGCACTGCTGTGGGCAGGTTCTGTACCACCAGCTGGGCTGTAAACACAAGCAGATCACAACAATGAGCACAGCCATATACCAGCAGAAAAGGCCAGTCACGAGAGGCAGCCAGCAGACACCAGGGCCACAACACAGCCATAGCAATGTATACCCAGAGCTTGGCCATCTGGTCCCAGCACTGGGCAGCCTAAGGCCACAATAATAATATTGTTGATCAACGGCCCAGCCATCGATACAGAAAGATATAACAGTTGTCACCAACACTGGAGAAACAGCCCAGAGATACTGATACGAGTGTCATGTTCATTAGGCAGCTGTAGAAGTGGTCGCCCCACCCAGCGAGGACACAACAGCACCGCTATCTTCACATTTCACACATTTCTCTATTGTTCTTGCTGCTAGTAAACAACAAGTTGTCTAAGGCACACAATCAACTGGTCACAACCCTCCATTAAATGTCAGCTCTTACCAACAGAGTTGCTCTTGCAGCGACTGGAGGCCACGGCAAGCACGGCAGCAAAGCCCTGCAGCTTCTCCTCAGTGGGACTCTCAGTGGAACCTTCCTCACACAGGCTCCTCAGCAGGTAGGACCTAATCACACCATTCAGGATACGCAAGACAACAAGTGAGAACAGACTCTTCCTCAAAAGCCATCAGACCTATTCTGAGGAATAACACTACAACGACTGAGGTTAAGCCTGGCCATGCTGCACACAACAGAGCTCACAAAAAGTCTTGTGACCCCGACAATTAAATGTCACTTTGACAAGAGTTCAAATCCACATAAATGTAAATAACAACGCTGGGGGAGGGGAATATATAATATATGATATATATAATCCTTGCATTTGATATAGCGCCTTATCATGTCTCAAAGCGTTTCACAGAATATACTGTAAAGTGAATTAACTATATTTTGTGGAGATATAAAAGGAGAAAGATGCCATAACATTATCCTCCATTAATCATCCAACTGAGTGCAGCATTCAGATGATTAGTCAACCAGTCTCTGCTGAGAATGTAAACAATAAGCGTTTGCGCCTCAAATGGTTTCCCCCCCAATGGTACCTGGCGAATGCTGCATAAGTGTCGATCAGCTGCAACGTGGCTGGAAGCAGGTTCTTTGTGATCTCAGCCGTTTTGTGACTATCACTTTCTGACACCACTTTGGAGAAGTATTCATCCAGAGACACCTGCACCTTTGAGATGACTGCATCAAGCGTGTATACGGTCTGCAGGTTGGGGAGTCGGTGCAGGGGGAGGATTGCAGTTGCGTCAATCCCACAAAAGGAAGAAATCTGAACAGAACAGAATCACATTAATGTTCTGTCGTGTGAGGAGCTGTATCACCTAGTCACAAGTCGCTTACTGTAATAGTGCAAGCCCTCAATAGAAATACCATTTCACCCAACTCCCATCAAGACAGCAAAGCAACACTTATCCTCACCTGTCTGGCCATATACTCCTCTGCGAGCTCTACATCGTACTTCACAGAACTGCACCTGTTGACGGCCAGCTGCACGAGGGAGCCAGCATGTTCTGGCTTCATCCCCTGACTCACCAGGTGGCCCTGCAGCAATACATGAACAAAATCCCTCAGTCAAACCAACTGCAAATCTCCACACAGACCTCAATCACCATGCATATTATCCTCTTCGCTTCACGTAAGGCATTTTTTGTCAGCACATCAGCTTTAGTTGTACGAATTGGCTAAATATTAAAGACAACTGTGGAGTCCTGTAGCTCAGTGGTTAGAGCACTCGCTTTGCAAGCGAGAGACCTGAGTTCAATTCCAGGCAGTGCGAAACTTTGGGCAAGTTTCCTTACTCCACACACCTTATAATAATCCCTCCAAAAAAACAAAAACAATAATAAATTGGTCATTTTCAATCTACGACTGTTTGTGGGACGCTGCTGTGCGCAATTGGCTGCCGCGTTCGCCCACAAATATACAGTCAATTCACTTTACAGTATACTCTGTGAAGCGGTTTGGGACGTCTAGAAGATGCGAAAAGCGCTATATCAAATGCAAGGATTATTATTATTATAACTGCAACACCTTGCAATTATATAGCGCACCCCCATGCAGGGTAGCGTCCCAGAGCACATGGATCATTATGATTATCCGTGGTTCCCCTATTCTCGGAGTCTGCAAAGTCCTACCTTGATCCAGGTGACAAAGGAGCTGATGCGTAGCCGGGAGGACCAGCGTAGGGTGTGCAGGATATCACATTTACTCAGTTCAGGCGCATCCATCCCCAGCTGGTTCAGGTAGGCTTTGGATGGTGGCACAATGCCAAGAATTCTCCACAAGATCAGGAAATAGTATTGCACGGAACATGCCTCCTGAGGGTGAAACAGAAGTGAGAAAACAGTCAGAAACCAGAGCGAGGAGAAACCTGAATTAAGACTGAAACTAGAACCACAGGCCAAAGTCAGCCACAGAACTCTCACTCTCCCCACACCCACAAAAAAAATCTGGTTAATAACAACAACGTGCACTTAAATAGCGCCATCCACAAAGGATGGCGTCTCAGAGCACTTAACAGTGGGGGAGCCTGACTCCAACCTGGGGGGGTGGGGGGGAGTTGTGGCCGTAAGCACGGTCGAAGAGGAAAGTTTTCAGGCGGAATTTGAAAGAGGGGAGACAGGGGGCAATGCGGAGGGATTGAGGGAGAGTGTTCCAGAGTTAGACAAAACAACAAATGACATTTACACAGCGTCTTTCACGTTGGGAGGATATCCCAAGGCGCTGGACAATCAGGATTTGGACCCGAGCAAGGGGTTGGGATCAAGAGGGCAGGAGGGTGGCCGAAGGCACAGTTGAAGAGGAGGGTCTTGAGACTTGCCTCGAAGGAGGCAAGAGAGGGAGTGAGGGGAAGGGACTGTGGGATGGAGTTCCAAATCTTAGTTTATAAAATTCCCCCAAACGAACGGTATCTATTTCCCGATGTTCCAAGCATGAACTACAGTCCAAATAACTATTCGAGGCTGTGTCCTTCACTTATTCTGTTTGGGGACAGCTTTGATAAACGAATCTTAACAAACATCATAAGCAGCAGCAGGTGTGTGGTGTGTGTTGAGGTGTAACGGCTGGCTGGCAGGTTTGTGGATTACCAGGGGAGTTGCAATTTTTTGCTCTTCACGCCGGAATGTATCAAACTCGGAGCCCGCGGCCAGCAGCCAGATCAGGGCTGCGTACAAGTCATCATACTTTAACGTGTTGGTGAACAGAACATCACAGATCTGGAGAAAAGGGGAAATATTAATCAGCTACTGCAGTAACTCAGTGTAAATGTAAACTCTGATCAGGCGTCACGGCATCAAATTCAACAATAACAATGACAAATTGCACTTTTCACGTCAAGGAGGATGTCTCATGGAGCTGGACAGTCAAGGGTTTGTGCTCGAACTGGGAGTTGAAATCAAAAGAGGTAAGGGCTGGCGAGAGCCAAGCAGGAAGGCCTCAGTCTTGTCGACATTCAACTGGAGAAAATTGGCTCTCATCCAGGACTTGATGTCTGACAAACAATCCGTCAGGACAGCAGTGGTCCTGGAATGAAGGGTGGAGGCAGACTAGATAGAGTTGGGTGCGAGAGCTGGAGAAGTCTTTATAACTGGAGCATTCAAAGTGGGGACGATAGGAAAGGCAAGAGTGAAATCAAGTCTTTGACAAGAATGCATTTGGCATACAATGGTTCCTGTAGACTACACAGAACTTCCAAGAGTGGATGCGAAATATTAACTTGATTCAGTATTCAGCTACAGCAAGTCCCAAACCCCTGCACTGCTCACCGTCTCATCCAAGCGGCTCATGTCATCAGCCGAGGTTTCATGTGAAAGAATGCTGTAGAATTTGGGCAAAGGGACCGAGTCTGTGGGGAAAGCATCTCAAATTAGTGACGAAGGCCTTTATCAGCGGCTATTAATTTTCTCCATGTGCTGATGTCCTCCCAACGACACCCACAGAGAAACCAATTACCTCATGATTCTTTACTTGACCCCACACTTCATCTCAACTTTAGCCCAAATTTCCTGCATTTTCTATAGAGTCAGACACGATCCTCCTCTTTGTAACTAAACCATCTTGAACACATCTTTGCAAAATTATCCAGTCCAGCACTCTGCAACCTTAAATCAAACTCCATATCACTGTCTCTTAACCTGTATGCACAACCTGCTATTCCAAACATAGGAACAAGAGTAGGACATTTAGCCCCTCAAACCTGTTCTGCCATTCTATTGAGATCATGGCTGATCTGTACCTCAACTTCAATCACCTCCCTTTGCCCCATATCCCTTGATATCTGACTTAACAAAAGTCAATCCACTAAGACTTGAAATTTTGAATGGGTCTAGCATCCACAGCCTTTTTTTTGGGGGGGGGGGGGGGGGGGAGAGTTCCAGATTTCCACAATCCTTTGTGTTGAAAAAGCGCCTCCCTCATTTCACTCCCAAATAGCCCAGGTCTAATTTTAAGATGGTGCCCCCTTGTTCTGGATTCCCCCACCAGAGGAGTTTCTCTGTATCTACCAAATATCTGTATCACTAACAACTCTGTACCTGCCCCAGTGCCTGTCACATACCTGTCCCACAGTGTTTAGTCCAGTTGTCCTCAACCTCTTTAAATCCGTGATAAAGTGGCAACTGATTGCGTCTGTCGGAGTCGTGCGTCCCAGCATTACCCATTGGGGGGGTCAGCAGATTATACTGGATCTGTGGTAAGAAAGAAGGAAACACAATCAGTGCAAGTCTCATACCCGAGTGTAAGGTTCCTGCACACATTGTTAATTTACTGCAAATCCTTTCCTGTGTAAAAGGGAATGAGGCAGTTACAATAAAAGCTGGCACTGTGGCTTTGGGGCTTCATTTATAATAATCCTTGCATTTGATATAGTACCTTATGTCTTAAAATACTTCACAGAATATACAGTAAAGTGAATTGACTGAATATTTTGTGGGTGAAACGCAGCAGCAAATTGTCCCACAAACAGTTGTGGATTGAGTGACAAAATTATTATTTTAATGATTACCAACGGAAAGGGATCAGCCAATTGACTAACAACAGGGTTTGTACTTACCGCTAGGTAAAACAGAGGCAGGTGTGTAAAGAAACTTGCCTAACGTTTCATTCTGCCTGGGAATCGAACCCAGGTTTTCTCTGCTGGCGAGGCGCATGCTGTAACTGCTAAGTTATGAGGACTAAGCTATTCTGCCTCAGGCTCAGGTGGTCTTACCTGCTCAAACAGGTATATCGGGGCTTTGGAATACTGCTGCACGATGTAGTCAAAGACCAGCAGGAGCCTGGCGAGTGTCAGGGGGACGCAGCGAGCCTGGCCCTCTGCCTTCGAAGCCACTTCGATGATTGTTTGCATACACAGCGTGACCACGCTGCGACGGCTGGACTCTGAGAAGTTGTGGAATATCAGCAGCAGCAGCTGAAGGTGTTCGACGTTCAAATCCTCAGAGTCACTTGGCACCGTTCCCTGAAACGCGTTCTGCTTCAATGTTCCAATAAACCTGGTGAAAATTCCACAGATACTCAGCCATCCAATGCCAGGAAAACACTTCATGTATTTGTTGATTTCTTTATAATTTTTTATAATTTATTATTTATCGTGGATTCTTTGGTGCAGATGCGCACACAGGAGTTTGACCCTGCTATTCGATTACAAGCTCAGCTTGATTGATCCTTACTCTATCAAACAAGTACATTTACACAGCGCCTTTCACCTCGGGAGGACATGCCAAGGCGCTGGACAGTCAGGGATTTGGAATATCGACATTTTGTACGTTCCTTTTGCTTTATGTCAAGCGTAAGATATTAAAGATGAATTCCTTACCTTTCCCAGACTTTCATACATTCAGGAACATCAGGTTCCCCCTGGGCACTGGCTCGGTGCTGCCAGATTAGCAGCAAACGTGAGAGCACAGAGAGGCTCTGGGAGTGGATGTAGAGAGGCCAGGGGCCCTCTGAGAAAGGAGCTATTCCCAGCTGCTGCAACAGCGTGTTCTGTGTAAAATACAACATGTGATCAGCACCGAGAAAAGCACAGAGAACACTAATCAAGTGGATCAGTGCTGTAACAATACAAGATCAATAGAGAGGCAAAGCGGGCAGGAGGTATGAAACAGGGCAGCACTGCGACAGCCCAAACATCTTGTTCAAATTAATGCCTATTGCTCCCCATCCTGCTTACAGGAGCCTGCATTGTTTATTGGCAAGAAAACCATGCTCTTCGCAGTGTTGCCCACTTACCTGAAGAATAGGTGATGGAAGGTCCGAGGTCACCATAGAATGGTTGAAGTGGTACAAAGCTCCAGCAAAGTCCTCACCCGACGACCCTGTGACACATTTTGTATATTAGGGACCACGCTGATTCTCACAAAGTCTAACGCAGTGCTGTGGGTGTCGCATTGTCAGAGTTGCCGTGCTTTGGATGAGATGTTAAACTGAGGTCCAATCTGCCTGACATTAAGATCCCACTATTTGAAAAGGGGAGTTTCTCTCTCCTAGTGTCCAGGCCACCCCCAATCCCCCAAATAAAATGAGTCATTCGTTTCATGGCTGTTCGTGGGTCATTGCTGCGTGCAATTGTGCTGCCACATTTACGTACAGATACATAGTGGCTTAATTTTGACAGTAAATCCTGTGAAGCGCTGTGAGAAGTCCTTCCCACGTGATGAGGCTCTATATAATAATAATAATCCCGCCAAAACAAAAAACAATAATAAATTGGTCACTCAATCCATGACTGTTTGTGGGACATTGCTGTGCGCAATTGGCTGCCGCGTTTCGCCCACAAATATACAGTCAATTCACTTTACAGTCTATTCTGTGAAACGCTTTGAGACGCCGAGAAGACGTGAAAAGCGCGATATCAAATGCAAGGATTATTATTATTACATTATTATAAAATGCAAGAAAACATTTTTTCCCTATGGATTCTTCTGGGACTTACAATGTTGGCAGCGCAAATTGTGAGTGAAGCAATGCAAGTGTTTTCTGCTCACCATGGAGCCTGACAAAAAAAATAGGACAACAAAGACAAAGCTCCTGACCTTTTGTTCCATCCTTGTCGACGTCCTTTATGATGCTGGCCAACGTCATCATGTGCGGCTCAGTCAGAGAGACACTCAGGTAATTCCGGATAAAGTTATTCCTTGAATTCAGCATCGAAGACGTAATGAAATTAAAGATACTGGAAGCCAGGCTCAGAAACTGGAAAACAATAAATTACATTTGCCCACGTGATGTCAGAAGGGCATCCCAAGTCGTAGGACAGTTAAGGATTTTTCCCCAAGCTGGGGCTTGAAATCAAGAGGGGTGGAGCATGGCCAAGGGCACGGTTACAGAGGAAGTTCTTGAGACGGACGTTGAAGGATGCAAGTTATCTCCGAGTGGGAGCACATAAATATTGAAGAGGAAGGGACAAAGGATAGAGCCCCGAGGAACTCTGCACGAGACAACGGTGAGAGCAGGAGAGAATCCATCGGTGGATACAAACCAGACAAGAGCAGACTATGAGATGGAGCTGTGAAGAGGCCACGGAGAAGAACAGAGTGGTCGACAATATCAAAGGCGGCAGACAGGGAGGGACACTAACAAGGATGAGACAGACAGAAAAAGCCCTTGTCACAGATGGATACGATGTGATTTGTAAGTGGGTTACACTAACCAGCTCTGGATCCTTGCGACTTGCCAGGATGTTGCCATTCTCACCACTGCTCTGCTTGTTTGGGCTCTTCAGTCGTGGAGAGCTCTCGAGGGGAGGAGGCGGGGGAGGGGCGGGAGGTGCTGTCTTCTCTTTACTGGGAGAGATGGTCTCCTCAAACCACTGGCCCAAGATCGGTTCACTGTCATCATCTGTACAGAAAGACAACCACGGAGAAGTCACCACCAACAACAACTTGCATTTATATAGCGCCCTTCACACGGGCTAGCGTCCTGGAATGCTCGACAGTGGCAGATTCTGACCCCCGAGCCAGGCGGAGAGGAAGGTGACCATAAGCACGATCCAAACATTTGGAATGCTCTGCTATTTGTCCCACTGGAGACAACTAGTCTAATCCCAGCACATTGGGATATCCTCCCGATGTGAAAGGCGCTACACAAATGTAATTTGGATTGTATTATAATCCCATTCCTCTTCATGTCTGAACCACTCTCACTCCTCCTGTACGTGTGGTGAGTTCTGGTTGCAGTTTTCTTGGCTACTGTACCTTGGCTACTGTCCTCCTCGGTGCTGCTGAAGTCATCCTCGTAGTACGTGTTGGAGTCGGTGGATGCGCTCACGTCACTGCTCACTGAGCCCTTGCGTTGTCGCTGGAGAACGCATGCCTGCCAAGAGAAGGCAGTGTGACATTGACAGGCTTCCCACTCGCAGAGACTGGAACAAGAATAGGTCACGCAGAGACCAAGCACTACGACTTACCTTTCTGTAAGAGGTGGATAGCAGTGTAAACAGCAAGTTGGTGAGTGGGACCGACTCGATCAGTCTCTGCACACGTTGTATAGATGAACTTTGGGCCATGATATTGAGCTCTGCAGGTGGCCCATCCCCAGTCCAGCCCTAAGTAAACAGAAATAAGCCAGTTAATGATCTCACTTGGGCATACGGCACCCGATTGACAGACAGCCTCGCAACGAGCAACCACCCTTTACACACGAATAAAGATCTCAAACTCAAAAAGGCACAAAATTCAGACACAAGCCTTACTTACACTCACTTCCTTCAGATACGCTTTACACACGCCCCGCCCCTACCTCCCCACATATGTCTCTGTATTCACCTCCGACCATGTACACTCCCTTCTCCATGTGCACTCGCCTCCTCTCCCTTCCCCCATCCGCTCCCCACACTGACAGGAGCCACACTCACCCGGTACAAAGCTTCTACTTGCAAATCTTGAAAGAGTGAGATCAGCAACTTTATGGCATGGTTTGCCAGGACCACAGACAAGACTCCAAATCCCTGATGTCTGAGGACCAACAAACCTGTATTAATGCTACTGCGTAACGTCCTGCACAACATGCAGTCATCCTGACAAAACACATCAAGATTCCCACTGTACATAACCAGACACATCACAGAATACTCATCAATCAAGTTTATTTGATTGTTTTTCCTCAATTGCTAAGCGCTCCGAGACATGACCTGTGTGAAGGGCACCACGTAAACACGAGGCATTATTGTTGTTTAATGTTCCTGTCTGTTCGAGCACCTCATCTGGAGCTCAGACAATGACGCGCAGAAGTCGGACAATGCTCCTCACACCAGCTTCATATAGCAATGCCAGATGACCTGCCACTATCCATGCAAATAACCAAACAAACAGCATCAAACAAGATGCTTAGCAACTTACTCACCCTTTAACTGGAGCAAGTTTGGGAGAGCCAGCTCCGTCCTTCACTCGGGCAGCAATGTCCCGAACTCGGAGCGCAGCTAGTGGATCCTTCTCCTTCCCCTTGTCGGCTAACGCTGTGGGACTGAGGTTCAGGATCAGGTAGAGGCTGTTTAGCAGACACCAAGCACCAAGTAACTGGAAATTCTGATAATGCTGATGAACGAACACAAGGCACAGTTACACGAGAATATAAAGCAATTCCATGGCACAAACAAGAGACATCAAATCATGCAAACGTGATTTTCAAAAAAGGTTTCTGTCAACACCGAGCACACAAGCTGTGTTCCCCCACCCACCTCCCCCACTGCAGTTCAGACTCGTACCTCTCCGCCTGCACGCCGAGAGCTATTGATTGCTTGTCCGATCATCTCATAGATTTCAAGCTGTTAAAACAAACAAGGTTATTTGACAGTAGTTGAATGCACTCAGTGCCAAGCTACTTGGTTCTACATAAGAGAACCAGATCGTCACAAACCTCTCGAATATCGCTCAGCTTTGGAGCTAACAGAATCTGTCATTAGCACACTGTCCTTTTCACCTTCCACTCAGATGAAGAGATTAACATTTACAACTGCAAATACTACCTCAAAATAATAACTAGTCTGAAACACTGGACAGTTTAGCTTAGCAACCTTCTGGGAAGGGGTTCATTCAGAAACAGGCATACTAAATAGATTCAGAATCAATAAAATAGCTAAACACAACAGTAATCGAATTATAACTTGGGAGACAAAAACAGAAGTCACTGGGAACACTCAGCAGGACAGATACCATCTATGGAGAAAGGAAAGTGAGTCAAAGTTTCGGGTCAATGACCCTTTGTCAGTAATAGGGCATTAAGAGGGAGAGACTTTTAAGGACTAACAGAGAGGGGGGAGGCAAGGCAAGGAAGACAAAGGAGAAAATGGGGTATAGGACAGGGTGTGATGGGTTAAAGTGGTGTTAATGATGTAAAACAAAGGGGGGGAACTGTAACAAAACAGGCAAAACAGAGAGAAAAAAGGGGTCTGGGATAACTTGGGAGTAGCTAATTAATGACCCTTGGCACAGCAAATCTGAATAATAAAATTGCCAAAAGAATCAATTACACATAGAAACCTTCAGGTTGGTAACTGCTCTGACCCCTCCCCCGCCCCGATCACTTACACATTTCTGGACGATTGTGGCTGCATCATTCTCGTAGTCTTCCTCTTTACTACTTGATCCCGATCGCACTTGCAGGCTGCTGCCCACATGTAAAATAGCCATACACGTGGCTACACTCACACCTGGCGACGAGAGAACACAGTTCGTGCAAGAGACACGCAATAATCTAACAGCCACTCACATCCTGACAACCCTCCGAGAGAAAAAGTTCTTCTCAACCTCTAAGAACTCAAATATTGTTGCAAACAATTCTTTCTCTGACAGTGATGTGCTGCTGACGAAAAATAATGAAATTATCCTTCATCTGATATTGCACTTTTCATGTCAGGAAGACGACATCTAAAGGCGTTTCACAGGATTTTACTGTAAAGTTCAATGACGGTGTCTTCTGTGGCCAAATGTGGCAGCTAACTGATAATCAGGGCAAAGCAGATTGCAAAATCAGGATAGTCAAGACCATTGTAATCTAGCCATGGTGTGCCTGAGTCAGTGCTTCCCTTGTCCTTATACTGACCTGCATACAAACAGCTGAGTGCCAGCACAGTCACGTCCTGCAGCCGGGCTGGAGTCAGTGGTTCAAGGACAGGCAATGAGAGTGTGTCCAGCGCCATTGTAACGTCAATAACCAGGGAATGGAACCTGCAGAGAGGGGAACGGACATGACAGAAATCTGACAGGTACAGTAAGAGAGGTCACAAGATCAATTACCACTGTCCTCCTTGACAAGCACAAATCACAGCAACAATTAAACCGTTCAAAAAATCTCTACAAACTAGGAATTATGATTTTTTGCTAATGTGTCAATAACTCAGAACAAACATTGGACTCTGATCTGTGATCTTCACAACAGTGCGTCAGTCTGGCTCGGAGTCAGAGGTTGTGAGTTCAAGCCCCTTGTCGGGACTTTTAGCTCATAGTCTATGCTGACATAGTGCAATATCTGAAATGCAACGATTATTAGTAAATAGGAATAGTTACACTAATTGTAACGTGACATTCGCAAAATTAAGTTTTGTTCATTCATCAGCTTTTGGCCACAGTCGCAATAAATGCAGCAAATCCAGTTTGGAAATGCTGCAAATTAGCTGCCAACATGAGGGTCATCGTGATGCTCAGTAGGATAAAGATCACACACTTACCCGTTCCGCACAGCAGTAGCATCGGCGACAGTGGCTGGCATGATGAAAAAGGAATTAGCGGAGACAGCGTCCTGGAAACGGTTGATGTAGCGCAGAAAGTAGGGAAGATTTAGACAGACACGCAGCAGCTTCTCAGAGCCTCCTACAAGAAAAACACAAAAGTCAAGGCAGGTTTGATGCGGCAAAAGTACAAACCCAGTCGTCACAAGTACATTTGTCTGTAAATCCAGCTGCTGCAATGTAAACAACAAGGTCAACCACCAACAACAGCAACAAAATTACATTTGTATAGCGCCTTTCAAGTTGGGAGGCCGTCCCAAGGTACTGGACAGTCAGAGTTTTGGACCTGGGAAGGGTGGAGGGCAGGTGGGAGCAGCAGGGAGATCAAAAGCAAGGTCGAAGAGGAGGGTCTTGAGATGGGTCTTGAAGGAGGCAAGGGAGGGGACGAGGCGTTATTAAGCTTCATAAGACCATCAGAACCCAAATACATTAACTATGGTGGAGAAAACAGAATCAATAACAACTTTCAAAAGGAAATTGGATAATTACTTGAAAAGGAAAAATTTGCAAGGGTATGGGGAAAGCAGGGGAGTGACTGAGTAGCTCTTGCAAAGAGCTGTCACAGGCACGATGGGCCGAATGGCCTCCTTCTGTGTTGTAATATTCTATGATTATATGACTGGTCACAATAGGTACCAGCTTCTGTGCAATTGTGGCACAGGTGTCAGCTCCGTCACTGTGTTAGGCACAACTCTGCACATTTACACCTGGAACTCTTCACACAACAAAAATAACAATTCTGCCATAACTCTGACCCTGACCAAACTTACCCAACGCCTGCAGGCTAGACACATTCTGTGTGATAAACGCACTCTTCATCTTAATGGCTGTAGCTTGGTCAGACACAGCCTGCTCATTGCTTTCTCCATCCACCTGATAGACAAAAAGGATTTTACATCAGCTGGTTACGCGATGTGGCAGAAAACAGCAGAAACAATAAAATGCAAAATTACATTTATACAGCACCTTTCATGTTGGTAGGACATTCCAAAGCGCTGGACAATCAGGGATTTGGACCGAGGAGGGGAAAACCCCCCCAGGACCTCTGCTGGGTGCAATAAGCAGTTAAAAGAACTGCTTTCAAATTTCATCTGGGTTCAAATTAGGTGCCGACTGACGCCTGTATCTACAGCACTCGGTTCGCCAGGTCCTTCCTACCTGAACCACGGGAGGGGGGCGGATGATGCCGATACATCTGGGTTGAAGACCGAGGTCAGCTGGTTCAGGAAGTTCATTTGCACTTCCTTCTGTCTTGTCTCGGGGGTCACTCCTGGGGCAGCTTCCTTCTGATCCTCCACTGAGGGGAGGAAGATTGCACCAAATCAGAAACACTAGCACCTAGACTCTCGCTTGAGTCCACAGGGAATAACAACAACAAAGTGCATTTATATAGCGCCCTTCACAGGGGGTAGCGTCCCTGAGCACTTGACAGTGGCGGAGCCTAACCCCGAGCCAGGGGGAGACAGTGGGAAGAGATGACCCTAAGCACAATGAAAAAGGAAGGTCTTTAGACAAGATTTGAAAGTGGGGGGATGGGGGAGGGGTCAAGGCGGAAAGATTGAGGGAGAGAGTTCCAGAACTCCACCAAGGATGAAAATGACTCCCTGCCCCCCACCTCCAGTTCAGGCACCTACCTTCTGACAGTGTCTTTATCGTCATGGGCAGTTTGGCTGATTTCATCATTGCTGTGAAAGTAATGATCTCGGTTCGGTCCAGGCGGCTGCAGCCAGTGCAAAGGCCTTTGATCAAGAGGATCAGGTGTTTCTGAGAGGAATTGAGGGCCAAAAATTATATATTCACAATATTCCAACATTACTTCAGACACAGCCGCTCAGACCCATGTTTATATTTGGTGTTTCCTGAGCACAATCCTTTGACATCTGCCAAAGGAGAAAATGCTCAACAGACAATGAAGGGGAGAGGAGAAAGAGAAAACAGTATAGCTACTGATGCCAGTCTCAATAGAAAGCTGTGACCAACTCACAACGTGTAAACCTTTACCTGCGAAACTGCACATGCTTCATCTGGGTTCTCCAAACGCATCAATGAGAATTCGATCAGGATTTTACACGCAGCCGCGACCGACAACAGCTGATTCCTGGGAACTGACAGAGAACCATCAACAGTCACCAAGAATTCCATCTCACATTTGGGGAGTTTATCACCAGCTACAAACCACACAAGCCAACCCAAAGATGGAACACAAAATAAACATCAGACATTTCCTAGCTCTTCCTGACTTGTGTACTCACTTTGCCCACAGACGGTGGAGATGTAATGTGCAGACAGCGCCACAAAGGAGGAATAGAACGGTTCGTACTGCTTGTCATGATGCAGAATTTGCTTCTCACTGAAAAGCAAAGAGACAATTCACATAGCTCAGAGGAGCTCACTTCCAAATCTTCACCACTCCTGACTACTTAAAAACTCCTAAAATTCTGCCACAATCTGCTGCAGGAGCTGATTTGACATCTCTGTTGGTTAACGTGCACATCACAAGATCTGGAGAGAGCTTTGGGTGAAAACTCTTCCACCCACTTCATCTTATCCTCCACCTGCACCCAGACATCAAAGTATTTAAATAATCAGCAATTTCAACCTTAAAGGAGCCAAACCTATCCTCTTAAATCTCACTATCCGGTCGCTATCCATCCGTCACCTGCAGAAAGAAGACCACTGGGAACAAAATCAATCTGATAATAATCCTTGCGTTTGAAATTGCGCCTTATCACGTTATTGAGATGCCTCAAAGTGCTTCACGGGATACATGCACTGTAAAGCGGTTCGACTGTATTTTGTGGGCGGAACGTGGCAGCCAGTTGCGCGCAGCGGTGTCCCACAAACAGCCGTGGAGAGAGCGACCAATTTTATAGGGGAGATCGTTGGCCACGACACCGGGAGCGAGAGCGAAACTCCCTTCCCTTTTTGAAGAGCGAGCGCCATTGGGATCTTCAACATCCACCCGAACAGGCTTTTCGCCCCCCAATAAAATACGCAGTCAATTCACTTTACGGTATGTTCTGTGAGGAGCTCTGAGACGTCTCAAAGACATAATAAGGTGCTCTACAGATATGAAATGCAAGGATTATTGTCATTAATAGGCGGAGGGGAACTTGGTTTAACATCTCATCAGAAGGATTGATGCATTTAGTGTTTATTTGACATGACGTTACAGTCATTAAGAACGATTCCGGAATAAAAACTGAGCGACATGGGACCTGCTGCAGCCTCCAAACTCCTGCCCTCCGTTACACACAGGATCCGGGGGGGGGGGGGGGTGTCTGCCCCTCCGCCCCCACCTCAGGGCTACAGCTGTGGCTGCCCCCGACCCGACCCGTCCCGCCGCCTTCCCGCTGCCACTGAGCACAGAGCTGCCGGAGGCTGTGGCTGTGTCTGTGTCTCCCTCTCTCCCTCTCTCCCCGGGGCCGAGCCGCCATGATGCAGCATTCTCTGCTCTGGCCTCCCCTCGGGGCCCGCGCTCCGCCCGGGAGCCGCCGCCGTCGCCTCACCCTGACCCTGACCTGTTGATGACGGAGCTGACGAGCTGCGGGATGTCGCGGGGCTCGAAGGTGGAGTAAGAGGCGGCGAGTAGCGGCCGCACCGCAGCGCTCCAGCTCCAGTCCGCGGCCGCCGGCTCCGAACTCAGCGCCATCTTGCCGCTGCCGGGCCGGTGCAGCGCTCCGAACCGTCCGGGCGCCAACACCGGAAGCACGTCGGCTAATCAGTCCGGGCTGCAGGGACAACAGTGTCCGCACGGAAACTGCCCCCCCCCCCCGGCCCTCTGCCGCGCACCCACCGACCGCGACTCCCGCACATGCGCGGACGTCCCTGTTCATGTCATGGGAGGAGGTGTACTCTCTCCCCAGAGGGACACTGATCCCAGAGAGTATTGGGGGAGGGAGGGAGGGGGAGGGGGAGGGGGGGGCAGCTTGGGGAGGGGGGGGGCAGTTGGGGAGGGGGGGGGCAGGTTGGGGAGGGGGGGGCAGGTTGGGGAGGGGGGGGGCAGGTTGGGGAGAGGGGAGGGGCAGGTTGGGGAGGGGGGGCAGGTTGGGGAGGGGGGGCAGGTTGGGGAGGGGGGGGGGCAGGTTGGGGAGGGGGGGGCAGGTTGGGGAGGGGGGGGCAGGTTGGGGAGGGGGGGGGCAGGTTGGGGAGGGGGGGGCAGGTTGGGGAGGGGGGGGCAGGTTGGGGAGGGGGGGGGCAGGTTGGGGAGGGGGGGGCAGGTTGGGAGGGGGGGGCAGGTTGGGGAGGGGGGGGGCAGGTTGGGGAGGGGGGGGGCAGGTTGGGAGGGGGGGGCAGGTTGGTGAGGGAGGGGAGGTTGGTGAGGGGGGGGCAGGTTGGGGAGGGGGGGCAGGTTGGGGAGGGGGGGGCAGGTTGGGGAGGGGGGGGGCAGGTTGGTGAGGGAGGGGAGGTTGGTGAGGGGGGGGCAGGTTGGGGAGGGCTGGAGTTTGGGGAGATTCAGAGTCCGGGTTTAACCATATAAACAATGGAATATTTCCCATTACAAAGACTGGAAGGCTTCCCTCCTCCCACTGACTGTTCCACCCCTCCACGTCTCACTGCTCCACCAACAGAGCCTTGGGTTACTGTGGACCCTCCTGACGCAGCAAATGGACCCGAGACCCCAAGGCTCAGTGACTCCCTACAATCAATTTACAATTCCTTTAAAAATATACAATTTTATATCAATTTTTAAAAGTTGTGTCCCTTTGTTTTGGATCCCTTTCCAGACTTGTTTTTTTTAATATACCACCGTCCTACTTAGGGTCAGGGCATCCGACAAATATTCTTGTACCTAATTGTGAAGCTTCAAATCAGAGTTAAGGATATCTCATTAGCTCACAAATTAATACAACTAAGGGAAGCAGTTACCAACTATTGCGGGACTAACTCGCACTGTTCTGAAGTTTTAGCAAATAATAAAAAAAACTTGTTCCATACAGAATATTTTCGATATTTTCTGCCTATTTTGTGCCAGAACAGGACATTACATACACAATCTTCAGAATAAAACACAAAGTTCAAGGGGGTCACAGTAATTGTTTATTCAGTGGTATTCAGAAACATTAACAACTCAGGAAACAAATTGTTTTCTATTTAAAAGGTTTAATGCAGTGGTTTCAAGTTTTCTGTTGTGAACTTGCAATGTTTGGGGACACTGAGGTTAAAATCAAGAAAATCCTCAAATTCCAGTCATTTCCAGGTAACATTTACTAACTGTAAGAGCACAACTGCATTTCTCCTCACAGCAATATTTGTATATCCCTCATGTTGACACTACATGTACTTTTAGAGCAACTCAACATATTCTCTTACCAGCTCATAAACCCGAATCGCAGGCACATAATTAGACTCCTAGATAATCACATAGATCTGTCTTTAATCCTAGGTTAAACCAATCTCATCAGTTGCACATTAAAATAAAGTCTAAATCCCAAATATATTTTCTCAGCAATTAAGTACACATATTAATCAGGAACTAAAAAAAACTTAACCATCCCTTTTCTCACAAATTTATTAGAACTCGCTTTGTATTTAAAATTTGGGGTAGATTTAAGTGTCCACAAAGGAACAAACCTCACAGTGACCCTGTGAAATTAACTCGTAAAACAAGGTTGTTCAGAACTGCAAATTGAACAATCAGCTTTATGTCCACAATCAGTTTCGATCGTAACAAACACGGTCAGCGAAGGACAGCAGAAGAACACAAGTAAAAGCCCCATTGGCTATTGGAATGGAAACCGCTGTAGTTAGGAATTCAGGAGGCTGCCGAGCCCAGACCAGGTAACCTGGTATTGCAGAGGACCAGACGCTCACTTCACAATCAGTGGCACAAGTTGTAGTACTTATAATAATATAATAATCCTTGCATTTGATACAGCGCTTTTCACGTCTTCTCAACGTCTCAAAGCGCTTCACAGAATAGACTGTAAAGTGAATTGACCATATGTTTGTGGGGAAAACGCGGCAGCCAATTGCGCACAGCAACGTCCCACAAACAGTCGTGGATTGAGTGACCAATTTATTATTGTTTTTGTTTTGGAGGGATTATTATTAGGCTCTGTGTGGAGTAAGGAAACTTGCCCAAGGTTTCGCCCTCTGCCTGGAATTGAACCCAGGTGTCTCGCACTTAAGCAAGTCTCGGTACAAGAATCCTCTGCAACAGGATGCCTGGATGTAGGATTCCCAGGTAAGACAGATACAGACTTTAGGAGTAAAATTACAATTTAAAAGGCAAGGCTCCAGTTTGCAGTCGCCGCTTCCAGGCTAAACACATTAGCAGCCACTTGGCCTCCTGTCAATCATAAGGGTGGCTCTATCTACATCCGTCATTACAATTTCAAATGGGAAAATAACTTTCTAACCAAAAAAAGAAACAAAAGTGTTTGCTCTGAACAATGTGTGTGAGGGACCACTGCTGATTGCAGTGAAAATCCTGAAGCCAATTTTATTTAATCAAAATGTCCACTTTCTAGTCATGACAGTCTTCAAAATAAATACCCGCAGAAAACAAATGAGCCCCGGCGCTGACACTCCAGTCTCGCTACTTGGCTTGTCCCCCAAAACCTTTGCATCTCCATCTTCGCATTCAATCCATGGGACAATGTTTCTTTTTCCCCTTCCCCCCTTTCATGTCCCAGTAGCTGCTATCGCCAGGCCCTGTTCAGGAGCTTAACCTGGGCGAGCCGCTTGGTGATCATGGTGGTAAAGACCAGACCGAAGAGAACACTGCTGATCAACACATAGTCATAGTCGTCTTTCAGAACATCAAACTGCTTCGAGGGATAAACACGAGTCTGGAAGATGTCGAGACCATAAGCGACAACCTGGAACAAACATTCACTTGTTATTGTGTCAGCCAGAAACTCGCCTCCTGTAAAACTCTGAAACCTGGATAGAAACTAACAGCTTGGTAACTGCCGCTAGCATCCAGGGTAGGAATTCATGAGAGATTCAAATCAGGCTGGGGGTAATGCATCCAGGTCACATCCAAAGTATTCACACACTTCTTTTCCCGTGACTATTTTTAATTTATTCTTATTCTGGAGTTATTTTCTACTGTCGCATCTTGACCAGATCACACGGTTCACCTCGCCACCAGATGCAGGTCAGACAACTCTTCACCCAGCTTCCAGGATCAGCTGTAAACCCCCACCCAGTGAAGAAAGTGGCTCCTTGTTGCTGAGCCTCTGGGAGGCAATAGAGAGCATAAACAACCCGCTTGCTGATTCAGTGAATCCCAATTAAAAAGCACTTGGATGAACACCTCATAACCAGGTTTACTAATCATTAATCAAATGTGCAGCAGCAACAGAGCATTAACCAGGGATATTATGATAAACTTGCTTTTCGTTATGATACCAGTCATTCAGAGATCCCCCTCTCCTTCCTCCCTCAGACAGATCAGATTGTGCATTAACTACTATGGGGCTACAGCAGCCATGGGTGTTGGCATCTGCGATTGGCTATGAGAATTTGGTTCCATACTAACCAGGCAGGTGGACTCCAGGCCGGAGGGTGCCGTGTGAATCCCCCTCACTCGTGACACAGACTGATTGTAGTTGATGAACCATTCCGATCGGATGGGCAGTTCAGGAGCATACGGAATTAGATTCTCCTCCCTGAAAAAGTTACAACATATGGGACTATGGAAAACTGCTCCTAGATTTCTCAAAGAGGTTTCACAACTATGTCAACGCGAAACACGAGCATGCATTTGCTGTAATCTTGTTCTACAATCACTTAAACATCACCTCAGCCTCAGGCCTCTACCCACAGCCCTGTCTTATTTCTTAACTCACCGGCTTTGCTCAGAAGGAACCTCTGGACGTCGAGGATCCAGAAACGCTTTAGGTAAGGAGAGGATTCCTCCAGAGTGAAGCCCAACTGCAGGGAGAAGGCAAAAAATGAGAGAGACTGAGAGAGAGAGACACATGGACAGACAGAGACAGGGCCCCTCTCTCCCACCCAGCCCCTCCATCCACACACCCCTGGCTCCCCACTCCCAAACAGCCCCTCCCTTCACACCCCCTGGCCCCTCCCTCGGTCTGGGTCCCATCAGTCTGTCACCTACTCAACAGGTGGCGGCTGGTGATCCCTTTCTCTGTGATAGTGGCCTCCACCAGGTTGATGGCCGAGGGGAAGATGTAAGATTGCTGGAAGATGATGGGGGAGAGTGGCCGGTCCAGTGAGCTGAAGGCTGTGCTGTTGTACTGCTCGGTCCCCTCGTACAGTTCCAACACTGTCATCTCGTTCCTTCGGGACTTGGTATTCCAGTACTGGTACTGTCAGCACAGAATGGAACAGTTAGGGTTAAATAACAGAGAATCTTGAAGGTACTTGAGAAGGAAAAAATTGCAGGGGTATGTGGAAAGAGCGAGGGAGTGGGACTGATTGGGTAGCTCTGCAAAAAGCTGGCACAGGCATGTTGGGCTGAATGGCCTCCTTCTGTGCTGTAATATTCTATGATTCTATCTGTCTCTCCAACTCCCTGGCATTTATACGCATCCACTTGCACCGCTGGGAAACACTGTTCAGTTATTGGGTTCCTCAGGCCTGTGGAAAGGGTGATCAGTTCATGGGGAAAATTGCTACAAAGTGGATAATGCGTCAATCGCAAGTGTTTCTTCAGTCTTATCCTGGCAGAGACGAATCAGAGGGTTGGGACATCTGGGTGAGTGACATTAATAATCCCCCAAAGCTGCTCAGCATCAATAAGGCATTGTGATAGAAGTACGATCGTGACTCAGAAAGTGAGCCATTATACTCTGAATTCAGACCCTGCCGAACACAACCCACCCCCCTCCTCCGCCAACTTTCTCCCCCACTTTGCCCTGGGACCCCCCCAACCCCCTCAATCTTACCACCAGCCAATTCTCGGAGTGCACCACGTACACAGGACCTCTTGCTTTGCGCTGCACAGACTGGTGGATGATGCGCCCGGTCACGCCATCAATGAGGTAGATGCAGATGAAGGCTCGTTCCTGGTGCGTGTCGGTGCTCTCTGTGATGACTGCCAGCAGATTGGGGTTCAGATACTACAGAGAGCAGAGTCAGCCATGAGAAACGACACAGAAGCTGGCCACCGAGAGCTGGTAAACCAGTGAAGATCAGCCATCAATCACAAGGTTAAATCCAGTTATATTTCACCTCTGTAATCCCTTAGATCATACCCCAACACATACACACTTGCCAACCCCCGCTCCCCTCCCACCCACCCGCTCCCCGCTGTACCTTGTACAGGACACTGCGATCCCCCATGACACGGCCCTGTGAGTGCACATGTTCGTTGGAGCGTTTCCCTTTGACAGTCACTATTCTCTGAGTCTCTGTCGGAATCGCCACCTCCCAAATCTCCTCGGTTCCAAAGTCCTGCAGGAAACAAATGTCACAAGTGATATCCCAACTGACACCCTGACTAACAGAACAGGCAGAACAGTACTGACCCCCACGAACACAGGTCAATGATTTAAACCAGACAAGTTACCTCGCGCAGGTGGAAGCCGTTTAGTTTGCCCTGCACCGGGTCGACCAGATAGAAGTAAATAACAGAGGCAGAGGTCTGGAGCTGCTGCAGGATATTCCTACTGGAGGGAAAGGCTGTCACCTGGGAAGAGGGAAAACAAGGCTCAGTTGCAGCAACGCTGTTGCCAGTCAGAAACAAACATAATAATCATAATCGTTGCATTTGATAAAGCGCCTTATCACGCCGTTGAGACATCTCAAAGTGCTTCACAGAATATACTGTAAAGTGAATTGACTGTATTTTTAGGGTGAAACGCGGCAGCCAATTACGCACAGCAGCGTCCCACAAACAGTTGTGGATTGAGTGACAAATTATTGTTGTTATTTTTGTGAAGGGATCATTACCTACGGAAAGCAATCCGCCAATCAACTAGCAACTGGGTTCTTATTTACTGCTAGGTAAACAGAGGCGTGTGGAGTAAGGAAACTTGCCCAATGTTTTGCCCTGCCAGGGAATCGAACCCAGGTCCTCTCGCTTAGGAGGCGAGTGCTCTAACCACTGAGCTACTGGACACCTACAGGTGAAGCAAGCATCAGGCAAATACACGTTTGATCAAGGAGGTAAATTACCTTGTGTTCAGCGTCAATCAGCAGCAGCACTTTGGCGTAATCTTGGTCCACGATAGGCAGCAGCAGGGACTGAAGGATGGGCCGGTCCAGCGCTGGGGGGGTTACATAACTTCGCTTGCCAAAGATTGGGTTAAAGACATGGAGAGAACTCAATCCAGTTTCCTGGTGAAAGCAAAAGTTGGGAGTCAAAGGGTTAATTGATTTTTAAAACACCCCAATAGTCTCGAGTTCGATACCTACTCTGAGCAGAGATGACAATCTCAAGAACAACAAACTACATGTGTAGTTTCATTTCAGGAGAACGTCTCAATCTCACCCCAGGCTGGAGGAGGGGTGGCGAGGGGAAAGATAAGTCAGCCAGGGTCCCAAGTCCTGAATGCTACCCAAAGCTTGTGGATGTGGAGCAAGGAAGCAAGGACTGGGTGGACAGGAATCTGATTGAAACTCAGCAGCAGAGAACACAATTACACGTTAACCCTGCCCGAGGTGATGTTCTCAGTCACTACCGCCTCTGGTCACTGCCCTGGGCCGCGAGGAGGACAGACCAACCACAAATCGGGGTCGGAGTGAAAAGTAGAAGTGAATCCTTTAGCTCCAGCTCAGCGACACTAACCTTGTCTTTGATGATCAGCGTGCACTGGGGGGGGTGAGGGAAGTGAGCTGTCGTTCGCTGGACAGCCAGTTTGAAGGAGGATCCGGGCTTCACGTTCTCCAAGTAATGCTTCCATAGGATGGTCCCTGAGCTGCTGTCAATCCCAAAGAGCTGGAAAATTATAATAATCCTTGCATTTGATATAGCGTATTATCACGTCTTCGAAATGTCTCAAAGAGCTTCACAGAATATACTGTCAAGTGAACTGAACGTATATTTAGTCCATGAAATGCCGCAGCCAATTGTGCACAGTAGTGTCCCACAAACAGTCGTGGATTGTGTGACCAAACTATTTATTTATTTTTTGAAGGGGTTATTACCCCTGGAAAAGCAATCCACCAATCGACTAACAACCGGGTTCCTACTGACTGCTAGGTAAACAGAGGCGTATGGAGTAAGGAAATTTGCCTAACATTTCGCCCTGCTGGGAATCGAACCCAGGTCCTCTCGCTTGTGAGGTGAGCGCCCTAACCACTGAGCTGCAAAACTCCACAAAGACAAGAAACAAAGGTAGAAATAGCTGGACACAGCATCCAGTAACTGAGGGTCAGGGTCACACCTCCCTCCCCGTACCTTCCCACATGCCGTCACCATCACCATCATCTTCTGCAGGTTAAACTCATCTCGAGCCAGGTTCTCAATGGTGATTTCGTTCTTTGATTGGCTGCGAGGTTTCCGCGCATCATAGAACATCTTCAGCAGCTGATAGCACCAGGCCTGCAGCAGAACCAGCTGGGACGAAATCCGCTTCATAAACATTCCCATTGGGCCATCTGCCAGGCAAAGCAACCAGTGGTCAAGCAGGAGAAACAGTCCAGAGAGAGCGAGAACAGACAGAGCGAGAAAAATGACACAGGGAAACAGAGACAGAATAGAATCATGTGTGACAGATCATAGAGCGGTAAGTATAAACCAGTTGGTCACCTGCATTAAAATTGCAGGGTGCAGACTCCGGTTGGGTGTGCAAAATCCTTCACTGTCCAGCGCCTTGGGACGTCTCCCGAAGTGAAAGGCACTATATAAATGCAATTTGTTGTTGTTTCTCCACCCCCCCCATCGAAAGCCAATGGCAAGAATGAGCACTTATAGAGCGGCATCGCAACTAAAAATTCCCTGAACACTCAAGGAGCTGGAAAGGCACTTCAGCTCTCATTGCCACACAAGTTACCTCCCAGAAACGACACAGAAATCTGCGCAATGAAAGCCCATTACCTTGTGTGGCTGGTTCCACAGCAGCAGAAAGAAAAAAGATCATGTTAAAAGCTGCGTCTCAACCACAGAGCACACAGGACCATGAGAATTGGCTACACATTCAACACAGCATCTTTGATACACAGTGACATCTCACAGATCTATACTCAATGCTGGATACTGAGCCAGGAGGGGGGCAGGGGATTATCGGCACAGTCAAATAGGTAGCTTTTTAGGCACCTTTGAAGATAAATTGTTGGGGGGAGTCGAGAGGGAGGGGACATTGTGACACCTGATGATGTACAAGTGGTTTGGTTCTCTGGAACAAAGCCTCCCTCTTGCTCTCTGTCTGTGGAGAAGCACCTGCAGAAAAGTCTCATCAGATTCAAACAAACAAACTCCTAAATATTCAATAATAAAAACAGAAGTCGCTGGGAATACTCAGCAGGTCAGGCAGCATCCATGGAGAGAGGAAATTGAGTTTCCTAAAGTGAGTGGTCTTTTTTTCCAGGGTCACACACTACCTGCTTTCTTGCCAAACTCGCCCTCCAGCTCGGCCTGCGTTCCCGTCAGAGGCAGATCCACCATCTCCATCGTAACAACTTCTGCCAACGCCTCTTCCCGTGTCCAGACAATGCGACCTACACAGAGCAGAGAATCCTCAACTCTCTAAACATTCCAGTGTGGCTCTGCACACACGTCAGGAACACATAATGATAAGAATGCTTGCATTTGATATCATAATAACAATCCTTGTATTTGATATCGCGCCTTATCGCGTCTTCAAGATGTTTCAAAGTGTTTCACAGAATATACTGTAAAGTGTAGTGACTGTTTTATTCGCAAAACACGGCAACCAATTGCACACAACAGTGTTTCACACATAGTCGTGGATTGAGTGACCAAATTCTTATGATTCATTTTTATTACCCCCAGAAAAGCAATCCACCAATTGACTAACTTCTACTTTCTATTTACTGTTAGGTAAACAGAGGCGTGGGGAGTAAGGAAACTTGTCTAAGTTTCGCCCTGCCTGGTAATCAAACCCAGGTCCACTTGCTTGCAAAGCGAGTGCTCTAACTACTAAGCTCTCCACATATGGCAAACAAATCCTGGACCGGGGTGCATGGGGATGGAATGCCTCACTGTGTGAGCCTGTCACATCCAGCCTATGTCCTGCCTTCCACACACCTGGCTGTTGAATGTAGGTAAGGGTGTGGTCGATGGTCTGGAGCAGAGCCCGGTATCCCACAGAATCATCTTTCTTCAGAAATGGTTGAATGTAGAGCTGAGAGAGAGCGAACACACACAGAGTGAGTGAGAGCAGTAACGGGGGATTTTACACACCCGAGTTTGCTCCCACTGGCCGCAAAGCAATCCTCCTTTCAGAAGACACAATTTCTCTGCATCAATTTGAGTTGGATCAGATTTCCCAGGACTGGAGATGCAGGTAATCCAGAAGGAGTTCAGCCACCCTACCCCATTACACTGTTGAGGGGGGTGGGGGTTGGGTGGGTGTGGAGTTCTCTACACCTTGTGGGGGGGTATAATTTGCGAATCAGAGCCCCTCCCATTTCCCCCTCACCTGCTCAGGGCTGCCAACATGTGGGTTCAGGGAAAAGTCCATGGCCGTATCCAGTAACCATCGGCCATTCTCTGCTGAGTACAGGTTAATGCTGAAAGCCTGTTGAACAGAAACAAAACATAACCCAAATCAGCCACTGTCCTCTCTGGCTCTGTGTGAGTTTATCCTGGAAGCAGCATAGTATCAGATAGCTGCTCTGAAGGGAGCCTGTGAGAACATGTCTGTGTCAGCAACACATACAATAACACACATGTGCCAGCAACACACACACACACACACACTAGCGACACACATATTGATTTGAAATTGAGTTGCTTATGACCCTATGTTTAGGGTCGTAATTCCAATCAACTATTAGAACATGTGCTAATTTCTCCCTCAGTGCCACTGCTGCTCTCATCAGTCTAAGAATATAATAATAATCCTTGCATTTGATATAGCGTCTTATCACATCGTCAAGACTTCTCAAAGTGCTTCAAGGGATATACTGTAATATACTGTAGTGACTGTATATTTGATGGGCGAAGCGAAATATGTGGAAAAGTTTGTTCTACAGAACACTTCCCTCTTTGGGCCTCACCGTTCTGTTCTTAGCTGTCATCACAGCCGCCACTGTTTTATCACCAGTCGTAGCGAAAGACATCAGTGAAGCCTGCAAGAGATAGAAGGATTAACCCCTCACAACACACTACAGCTACAAAGGCTCTACAGGAGCAACACTTCCCCTAAACAGCTGTCAGTAAAGCCATTTCCCTGGTGTCTGAAACTGAACCACACAGAAAGTGAAGTCACCCAGTGAATCCCATCTTATGGGAACTGAGCTAACCGATCCCAGCCGGGCCGGTGGGAGGGACGCTGATAATTAATTCCCCCAAACACTGAATTAATGCAGTATATCTAGTAACAGCTGGTAAGTCCTGAAAGCAAGGGTTAAGAGTCAGCCAGTGATCGGTAATTCAATGCTGTGTATAACATCTATCGTGCTTCATATCTGTGTGGGTGGGCGGAGGGCGTGTGGGTGGGGAGCGTTGGTGGGGTCAGGAGGGGTTGTGTGGGGGGAGGGTTTGTGTGGGTGGAGTGGTTGTATGTGGGGGACGGGGGGGTTTGTGTGTGTGGGAGGGCGGAAAGCAGGATACGCGAGATACCTGTCTGTGGCACCCGAGCACTGAACAGAGCGGTGACTAACCTGGACAAACTTGCGCAGAGAGCTGAGCGCCATGTGGCGGAGCTGCAGCAGCACACCGTTGGTGTCTGATAAATGCAGGAAGAACTGAGCTCCAGCAGCCCCCATTGGTGATGGCTGTGTGGTGACAATCTTTCCCTTAAACCCTTCATCCAGCTTCAGATCCAGAGACTACAGACCAGGAATAAAGAGAAAGTAAAATAGTCAACAACTTACATTTGACTCCACTCGATTGTCTAGATTTATATCTTTGATTTCTGTAAACTCCAAACTACCTGCAGTGCAATCTGCACAGGCTCCTGGTCTGATTGCAGAGGCAGGAGATGAAGGGAGTGGGATTCCGAGTCCACACAAGCCAGGATTCCTTCCCCAATAACCCCACAAAGGTCCTTCAGGTGCTGGATCCAGGAGGTTTCGAAGGAAATCTTCAGAAGAAATCAGCAACAACAACAACAAGTTAGACTTGTATAGCCCCCTTCACGTCGGAAAGACATCCCAGAAGCAGCAGAGAAGCAAATTAACAGAATAGAGCGGAAACTGTTGACACTGAGACTCTGGTTCCTCTTAGTGTCAAATATTGATCATAATCATCCTTGCATTTAATACAACGCCTTATCATGTCATTGAGACGTCTCAAAGTGCTTCACAGAATATTCAGTCAATTGACTTTACAGTATATTCTGTGAAGCACTTTTGGGACATCTCAAAGATGTGATAAAGCACTATATCAAATTCAAGGATTATTTTTATTATACTTTAAATGGACTGTATATTTTGTGGGTGAAACATGGCAGTCAATTGTGCATAGCGTGTCCCACAAAAAGTCACTGATTGAGTTACTTAATTATTATTATTTTTTAAATTTATTTTTGTTTTGAAGGGATTATTTCCCCCGGTTTCCTACTTACTGTTAGATAAACAGAGGAGGATGGAAACTTGGCCAACGTTTCGCCCTGGCCGGGAATCAAACCCAGGTCCATTCGCTTGCGAGGTGAGTGCTCTAACCACTGACCTACAGGACTCCCATCATAGCGTACCTACATCGCCACCTCCTGTCCTCACCTGACGGACGACCTTGCCATCAGCGACATCATACGTAGTGATGTGGAGTTGAGAACGAGAAACCACTCCTACCAGATGCACAGCATCATCTCCTCCTGAATACACCAACTCATAATGGATACCCTCACTACAGAGAGACAGACACACAGCCAAACATACACACCATCAGTTAAACTGCTTACACCCACAGATCAAGTGCCAAATATCAAAGGAGTTATGTCCCCGAAGAGCGATGAAAGAACAGACAATTGCTACTGTTACTGCTGAAGCACACACTGCACAGTCAGTCTCAGGTCCTCAGTTTAAGTAACAACAACAAAATGTGTAAAGCACTTTTCACGTCGGGAGAACATCCCAAGGCGCTGGACACACAGACTTACGGACCCGAGCTGGGGAGAGGGTGGAGGACGGGGGGGGGGGGGAGCAGGGAGATCGAAAGCACGGTCAAAGAAGAGGCGCTTGAGACGGGTATTGAAAGTGGCGGAGGGTGTGAAGCAGGACGGAGCCCGCTGAGCGGAGGGAGCGAACAGGATGTTAGGGGGTTAGGAGGTCGTAGAGGTAGGGGGGAGCAAGACCGTAGAGGACTTTGAAAGTGAGGCAATAGCTGTGCTTCCCAGAACGGCAACAAGAAATGGGTCACATCCAGAAACCACTGAGCCTAGCAAAGACATTCCTACAGTTAGCTGTGCAAACCTCTGCGCCATATGGCAATATACCCAGCAGCGTTCACCTGTCCGGTAGAGCCTCCGTCCATTTCTGATGTCCGTTTGAGAGATAATGGAGCGAAATGGACTCTTTCTTGACGATTGCGATAAATCTTACTCCTTCTGCAGAGACGACCAAACAGCCCGTCTGAAAACTAAAACAAAACGTAATTTGAGTGAGACAAAGAAACAATGCCTAATTCCCTGTAAATTACTCATTTATTCAACATCTAAATCACTCACTTATATTTCAGCCTAGATCTTACTCCCAGGACCAGTCATTCAACATACAAACCACTTGAAGCTCTCAATTAGATTTCAGGCTACAACTCAGTCTCAGAAAACTGTCTTTTTATAATGTAACCAGACCAGACCTCATGGGAAAGAAAAGTGAGTCAAACGCCTTCAGGAAGGATGGAGAAGGGAAATAATTGACCGAAACAAAATTTTAACAAAATGACAGGAGAGCTTGGAGGACAATAAACTGCCAGTGAAGGCTACAAATACATGGTCCTGACCTGCCAGGTTCCAGCAGAAACTCCCAGTTCAATCCCCCAATGTTCGTATCCTTCGAGAGGACATCCTGAGGTACTGGACAGTCAGTGGGGATCGGGAAGAGTGGAGGGCAGGAAGCAGGGTGATCAAAAGCGTTGTCGAATGGAGGGTCTTGAAGGAGGCAAGGGAGGGGGGCCTAGGCAGAGGGACTGCAGGATGGCGTTCCAGAGGGTGTACTTGGTTGGATGTGTACCTTTTGCCCTATTGAGCTCCCGTACTGTCTCCTACTCTCGCTCCTCCCCCTGGTTCACCACCCACCTCCGCTCACTGAAAAGCCAGGTGCGGGCCGCTGAACGCACCTGCGTCAAATCCAGCCTAACGGTCCACAGACAAATCTGGCTGGACCTCCTCAAAATCTACCGCTCCACTCTAGCCTCAGCCAAGTCGTCCTTCTACTCCAGGATAATCCTGGAGTCGAAGAACAACCCCAGGCTACTGTTTTCTACCACATCCCGACTCCTCCGTCCCCCCCGCCACCCCGCGCAGGTCATCTCCTCCAACCTTCACTGCGAGGAGATGCTGGATTTCCTTGAATCCAAAATCAAGGGAATTCGCTCCGCGGTCACTTCCCCTCCAACATCCACCCACCCCCCAACCCCTCCCTCCCACACTCCGACTCCTACCCATCCTCCCCTACACACTTTCGTACCCGTTTCCCCACCCTCTGTCACCAAACTCATCCTATCCCTGAAACCCACCACCTGCTCCCTTGACCCCATCCCCACTCCACTCCTTATCTCCCAGCTCCACCTCCTTGCCCCACATATCACAGACATCGTCAACCTGTCCCTCTCCTCTGGCTCCGTTCCCATTCCCTTAAAAACTGCCACCATCACTCCCACCTTGAAAAAACCCTCCCTTGATGCGTCGCAGCTATCAAGCTACCGGCCCATCTCCAACCTCCCCTTTCTGTCCAAGGTCCTGGAACGAGTTGTCGCCTCCCAGCTGCGCTCTTTCCTCTCCACCCATTCACTATTCGAACCCCTTCAGTCGGGTTTCCGTGCTGCCCATAGCACAGAAACTGCCCTGGTCAAGGTCACCAATGACATCCTAACCATCTGTGACCAGGGCTCCCTCTGCCTCCTCGACCTATCGGCAGCATTCAATACGGTCGACCACTCTATCCTCCTCCACCGCTTGTCCTCCCACCTCAACCTTCAAGGCACTGTCCTTGAGTGGTTTAGGTCGTACCTCTCCCACCGTTTTCACTATGTTTCAACGAATGGCTTTTCCTCCCCCTCCCGCACTGTCTCGTGTGGTGTCCCTCAGGGCTCTGTCCTCGGTCCCCTCCTCTTCACCCTCTATATGCTCCCCCTGTGGTGACATCATCCGCAGACATGGAGTTAACTTCCACATGTATGCGGATGACACCCAACTCTACCTTTCCTCCTCTACCCTCAACTCCACGACCCCCGATGTCCTGACAGCTGCCTGTCCGACATCGAGTCCTGGACGAGAGCCAACTTTCTTCAGCTCAACGTGCGCAAAACTGAGGCCCTCCTTATTGGCTCACGTCAGCACCTCAGGCGCTGACAGCATCAGCATCCAAGGCTGCACTCTCCACCTCTCAAAGCCAGTCAGGAACCTCGGTGTTCTGTTCGACCCTGAGCTGTCCTGTCCTTCCACGCCACAACTGGCACTGCCTTCCATCACCTCCGGAATATCGCCAGACTACGGCACTACCTCACCCCTCACGCGGCTGAAACCCTGATCCATGCCTTTATCACCTCAAGGCTGGACTGTGGGAACTCTCTCCTCGCCGGCCTTCCCGGCCCTCCCTCCACAAGCTGCAGGTCATTCAGAACTCTGCAGCTCGTGTACTGTCCCGCACCAGACACCGCGACCACATCACTCCCACCCTCGCTCGCCTCCACTGGCTCCCCATCTCCCAGAGGATCAAATTCAAGATCCTCATCCATTCACGGCCTCGCTCCCTCCTACCTCTCTGACCTACTATCCCCCTACCTACTTGCCCGTCCCTCCGTTCCTCTGGCTCCGGTCTGCCCCAACCACCCTGCCATCAGTGGCCGGTCCTTCAGCCTCTCAGCCCCGAGGCTTTGGAACTCTATCCCCCAGTGCCTTCGCCTTGCCTCCTCCCTTTCCTCCTTCAAGGCCGGTCTCAAGACCTTTCTCTTTGACCGAGCCTTTGGCTCCCCTCTCAACTCTCTTCCCTCCTCCTCGCTACCTCCCTTCCCTTCCCTCACCCTGACCATTTCCCCCCCTGCTCGGGTCCTGACAGCGCCTTGGGACGTCCTCCTGACGTGAAAGGCACTCTATAAATGGAATCTTGTTGTTGTTGTTGTTGTTGTACTCATACACACGGATAATGATGCATCCAAGCAGCAAGTCACCTCAGGTCTTGCATGGCAGACAATTAGGAACTCCGCTCCCCGATAATCCCAGTCCTTGCCAGAGAGGATTGACTTCAAGATCCTCACACTTGTCTTTAAATCCATCCACTCCTCTGCACACCCCCTCCTTTCTGACCTCCTCTCGCCTCAAAACAGTGCCCATTGCCTTCACTCCACTAGGTCTGGCCTCCTCATCCCCCGAATCCTCTGCTCCACCATCGGCCTTCAGCCACTACACCGCAAGGCTCTGGAACTCCATTCCTCACTCCCTTCGCCTCGTTTCCTCTCTTCCTATTTTCAGTTCTCAGCTGAGGGCCTTCCTTTTCGACAGCGCCTTTGGTCACCTTCCTCCTCCTCCCCGGGATCCTTACTGTGAAGTGCTCTGAGATGCCGTACGGCATTGAGGGCGCTATATAAATCCAAGTTGTTGTTGTGTATTGTTGACCCAAAACCTAGATACCAACATTATCATTCATATATTTTTGTGGGATATTTCTGCATCAGAATCCTTTTCTCGACCTCAACCCAACTGCTTCCATAGGAAACAGCTGCTCGGGACATCTCTTCTGGGAAATGAATGGGCCTTGTAATCTACACCACTTGCACCAGAGCATCCTATAAACAGGTTGTGGGGAACGTGCACTTGGCAACAGTACTCTTGCAGAGAAAGATCTACGGTTGCAGCAGTTAGTACTATAAATACAACTCTATTACCACCCAACTGACCTTTTACAGACTTACTGCCAACAATAACTGTTGGCACTGAATGCTGACTGCAATCTCTACTATTGCACTGAACCCCAGTCCCTGCAGTCATCATACACCGATCATTCATTAACCCTTTAGTTCTCAGTTTAGCTACAATTCAAAACGTACAGCCCATGTTTCAATAGTTAGAACATGACTACATTTAACCTCTACAACGTACAAGACAGTCTCGGCGCTTTGGGACGTCCTCCCGAAGTGAAAGACGCTCTTTAAGTGTAATTTTGTTGTTGTTGTTGTTGCAGAGCAGATGAAAAGTAGCCAAAAAGCAGAAGTCACTGTGTGCACTCCATGACTCCACCCTGAGAGAGGGAGCTATGTAAGTGCACGTTGTTAGCTGATAACTCGCTGAACATAAACACATACACAGCTGTGAAGTTACAAATCCTGTTTACAACCGCCAGACCTTTGAGTGGTAACTTCCCTTTAGCTCTCAAAGCCATCTTTCCAAAGGAGCACTGTGATGATGTCCCCACTCGGGCAGACAGGAGGCGATGCCACCCTCGGAATAACAACCCCCCACCCAGTGATGGGTGTGGGACCCGCTCTCGGCTTCTCCCCCAATTCTCATCGGGTTGACAGTGATCCTCGGAAGGGGCTGTGCTGCACAAACTGCCCACAGTCACAGCGCAGAGATCAACAACAACCCACGGGGTGGTGGGGGGGGTGACAGGAGTTTTTTAGTTAAGGCACATTTTGAGTGCGGAGTGACAAACCCCGGGGAGAGTGGGGGGGGGAGAGTGGGGGGGGAGAGTGGGGGGGGAGGGAGAGTGGGGGGGGAGGGAGAGTGGGGGGGGAGAGTGGGGGGGGGAGAGTGGGGGGGGGAGAGTGGGGGGGGAGAGTGGGGGGGGGAGAGTGGGGGGAGGGAGAGTGGAGGGGGGGGAGTGGGGGGGGAGAGTGGGGGGGGGGAGAGTGGGGGGGGAGAGGGGGGGGGGAGAGTGGGGGTTAGAGGGGTTGCGAGCTCCGCCGCCTCAGCATACGCTCCTTTACCATTCTAAGGCCATCATCAAATGAGTATTAACGTTACCTTCATCCCTCCCCCAATGGGGAACCCCTTCCCCGGGTTTCCGCTCCGGACCGCACCAACACTCAGATCTTGTTTTAATTTTTTTAAAAAAAACGCTGCTTTTTTTCCCCCGTAAGACCTACACGGACCGACTTGACCGTTGTGATTAACAGCCGTGTGTGTGTGTGTGTGTGAAGCTTCCTATCCTAATCATTGTAACTGTCCTGACTTACCTACTGCAGCACCGCTCTCCTCCTCCAACACACACCACCTGTACAGTATATACACACACACACGCGGCAGCGAGTCAGCCCCCGGGAGGGGGGGGGAGGGGTGATGCAAACCGAGCGCCTGGACCCGCCCGGACAGCGCGTAAATACATCTGTCACTGTGTCCGTTGCTTGTTGCTGCTGCCCCGGCCCCGCCCATGGCCCCGCCCCCGGCCCCGCCCATGGCCCCGCCCCTCCAGGCCAGGCCCCGCCCCTCCCTCCCCGGCACCGGCCCCGCCCCCCCCGCGCGGGGATCCCCTCGGGATCGTGACGCGACTTACGATCGCGCGCCACGGGGGGGCGGGGCGGGGGGGGGCGGGGCGGCAGCCACGTGATCGGCCGCGCGCTGATTGGCCGCCGGGCCGGGAGATCACGTGGCCCGGGACAATGGCGGGCAACGGCGGCGGCTGCTGCTGCTGCGGGGAGCGGGAGGGCGGCGGCAGCCCCGAGGAGCTGGTCAGTGCCCCCCCCCCCCCCCCCACTCCCGGGGCTTCGGGCTCGGCCTCCGGGCGCGGCGCGGGGCGAATGGGATTGAGACGGGTCATCCGGGCGGAGGGTGGGGTGTGCGGCCCGCGGGTCGTGGCTGCGGCCCGCGGGCAGGTTATGGTGGGTGGGTGGGTGGGTGGGGGTTGTCTCTCCTGCGCGGGCTGTAATGAATGGGGGTTGGGGGTTGGGGAGAAAGTCACCCCCTCCCCCCACCCCCACCCCGCTGCCGCACAGTGTGGGGGGGAACCCGAGCGGACACCTTACCCCGAGAGCCGGTGCGGACTTGATGGGCCGAATGGCCTCCTTTTTGCGCCGTTAGCGGTCCCTCATGTCGCCGGGTGGGGTGGGGGGGGCACCGCCCTAAACGTTGTGATCCTTTGCCGCAGACGATTCTGGGAGAGACGCCGGAAGAAGACGATGAAATTCTGCCGCGGAAAGATTACGAGGTGCGTAGCCGGGTTTTGTGGGGCGGGGCGGGGGGGGGGACGGACGGGGGGGGGGACGGACGGGGGGGGCTGCGTTCAGGACCTGATCCCTCCCCTCCGTTCCTGCGACAAAACTCACGTAGATCGTATCGGTCGGGAACGTAACACTTAATATAAACTTACCCGCAGTGAAGGGAAGTGAAACTCCTGACGTGAAAGGCGCTCTATAAATGGAATCTTGTCGTTGTTGTTGTTGTGAAGTGCGAGTTGCGGGCAAACTGTATGAATTGCGTAGAATCCGCTGTAATCAGTAGTTACGCTGCTCGGGTGCAATTCATCGCAGCTGGTAAGGGTGCGGCCGGTGACGGGTCAAACACTTCCCGCGATTCAGTGCGTCTCGACCTGCACTTGCATTGAATCACGCGAAATGATTCACCCGCAACATTTCACCCACCGTCAAATAGGTCAAAAAAAAATTGGTCACTCAATCCACGGCTGTTTGTGGGACGCTGCTGTGTGCAATCGGCCGCCCCATTTTGCCCACAAAGTACACAGTCAACTCACTTTGTGTATCCTGTGAAGCGCTTTGAGACGTCTCGAAAAAGTGATAAGGCGCCGTATCAAATACAAGGATTATTATTAGGATACATTAAGTTCTTCTGCACATGCAGCGAATAAATGAGAGGTTAATAACTGACTGAGTTATGTTGGCGTTGATCTTGGTGACGACTTCTCTCCTTTTGCAGAGTTTGGATTACGACAAATGCATAAACGAGCCGCACCTTGAGGTGCTGGAAACACTGGATAACAAGGTAACGCTCGCCCATTGCGCAAGGCTGTGTGTCAGACACGAGGGTGATGTGAAGCCGTGACTAACAGGAGCTGCAACACAAACTTTACTCGTCCGCAGAATTGGATGCACTGGGCACAGCAGTTTTCGTTAAAGTGTTCCTGTTTGTGTGTGGGTGGGGGGAACAGAGAAGAGACAAAGTGTAAATATGGAATTTATTTTTAACCTGATGGTAATTAGATTGAATCCATAACGGACTAAAACAGGAAATTGGATGGTGGTTTGTGTGAGGAGCTGTCATAGAATCTCACAGCACAGAAAGAGGCCATTCGGACAGTGTCGGGGAGCTGGGGGAGGGATATCTGTTACATCGCTGTTGATGGGAGGCAATGCACAAAAGCCGTGGAGACGAGCAGGAGATTTGCTGCTGACTCCTGCCTGGATCTCACTCAGTCTCCTGTGGGATGAATGGCTGGAGCTTATCAACAAAACTCACTGTCTTCTCTCTCTCTCTCTCTCTCTCTCTCTCTGGTCCACACTCTCCCGCTATTTACCATGTCTCTTCACTTCCAACAGAAAGTCAAGCGGTACGAGGTGGTGAAATGGGTGTTGGTGTTCTGCATTGGGGTCTGCACGGGATTGGTATGTTATGTACATCAATGTTAATAATCTGCCACACAATCGCCGCCATATGTGTGTGTCGGCGGGGGCGGGGTGTGTGTGAGGGTGGGGGGTACAGTGCCACAGGCAGAGGGCACCCAACCCCACAGGCAGAAGCTCCTGCTCCCAGTTAACGGGACGGACGGGTAGGCTACAGATAGGCTGGTTACGAGCGGTGGATCTGAACAAGTTGAATAACCTCGTCTTTGATCTGTTACAGGTTGGTCTCTTCATCGAGGTCTTTGTTCATCTCTTGTCACAGCTCAAGTTCCAAATTATTGGGAGGTGTATCCTTTCGTTCTGGGATTTGTTTTAGTGGGAGGGGGTGTCTCTGTTTGTTTATGTGATCGGGGATGGAGGGGTCACGGTGCGTATGTGGGTGGAGGGGTGTATGCTGCATGTATTGGGGGAGATTGGTGTGTGTGTGTGTGGGGGGGGGGGGGGGGGGGGGGGTCACAGTGTGTTGTGAGTGGGGTTCACTTTGTGTGTGTGTCGCGGTGCCAGTGCTGACATATTGCTGCCCTGACTGACTGTAGCTGTGGAGGAATGCACTGAGCATGGCTGCCTCGCACTCTCCCTCCTCGAGCTTCTCGCCTTCAACATGAGCTTCGTCTTCCTGGCCAGCCTGGCGGTAGTGATTGCGGTACGTTCTCACTGCTTGTTATCACTGCAACCACTAACACAAAGCCTGTTAACCCCCTCCCCCGACACACACACATACTGTCCCTGGCACCCCCAGGAAAACGGCTAAACTCTGATTCTTTGCCTCGCAGCCGATTGCAGCGGGATCCGGAATTCCTGAAATTAAATGCTACCTGAACGGGGTGAAGATTCCCGGGATTGTCAGGCTACGGACGCTGATGTGTAAGGCAGTGGGCGTGCTTTTCTGTGTGGCCGGAGGTTGGTGTCCTCACTCTTTCTCCTGGGGGGTGTTTTGTGGAAAGTGCAACAAGGCTTTCTGCTGTGTGAAGCACGTTGTGTAAAAGCATGTTATTGTGGAGACTGAGGTGTACATGTGTGTGTGTGTGTGTGTGTGTGTTCACCGGTTGGTGCAGCAGCCGTGTGTGCGAGAACAATACTGAATAACGTGAATCCTATAGCGTAGGGGTTAGAGTCATCTGTTTACCCAGCAGCAAGAAGGAACCCGGTTGTTAGTCGATTGGTGGATTGCTCTTCCAGGGTAATAATCCCTACAAAAAAAAGTTAAAATAAATAATAATAATTTGGTCACTCAATCCCCGACTGTTTGTGGGACGCTGCTGTGCACAATTGGCTGCCGCGTTTCGCCACAGAATATACAGTCAATTCACTTTACAGAATATCCTGTGAAGCGCTTTGAGACGTCTCAAAGACGTGATGATGTGCAATATCAAATGCGAGGATTATTATTATCAGCACTTTTGCTGCCACTATCGGCTACACCGGTGGGAAGGTGCAGCGTCTTTGTGACTTTGTTCCCATGTTTTTGTACCAAAGTTCTCTTTGTTTTGCAGGACTGTTTGTGGGGAAGGAGGGGCCGATGATCCACAGTGGGGCAGTGGTGGGAGCGGGGCTGCCGCAGGTCAGTGATGAGCGTGAGCGCGAGTGTCTGCGCAGACACTGTCGGCTGGGGTGTGTGTTCCAGCTCTGACCATCACGTCTTTGTCTCGTTTCCTGCCTCCCACAGTTTCAGAGCATTACCTTCCGCAAGATCCGATTCAACTTCCCGTATTTCCGCAGTGACCGGTAAGGCTCGGTGTAATTGTTGTTGGTTTACTGTTGCCTCTCCATATGACACACACCGTCGCCGTGCACTCCCTCACTGAGGTACATCCTGTAGCTCAATGGTTAGAGCAAGCGAGAGGACCTGAGTTTGATTCCTGGGCAGGGCGCAACGTTAGGCAAGTTTCCTTACTCCACACACATGCCTCTGTTTACCTAGTAGTAAGTAGGAACTCGTTTGTTAGTTTATTGGCGGATCGCTTTCCCCGGCTTAGTAATCCCTTCAAAAATAATAATAATTTGGTCACTTAATCCACGACTGTTTGCGGGGACGCTGCTTTGCGCAATTGGCTGCCGTGTTTCGCCCACAAAATATACAGTTGATTCACTTTACAGTGTATCCTGTGAAGCGGTTTGAGACGTCTCGAAGATGTGATAAGGCGCTGCATCAAATGCAAGGATTATTATATTATTCTCACTGTGTGCTCTGTCGCAGAGACAAGCGGGACTTTGTGTCGGCTGGGGCAGCAGCGGGTGTGGCGGCAGCGTTCGGGGCCCCGATCGGGGGCACCTTGTTCAGCCTGGAGGAGGGATCTTCGTTCTGGAACCAGGCGTTGACCTGGAAAGTGGTGAGTGTGACGTGGGGCCGGGTGAACAGCTGCCGTGTTTACCCACAGCCTATAAATGCTGTGAAGCGCTCGATGTCCTAAAATCTTTGTCGAGCATCTGCGTGTTTCAGGGTCTGATCCGGATCCTCTTCTCTTCCCAGCTGTTCTGCTCCATGTCGGCCACCTTCACATTGAACTTCTTCCGCTCTGGCATTCACTACGGGAGCTGGGGCTCCTTCCAGCTGCCTGGGCTGCTCAACTTCGGGGAGTTTAAGGTGTCGGTCACTCTAAAGCTTGGTTATTGTGGGATTAATGAGGGTGGTGGGGGCTCAGTGGTGAGTAGTGGGGTGGGGGGGTCTGAGTGGTGATGGCTGGGGTGAGGGGGAGCAGAGAGGGTGCGGGGCGGGAGTTGTGGGGCGGAGGGGAGCAGGGTGTGGGGGGTTTGGTGGCGGGTGGGTGCTGAGGAGTGGGATTGAGGGGGTTCAATGGCTGATGCTGGATCTCTTCTCTTAGTGCGCAGATGGAGATAAGAAATGCCACCTGTGGACGGCCGTGGACTTGGCTTTCTTCATCATCATGGGGATCATCGGGGGCCTCCTAGGTGCAATGTTCAACTGCCTGAACAGGAGACTGGCCAAGTACCGTCTGCGCAACGTACATCCCAAAGCCAGGGCCATACGGTAAAGATCGGGGCAGAATAACAGCAGAGCCTTACACCGGGGTCTGAGGTGGGGTGGGGCCCTGGGAGGGGTGGGGGAAGGAGGGGTTTGGTGGGGGTGTCTATGCTGTGTTGTGAAGCATTGATGTCTTGTTGCCTCCTGCTGTAGGATTTTGGAGAGTTTGCTGGTTTCTATGGTGACAACACTGATTATTTTCGTGGCCTCCATGACGCTGGGCGAGTGCCGGGAGCTGCCATCACGCACAGACATCAACAATGCCTCCATGCCGGTGAGTGCTGGAGTCACAGAGCAGTCACTGCTGCTTCCGCTAAGCTGTGTCTGGTCTCCTGTTTATCCGTCGTCCCCTCCGCTCCATTATTGGTGGCTGTGCCTTCAGCCACTACGCTCCGAAACTCTGGAACTCTCCTTCGATCCCCCTGCCTTGCCGCCTCCCTCCCCACCTTCAAATTCTGTCTTCCTTTTTGATCGTGCTTACGGTCACCTCCCCCTCCCTGTACCCCTGGCTCGGGGATCAGACTCTGCACTATGAAGCGCTCTGGGATCTACCCCATGGGAAGGGCGCTATATAAATGCAAATAGTTGTTTTAAAGTGATCACCTCAATTGATCAACTGCTGTTTGGTTGCATGCCTGAGCCTCTGCTCTGCTCCTGTGTGATTTCCCTGATATCAGTCTGACCTCCCGACCCCCCCCCCCTCACTCTTTCTCTGCTCCAGGTCACTGAGAGCAGCGTGAACTCCAGCATCAAAACCTTCTTCTGCCCCAATCATACCTACAATGACATGGCCACGCTGTTCTTCAACCCGCAAGAAACCGCCATTCTCCAGCTCTTCCACCAGGAAGGTGAGTGAGTGACCCATCTCCCTGGCCACGCCTAAGCCTTCAGTTTAATCTTGCGGTGTTTCTTCTCTGGGAATAAGCTATGAGAGCAGCAGGTGATCGAGATCTGGTTTTGGAACCAGTCTTTCTCCCGCTGAGCTGCCGAACATGGCTGACCTCTTGCCCACAGGTTTCTGGACAATGGGACATGTCGTCCACCTGCGGGTTTTCGGATGCCTGTGTGTGGGGTGGGGGGGTGCACCGGGCCTCTGTGTGGGGGAGTCGGGGAAGGCCCGCGGGTGGTTGGTGGAGGTGATGGGCCGTGTGCGGAGGAAGGAGCGTCCCCCAACTTACTACTGCGTTGCCTCCGCAGGAACCTTCAGTCCCGTCACTCTGGCCGTGTTCCTGTTGCTGTACTTTGTGCTGGCGTGCTGGACATATGGCCTCGCTGTCCCCAGTGGCCTGTTCGTGCCCTCGCTGCTGTGCGGAGCAGCCTATGGCCGGCTGGTGGCAAACATCCTCCGGACGTAAGTCATTCTCTTACCATTTCCCCCTCCCCCCCCCAACCAGAGATAAACATCCTGAAGAATCTTCTGAAAGGCCGCAAGGTTTTTGTGTGTCGCCCACACAGTGGAGCTGTGGACTGAGTCACACGGCAACACCGTGTTCTGTGCGTCTGACCAGGTTGTGTCAGTGACTGTGGCTGTTGTTGGATGTGTTGCAGTTACATCGGGATGAGTCACATCTACTCTGGGACCTTTGCTCTGGTCGGGGCAGCCGCCTTCCTTGGGGGTGTTGTCCGCATGACCATCAGCCTCACCATCATCCTGATCGAGTCCACCAATGAGATCACGTATGGTCTGCCCATCATGGTCACGCTCATGGTAATTGCTGTGTGTTTGCCCTCCCGCATTGACCTGTAATGTGCTGTAATAATCTCAGACATCCTTCCCCAGAACTTTATCCCACTCTAGAGGCTGAGGGATAAGGGATGGGGACAGAGGAGCTGCTTTCTCAAACGGTGTCCGTGGAGCACGTTTATCAGGGCCGTTTACTCTATTGTCTCTCCAGGTGGCAAAGTGGACCGGAGACCTGTTCAACAAAGGGATCTATGACCTTCATGTGGATCTCCGGGGTGTCCCTTTACTGGAGTGGGAGACTGACGTCGAGATGGATAAGTAGGTGTCTCCCTCCGCTCAGTGAGAGGCCAAATCTAACACTGTCACACTCTCGCTTTACACTGAGCCTCTCTCTCACACACACACATATCAACACACGCACATACCAACACGCACATACCAACACGCACATGTATGTACCAACACACACACACCAACACACGCCCGCACGCATACCAACTACACGCATACCAACTACACGCACGCGCATACCAACACTCACACACCAACACACACATGCGCATACCAACACACACGCACGCATACCAACACACGCACACGGGCGCATACCAACGCACGAGGGCGCATACCAACGCACACACAATTAGTGAAGAAAGTTCGAACTTGTGTTTTTATAGCATCCAATCAAATAGTTTCAGAGCAGTTATTATTGTTCAGTGTAATGGCTGTTTTTGTAATTATTCCATGTAGCCACATGTTTAATTGGAATTCAAAATTAAGTGTTAGCTTGTTCGAAACCAAACCTGAGCCAAACAACAGCAACACCACTGATCTCCACAGCCAGAGTGATTGGCTTTTGTTTTTTCACCTAGACTAACAGCGAGTGATATCATGGAGCCCAATCTAACCTACGTGTATCCGCACACTCGCATCCAATCCCTCGTCAGCATCCTGCGGACCACAGCGCATCACGCTTACCCCGTCGTCACGGAGAACAAGGGCAACGAGAAGGAATTCATGAAGGGAAACATTCTGATCAGCAACAACATTAGATTCAAGGTAAACTGTGGGCAAGTGTCACCTCTCCATCACCAGAGGGTGAGCACGATGCTCTCTTGTCTCCTCCAGGGGGAATGATACACACACAAATTAATGTTTGATTGTTTGCCACTATTCCATTGCTGTGCAGCTGTGTTTGGAGTCAGAATAAAAAACTATGGCTGTTTGAACAGAATTGAAGATCCAAATAACTGGAATAATCCTTCAGCAGCGCCGCCACCAGAGGGCGCTGTGACCAGCAATGTCAGCAGCGCCGCCACCAGAGGGCGCTGTGACCAGCAATGTCAGCAGCGCCGCCACCAGAGGGCGCTGTGACCAGCAATGTCAGCAGCGCCGCCATCAGAGGGCGCTGTGACCTGTTTCTTCCCTAAATTTCATGTGATGGTTTAAAGTTTCACATTTACTATTTGTTTACCTCCTAATTTTATCTTAACAACTACAACCCACGACTGTCTGTGGGACACTGCTGTGAGCAATTGGCTGCTGCGTTTCGCCCACAAAATATACAGTCAATTCACTTTACAGTATATTCCGTGGGACTTCTCGAAGACGTGATAATGAGCTATATCAAATGCAAGGATTATTATTATTATTATTGTCTCTGTAGAAGTCGAGTATCCTGACCCGAGCTGGAGAGCAGCATAAGCGGAGTCAGTCCATGAAGTCCTACCCGTCCAGCGAGCTCCGCAACGTGTGTGATGAGCCCCTGATCCCGGAGATTGCCGAGGACGGAGAGGACATGTTACAGCAAATGCTGGAGAGAAGGTCGGTCCCTGAGAGATGCCGGCTCCGTGCCCGGCTCTGGTCCCAGCGTGTGCCCGGGTTTATGGCTGGGGTCCAGCGACCTTGGGATGTTCTCCTGACGTGATAGGCACTATACAAATGTAGTTTGTTGTTGTTGCTGCTGCTCTGTGCAGGGGGACATGTTGCCTGTGATGGGCAGAGCCTGACTGGCAGCTCGTTCCTCGACCTGTCTCTGTCTCTGACTAGGCAAAGCTCTGTCACGGCAATTTAGGGGGAGCATCTTTAAAGCACAGGCTGCTGCGAATGTGGAACTCGCTGTTGGAAGCTGTGGTTGAAACAAACACCAGCAACAACAACTACAACATCAATATATTTAAGAGAAAATTTGTTCCTCACATGAGGGAGAAGGGAGTGGAGGAGTATTAACACCGGCACGGACTAGTTAGATTGAACAGCCTGTTCCTGTACAGTTCCAGTGTGTGTCACTAGACGCGTTAAAAGAAACCTAGAAATGTTCAGCACAGGAGGCAGCTGTTTTTCTATCTCATTGTAACCTGTATTATCACCTTTATTGTTAATCTCAATTCCCAGCCCCCTCTTCTCCCCCCTTCATATCTTTACTGCTCTGGATCATTTCCTTTTTGACTTGATGTTTGGTATTGTGATGTACCGGCTCCAGGTGAAGGGGCAGAGAATAGCCAAGCGCTCTGAGGTGCTACCCTGCATGAGGGGCGCTATATAAATGCAAGTTGTTGTTGCTATTGTCCTCTAATCGTTGCTAACTGCATTCAGCATCTCTGCCCCCACATTCTGGAACTCTATCACACAATCCTTCCGCCTCACCTGCTCTCTTGTCTCCTTCAAGTCACATCTAAAGACCTTCCTCTGACTATGCCTTCAGCCATCTTCTCACCCCCACCCAGCTGCCCCCTCTACTCCTCCTGACCCCAACCCCCAGCTCGGGTGCGAAAAACCCTGACTGTCCAGTGCTCTGGGACGTCTTTTCGACGGGAAGGGCACTATACAAGTGTAATTTGTTGTTGTTGTTTGCTTGCAGACACGCCCCGTATCCCAATCTGTACCCGGACCAGTCTCCCAGTGAGGAGTGGACGATGGAGGAACGTTTCCGACCTTTAACCTTCCACGGGCTGATTCTGCGCTCGCAACTTGTGACGCTGCTGATCCGAGGCGTCTGTTACTCGGAGACTCAGTCGGTGAGAAACGCAATCTTTTCTCCTCTGAAGAACATCTTTGTTTTTACTTTCATCCGCGGAGTCCTGTAGCCTAGTGGTTAGAGCACTCGCCTCGCAAGCTGGAGGACCTGGGTTCGATTCCTGGGCAGGGAGAAACGTTTGGCAAGTTTCCTTATGCCACACGTACTGTTTAATTAGGATCAAGTAGGAACCTGCTTGTTAGTCAATTGGCGGATCACTTTTCCGCAGGTAATAATCCCTTAGTCCTCTCGACGTGAAAATCACTGTATCAAATGCCAGGATTACTATGTTATCACCAGAAAAGTTTTCCCCAGTTTGCTCTTCAGTACTCGACTCAACAAAAATAAAATGAATAATAATATTTTGGTCACACAATCCACGACTGTTTGTGGGACACTGTTGTGCGCAATTGGCGGCCACATATTGGCCCAAAATATATAGAGTTGATTTACTTTACAGTGAAGTGCTTTGAGAAGTCTCAATGACTTGATAAGGTGCTATGTCAAATGCAAGGAATATTATTATTGGACTCGCAGACTCTGCCCAGCCCTGGGCTGCTGTTTACTGAGGGAGCAGCGCTCACAAAGGCTTATCAAAACGGGTAGGTTTACTTTAATTGGCGAACACTCTTGAGGATGAGTGGGGGGTGTTTACAGCTCTTCTGTATCAGTCCCTGTTGGCACTCAGCTGCTGTGTGGGACCCACGACTGATCTCTTCTCCATGACAGAGCGCTACCCAGCCCCGGCTCTCCTACTCAGAGATGACAGAAGATTATCCGCGATATCCTGACATCCACGACCTGGACCTGACTCTCCTGAACCCCAGGATGATTGTGGTGAGTGTTGGGGCTGCGGAACCCTGCAGGGGGGTGGAGGAGGGGTTGGGAGGGGGAGGCACAGCATGGGGTGGCGGGGAGGTGCTGGGAACTTGTCTGTTGATTAACTTGAGCGCTGAGTGAAAGTGGTGGAAATCTCAGAATTTTCTGCTTACAAATCAAATCTTTTTTTCCCACCTCTCGATGGGGTGACCTCCCGCTGTCAGGGCAAGATTTGTTGTTGTAACCCAATGCCCCTTTACTCTAGGACATCACACCGTACATGAACCCATCTCCCTACATGGTATCTCCAAACACGCATGTGTCTCAGGTGTTTAATCTGTTCCGCACCATGGGGCTGAGACATCTGCCGGTGGTCAATGCAGTGGGAGAGGTGAGTGACAGACTCGATACAAACCTAACCATCTCTCACAGGGTGAAACCTCCGTGTTGTGTGTCCATCGTCCCCCCTCACTTCCTGTGGGGAGAACATTCAGGTGCTGTGGCCTCACTGAAGTAGATGGTAATCTTGTTATTGTTATTGTCTGGCTCCTGTCTGAATACTGCAAGGTTAATTTCTACAGTTGCATCCAGGGTGCTCAATAAACAGCCAGCTCCCCCCTCACCTCTACCCCCACCTCTGGCCTAGCCCTCCACAGCTGTATTTGGACTCTCGACCTGAAAATAAACTGAGATTGAGATAATCTCCCGATCCTGGTGATGTGTCTTTTCAGAAATTCTATGTTTATAACAAACTTGGTTTAAATGACTCACCATCACAGCGAGAGACTCACGTGGGTGTGAGACTGAGGCCTGGAGCCGTGTCTCGCTCACTTGGTTTCCCATTAGCCGAGCTACAGAAGCCGAGTGTTTTCCTCGGGACGTGATTAATAGGAGCAAGGCTGCTGAGCCATGGCTTTTAACGATGCTTTTATTGCTGAATTCCTCAGGGGTCCCAGTGAAAGCTGGTTCGTTCCGTGACCAGATTTTCTGGAAAGCAGTCGATCCCACTGACCATAAACTGACTGTTAATTAAGATTGATTGAATTCTCACCAGTTTAACTACAGATTCCCTTCATTTAACAGACCACCCCCCACCCCACACACAACCCTGCTCCGACGGCAGCAGCTGTGTGAAGCCCTTCGGGACGTCCTCCCGTCGTGAACAGCGCTGTAAACTGTCATAAATATAAATATATTATTGTGTTGGAGAGAAACAGAGTGTCTCTCTCGGGGGTAGGATTGACGGCAGTGCCTGGCATTGTTCGAGGGTAGTAGTAATAATAATAATCCTTGTATTCGATATAGCTCCTTATCTCGTCTGCAAGGCGTCTCAAAGCGCTTCACAGAATATACAGTATAAAGTGTAGTGAGTCTATTTTGTGTGTGAAATGCAGCAGCCGATTGCGGACGGTAATGACATAGAATTATTTTTATTCTCTTTCAGATTGTCGGGATCATCACAAGGCACAACTTGACACACGAGTTTCTACTCTCGAAGCTTCGGCAGCACAACATGACGATCTGAGAGTTAGTTACAGGCTCTATGAGGGTTTGACTGTGAGGTGCCGTTTAGCCCAGCGCCTCACGCCGGCCGGTGCCTCTCTCGCAGGCTCAGAATTAACCCTCGCGGCTTTGCGGCCCCACACACTGCAGTCAGCGTCAGGTGGGAATTCCGGTTAGTTTCTGCACAGCACAGTGACTGTTAATTGTGGGCCTGCTGTAAATAATCGCCGTCTCTCAGGAGTCACAGCTCTTTAACTTCACATAATGGATCGCTGCACTCGCCAGGAGCTGTGGTGGAGAATTAATCTGAACAGAACCGATTCCTTCGTAGCTGCATCATGGGACCGACAGACAATATTAGATTAATATCGTAGATTGTTTACACACGGATGCTGCCAACAAGGTAACCTTTTGCACAGTGGGTCCCAGGATCCAGTGTGTGTGTATGTATGTGTGTGTGTAGCTTTGAACCCGACCTGTTCTCTGGTGTAAAATCCTGGTGTGTAGGTTTGCTGATGCTATGGGATATCACAGTTTGGGTTAGATGTTGGGTCTCAGCGTGTACGATGTGTACGACACACGTCACTACATTTATAGAGCTCTTGATCTCCCAACACTTTTCCTCTATTCCTCCACCTTCCTGCCCCTTCCTTCCCCATCTTCAGGTCATGCCTGAAGACCTTCCTATTTGACCAGTGCCTAAGGCCACCTGCCGCCGCATTGGCATTGTGCACCGCCACTGTCAGGCACTCTGGGACCTGCCCTGCATGAGGGGCGCTGAGTCGTTATTATCATGTTCCGGGGGTGCAACCACCTGAGCGAGCAAATTGATCGATGGCTTTTACTCGTAGCACTGAGCGCTCGAGCAAGCAGAGACCTGAGTCTGTGACTGAGTTACTCAGAGACTCGATCGAGTTCAGCCTTTGTGTTTTACGAGCTCCAAAACCCTCAGCAAGAAATTGAGAAGTCTTTCACATCATTTCAGGAGCTTTTCGCTGTTCAGTGAAACTCAAATTCACGGGTCCATCATGTGCAGTGCAGGGGAGAAGGGCCCATAGGCCTCGTTCTGTGCTCTAATTTCTCTGACTCCAGGTAACATTTTTGCATTAATTTAACACTAACGTAAGGAAACTAACTCTAAACGGTACAAAAACTAACAGGAGTTTCACTGGTCACATTCCTTCTTATTAAACCTGTATTTTAGATTTTTTTTTATTTTGCCTTCGAGACTGCAAACGCTTGTAGAGTAAGTGCAGTTGTCGGCTGTTGTTTATTACAAGGCTGGCGCCGCCTGGTGTATTTTTATGAACAAATCTTATGATATTTGTTTTCATTCTGCCGCAAAGCCGTGTCTGTCATTTGGAGGTTTCCCCTGGGGATCGTAAGGACCTGTTTCAGCGAGGCAGAGCGAGCAGCCCCAGTTTCAGGGAGAATTTTTGTGTGTGTGTGTGTGTGTGCACAGATGGCTGCTAAACTCACTAAATATCCAGTGTTGCACATTAGTTGTTCTCGTGAAGCTGCAGCTTACTAAAACAATCTTTTTCGTCAGACCTTAAAACCATGTGCTCCCCGAGCCACCATTTGAGGAATTATTTATAATAATAATACTCGTTTTATTATTCTAAATGTACTGTGACGCGGAAGGTTTGAGGAAGCGTTTGCCTGATGTGAGTGCTCGTTGCTGTTGCTTCTTGTCTGATTTGCACCAGCGTCAGATTTGCGCTTATTAAATTCACTTTCTTTGTTCATAAAATTAAATCCCATAAATTACCCCTGCGGGGGCTGCTGCTGATTTCCATGTATATCAACGCCTCTATTAATGATGCTTCAAAACATAAATGCACATTTGATGATCATATTTTACACTGGTAGCTTCAGGCTGAAACCATTAAATCCACCTGTCACTACACCCTGGAGGCTGATATAACCTTGTGCTTGTATGTATATATATATATATATTGTGGGTTTGCTGGTTCTCTTGCCCTGCGGAGGGCTGTGTTGGGCTGACCACACAACACTACGTGCAGTGGAAATGTACTGCTTGTATCTGCTGGCATTTCCTGTGTGATCCCTTTGTGTGGATTTTGTAGCGATCCCTTTTAAAGGAAAAAAAAGTTTCACCTTTTCTCCTCACCTTGTGTGTAATCTGAGCTGTTGTGTTAGTGACGCTTGGGGTGTCTGTGAAGGGAGCGTGGCGTCATCTTGTGCTGATATCAATGTAGCATTTGCTCCCACAAACCTGTGACTGTCTGACTGTGTGGACACATCGTGGAAAACTTGGAGAATATTATATCAATGTTTTAAAGCACGGAAACAGTGCTGAGACCAGAATGAGATTCGCTGCGACACCATCTCCCCTGTGAGAGATCTAGACATTTGCACTTAATATTTCTTTATCTGCAGATTATTTAACATCTTTGTAATTTAGCTTCTGATCTGATTTGGAATTTTTATTTTTTTATTCTACATATTTGTTGCTGTATTTTGCAGCCTCTGTTTGTTTTTAATTAGATTAATTGCAGTAAGTTTTAATTCTTTAATTGTAATAAACATTCCATTTGTGCTCCTCCAGGTGTCCTCCTGTTTATTTCCAGAGCGATAATAAAGTATTAAACCAAACAGCCCATTCAATGGCTTCAAAGGATATAGGGTGTGTAGTGACTGTATTTTGTAGGTGAATGCAGCAGCTAATTTGAGCATAGCGGCATTCCACAATAGTTATGATGTGAGTGACCAGTTTATCTGGGGGATTGTTGAATAGATTTACCTGATTCATCCTTGACTCATAAATGTGAGTGCTGGGCTTATGATTCCAGCAGCACTGACCTGTCCACTTGCCCTGAGTGGTAGTTGGCTCAGTCTGTCTTTGCCTTCGAACCTGTTCTGAACCCGTTCTTCTGAAGTTCCTTTTTATGTTCAGATGGACTGTTTCAATGGAATCTACGCACCTGATAATGTGGATTCTACACATATTGACCCGAGCCAATCAGCCAGTCGTTACTGGATGTGACGAGTGCCCTGATTGCAGCGAGCACCCGTGTCTGCTCAGAGCAGCTTGAGTGGGAGCTGGCGCAAGCTTTCACCACTGGACTGATGTTTAATAATCTGACGAATAGAGCCTCTCAAGGTAAAATATTCATCTGTGACAGTGACTGTGAGTGTCCTGCTTTAATAGCTTCACTTATAAATCCTGTCTAATCCCAGGAGAGATCTCTGCACGCTGGAGTACTTGTTATCTGCCGAGTTCGGTTTCGACAACCACCTGTGTGTTTTCACAAGAAGAGTGTTTGGCTGACTCGTTTCTCCCACGTAGTACACAGTCAATCCACTTTACAGTATATTCTGTGAAACTCTTTGAGATGTCTCAATGATATTAAATGCTATGATTATATATTGCTGCACTTACTGATGGTTTTCAGAGAAAGGAGCTCCAGCTGCTTCTGCATTGACATCAATGTAACGGGGCTTTCTCGATTATCCTACCACAAATGCTAGCAAAGCAGGTGTGTGACAGCAAGTAGTTGTTGCACTGTCACACTGGTGTCAGAGTAGGCAGCCCAGCGTGGGTTAGACGGTGCTTTCTGTTGTACAAGCTGAGGAGGAAGAGCGATAGGCTTTTAAATGCTACAGAACTCCAATCCAGGAGAGCAGCTGACACCTTTTTGTGTTCTGCTAATAGCCATCCATTAAATAATAATTTCTGCATGAAAGTAGTGGTCCCAGACTTGGTGATTGAAGTTAGCAGTTGTAGATGCCTCAAGTTAACACTTTAAATCACATTCCACTATTTATTTCCTTGATAGGCCACAACAGGCCATTCAACACAAACCACCCAGCTCTGCACACCTGTATAGGACTGCCTCCCTTCTCAGACTCCATCCGGTCACTTCATTTTCCAATGAAATCAAATATTGAAGAATTTGGAGAAGATTCCTGTCCTAAGAGTATTCACTCCTTATTGCTCTTGTGAGTTGATGCCGTTTGCTAATTGAAGCAAAGTGGCCTTTAGGTGAGGATGGCCACCACTGCCAAGCCCTTAGCTGCCAGACCCTCTGGAGCTCATTTCTTAAATAAGACCACATTGTCTTGTTTGCTCGTTGAAGACATACTTTATGCTTGATAAATACAAATTATTAGAGGGAACGACGCAGAATCAGGTTTTGCATCGCATTGAATGGTTGCTTCCCTCTCTGTCCTTCTGTACAGAATCTTGAGTCCTGCTCACCCGATGTTCCTGTAGTGAGTGTGTAGATCTATACAAAGCTTATTATGCAGTCAGTAAATTTATGCTCTGACCAAGAAACTAAGGGGTTTCAGCTGCACACTGAATCATATCCTTTGCGCCCTGTGGGGTGAATTAATGTGCTTAACTGACATCAAAACTTAAGTGGTTTCTTCAAACTAACTAGTCGCGTCTCGCTTGTTTTGAAGAGCAGAGGCACATGGTAATGAAGCATGATATTGGCGAATCCTGTTACATCTGCTGTCTCTCACATTAAGTGATATTATTGCATAATATTTAATCCAAAGGGATTATTTAACAAGTAAAACCCTGATTAATTATTGATTTTCTGACAACTTGTTTGCTGTAGACTTTAAAGACCTATCCATGGATAGCTTGTTTTCAAGGTGCTGCTATGATAACCTTCAGGAGTGTAACAATCCACACATTCTCTCACACACGATTCCCTTCAAATACTTTTTTTTTAAAAAAGTATAGATCGTGTCTCCACGTGGAGTGGAGCAATGATAACACATCTGCAAAGTGCTTGAGAATTCCTTCAAATAGTTAAGATATTTGAAATATTTGCTGTTAGTGGCGCTGCCTGACCCGCAGGAGGCGCTGTTACCACCCTCAGCCTGACCCGCAGGAGGCGCTGTTACCACCCTCAGCCTCACCCGCAGGAGGCGCTGTTACCACCCTCAGCCTGACCTGCAGGAGGCGCTGTTACCACCCTCAGCCTCACCCGCAGGAGGCGCTGTTACCACCCTCAGCCTCACCCGCAGGAGGCGCTGTTACCAACCTCAGTCTGACCCGCAGGAGGCGCTGTTACCACCCTCAGCCTGACCTGCAGGAGGCGCTGTTACCACCCTCAGTCTGACCCACAGGTGGCATTGCTGCCACCCTCAGCCTGACCCGCAGGAGGCGCTGTTACCACCCTCAGTCTGACCCACAGGTGGCACTGTTACCACCCTCAGTCTGACCCGCAGGTGGCGCTCCCACCACCCTCAGCCTTACCCTCCTGAACAGGGCATCGGTGGGATCATAGTTTAACGTTTCAGGCGAAGGTCACCGCCTTTGACAATGCATCGCACCCCCCAGCGCTGCTCTGGAGCCTTGGCTGCACTGGGGCCCTTGATGGGCTGCATTTTTGTTTAACCAGTGCGATGCCGGCGCCCCCACTCCGGCTCCTTGGGATGCCCTCCAGACGTGAAAGGCACTATACAAATGTGATTTGTTGCCGTTATTGTTGAAGCCCCACTCCCTCCCCACAGCCACACACAGCCACTTCATGAGGTTTTTCATTTTATTTTGCACCAGAACTCATAGGAAGTGACTGATCGTCATTTCTCACAGCAACAGAAATGACAGTACAAATAAATACAGTATGTTTAAATTAATATAAATAGATTTAAATAGTATTTAAACTGACACTTGTATATACATTAAGCATTTAATCCGAGAATAGAGCTCGTAAACAGTCTATAGCAGGATTCTACTCAACATCAGTTGGAGTTTGTGGGGCAAAAGAGGAAGAGGTTGAAGCTGCAGTGACTTGGATGTGGAGGAGAGAGTTGGCTGCAGCTCGGTGTCAGCCCTGCAAACGAAGAGAAAGAAATGAAGCATTAAAATGCGTTCACACTGAACTGCTCCTTGCTATATTGGAAATGGTGACTGCTCCTGGTTATAGTTCTGACTCTTCAGTGATCAAAATGATCTGGGAACACTCAAAACACATCATGCAACTATTAGAAACATAGAAACAGGTGTAGGACATTCAGCCCCTCGAGCCTGTTCCGCCATTCTATAAGATCAGGGATGATCTGTACCTCAACTCCAATTACCTGCCCTCGCCCCGTATCCCCTTAATACCCTGACCTAACAAATTGCTATCCAAATGGGTAGGTTGCAGGAAGGTAAAGCTAAATACAAATCAGATTGTGGCTTTGTCCACAGGAATCCTGTTTAATAGCTCTCTCAAACCCGACCGGGGCTCAGAGCAGAGAAGGCTGAGGATAGCCAATGGTGTGTTCCACAATGAGCCCGGCGGAGGTTCCCAGGCTAGACCACAGGAAAGCCTTGGGACGGTCGAGGAAAGAAGAGACGGGGAGGGTGGCAAGAAAGGAGAACTGAGTGTGAGAACTGAGTGGAGGCTAATCAGACAGGGATGGGGCCATTTTGGAGGATGGGAGCTTGGGTCAGGGGTGGCAGCCGAAAGGAGCATAGTGAGACCAGGAGCGGGCAATCAGAGTGACAATGGGGGTCAATGTCAGCCCACTGACATGAGGAGGGTGGGAGGGGGAGTAAGGGAGATCAACGCAGGATAGTCTGGGAATAGGACAATGTAGAGTTGTATTAAAAACTTGATAAGCTTCAAACAAATTTATCTTGCAATACTTCAGAAGGCAATGGGTTGAAAGTCTAGGAAGGAATCTGGAGTAGGGAGTTATCAGTGATCAGGTATTTTATATTAAATAACCTCCTGGGCTCAATAAAATATACCAAGGCCCATAAATATGGCAATTTGGGAAGTGGAACAATCTGCTGCTTTCTCTGATTTGAATCCGCTCTCAATCACACAGCAGAGAGCGATTAAAGACACACACTTAATATTGTAATCTGTACATGTTCTAAAATAATTCAGGAGATGAAGTGAATTGTGTTATTGGGTTTTTTCCAGTTAAGAGCTCTGTTTGAAGCTTATCAGTTAAGGGTTCTAACAAAATTCTACATTGATGAGCACATTTTCTCCCAGATTGAGACTCACCGTAAAGGAAATCATTAGCAGCCCAGGCCACTCATGGCCCCGATTCGATCCAGTTTTACTCCAAAGCAGCCCCTTGATGGTCCCTTTTTGCTTCTGCCGTTAAATCGTAGGGGGCTGATAGTGAGATCTTTAAGGAGACGGAGCAGGAGCCCGTCATGCTGGAAGGATCTACCCCCGATGTCTCTGGCATCGCGGTCCCACAGAAGGTCCATGTCGGCTTGATCGAGGTTCAGATCACGCAGAGTTCCAGCCCGGGATGCCTCCTCCGCCTCCATGTCCGAATCTTCTGAGGACAAGTAGGGACCGTATTCATCTTCCAGGAGCCTGGATAAGATCTGAAAAGACATCATTAAAATATTTAAGGGGGTAATAATCCCTTCAAAAAAAATAATAATTTGCTCACTCAATCCACGGCTATTTGTGGGAGCAATTGGCTGCCGTGTTTCGCCCACAATATAATCAGTCAATTCACTTTACAGTATATTCCGTGAAGCACTTTGAAACATCTCGAAGATGTGATAAGTCGCTATAACAAATGAAAGGATTATTAAACAGTTGAACAAGATAATAATTAAAATGCCTCCGGCTTGGATTCTGGTTACAGCTTTAAAGCTACTCTTAGTTTGAGTAGAAAGGAAGAGAAGGTGCAATAAATGACTGGTCAGTTGGAAGAACGAGAATCCGTTTCCTTCCTCACTGAATTTGGTTAATATCTCCGCTCTAAATCAGCCCTCTGGTAATTCTTAATAGTTAATCACCAGTTAACTGGTTGTGTTTGAATATAACTTGTTCACTGGACATTTTCAGCTGCTAATGATAATAATAATCTTTGCATTTGATATAGCTACTTACCACGTCTATGAGACACAGAATACACTGTAAAGCAAATTGACTCGAGATTTTGTGGGCGAATTGTTTCACATTTGATGAAATACAATTATTAAATATTCTATGACTGAGGAGGATAATAGAGTAATAGAATATTATCTCCTTGGTAATAGTGTCTGATGTGTCCCTCTTTCTCCAGAGGACAAATTAGAAGCTGAAATACATGTAACTAGTCACCGTTAGAGCAGCAATCTCTCCAATGTTACATGACCACAACAGCCACGAACTCCATCGCTGACTCAGTGCTCACTCTTTGCTATTAGTTTGAATAATCAGTTACTAATAATCATCGTCTTTCTCTCACCTGGAGACTGTCCACACCTGTTCTGGGTCTCGCCTGGACTTGGACCTGGATCAGGAGGAGAAGCATGAGACCACAGGGGAAGCTGACGTGTGCGTTCATCTTCTCTTGAACCTCTTGGTTGGCAATGGATCTGTCGCCCTCGTCCTCTGGTTCTGTACCTCTCACTCCAAGACTTTTATCTCCACTCACACTGACGTCACGTCACTCTCAGTGATCCCATCATTCATTCCCCTTCTCTCCATCTGTCACTTCAGCTGAGATACAGGAGCAGCGAGTGTGTGTGTGTGTATTTGTGTGTGTTGTATGTGTGTGTGTGTTCTGTGTGTATGTGTGTGCATTGTGTCTGTGTATGTGTCTGTGTGTGTTGAATGTACGTGTGTGTGTTCTGTGTGTGTGTGTTATGTTCTCTGTGTGTGTGTGTTCTGTGTGTGTGTGTTGTGTTCTGTGTGTGTGTGTGTTATGTTCTCTGTGTGTGTGTGTGTGTGTGTGTTGTGTTCTCTGTGTGTGTGTATGTGTGTGTGTGTTGTGTTCTCTGTGTGTGTGTTGTGTTCTCTGTGTGTGTGTTGTGTTCTCTGTGTGTGTGTGTGTTGTGTTCTGTGTGTGTGTGGGTGTTGTGTTCTGTGTGTGTGTGTTGTGTTCTGTGTGTGTGTGTTGTGTTCTCTGTGTGTGTGTGTGTGTGTGTTGTGTTCTGTGTGTGTGTGTGTGTGTGTTCTGTGTGTGTGTGTGTGTGTTCTCTGTGTGTGTGTGTGTGTGTGTGTTGTTTCTCTCTGTGTGTGTGTGTGTGTGTGTGTGTGTGTGTGTGTGTTGTATTCTGTGTGTGTGTGTGTGTGTGTGTAGGCACAAGCCAATTCCCGTTGTCACTTGTTGGGGAAGTGCGGATGGGATGTATTATTGCATTGACTTGTGTGGCCGTCGGTATCAGACACCGAGTCACAGTGACAGTGACATTGATCCATTTGGACTCTGAGTAACTCCGGGTCAGAGATTGTGAAACCGATTCATGTTGTATTGTGTGTGTGAGTGAGTATTTGGTCTGTAACTGGTTCTTGATATCCGGATCAGTCGCAATTACTCACACAGTCCCGTTGCCGTCCTCTTCGAGGTGTTCTGGTGGAAACATGTTACTGTTTCAGCCAAATAATAATTAATAGCAGTCGCTGAGAATGAAATAACGATGATTTAAGGACAGGTCGCGCGTCAAATAAATCAAAGGTATCCGGGATGTGAGTGGGGAAGTGGAGTGAGAGGTGAATCCACTTCTCACGATCACTGCATTTGGTGCGTAAAGTGTTTGAATTGCTATTCAGATCCTAAATTGTGTTTCTATCGCCCACCGATTAACTGCATTTTGTTGGGAAGCGGTATATTATATATATATATGTGTGTGTGTGTTACTCGACTTCAAATCCAATTAAAAAATGTTTTCGAAACTTAGGAGGGACTGACCACAGGTTCCTCATTTATTGGGGAATGTCGCAGTAACTGTCGGTATTGGGTATCCCAGAGCTGAGGGTGTAGTCGGGCACTGATGGAATGATAAATAAAACGCAATTGCAATAACGGAAGCGTCAGTTTATACATTGCATTAACTCAATCACTAAATGCCGCAATTTAAAGGCACAGAGAAAGGGGACTTCCAAACACGAGTGTAAAATTTGGTTAGGAAAATCTGACACCACCGTTACTGACGGCAGAAACAGCGAGACGGTCACATCAGGACAGAAGAATTTGCTAAGAATAAGACGAAAGAACACCAAAGTCCATCCAGTCCCCATGATCTCTAATCATGAAGTAATCCTGGCATCTGACCCTTATCATTTCTTCGAGTCGTCTCGAAGCACTTAACAGAATATACTGTAAAGTATATTACTGTATGTAATGTATGTATTGTATATTTTGTGGGTGAAGCTGTATATCCAGTGAATATATATATTAACCAGCGCTGAAACTGAAGTGAGAATATAATCGCATACCCGTTACTTTTGACTAAAATATTCGGTGCACAGTGTATCTTGGAAAGAGTATCCACTTAATGTGGTGCTTTGTTATTGGTCCCCTTTGACTTTAAATGGTAAACAGAATCATTTGTTGAAAGTAGATTTAAAGGTTATTTTGTGGACACGTTCAAATGTGCCCATTGGAGAGATGGAGTTGGGAACCGACGGGAATAAATGACATGGAGGTGAGTTGGATTTAATTACGTTTACAATGCAGATTAATCGGTTAAACTTGTAATCAATGATACGCTTTGCAAAGATATAATCCTACATAAACCCTCGCGGTTTAGGGAATGGGGGAACTGTATACTTCCAGCAACATGGTCTGGTTCAGTTATCCCAGCGGGATATACAGTAACTTCACATTATATTGCTTTACACATGTATCAGCTGACGCATAAAGTCAGTGAATTGGTTACCATGTTCCCTGAAGACAAATCATTTTCTTTCTCTTTCAGTGAAGTTTTTCTGCGCTCATAGGTTTATATCTTTAACATCACTGTTAATTGTGTCATTGGAAAGTTAAAACTACATGTTGAGTTGGGTGCTCAATCACTTAAAGTAAACCCAAGGTATATTTTGTGAAGCTCTTCGAGACGTCGCCACAAAGTGATAAGGTGCTACATCAAATGCAAGGATTATTATTATATTATTATTAATTGTTTACCGGTGATATTTGCTTCAACTGGGTGTATTTTGACAGATCATACATAGCATTGCAACACTTTTTTAACATAAATGTGAATGGGGGCTCGGGTTTGGAGCCTGCATTAGGTGAGGTGAGATATTTTCACTGTTTTAAATCAGTATCACTTCCCTCACTTCCTGATATTTCACGTCTGTTAATTTGGTTCTGAGATGTTTGGATAGTATGAGGGGTTTGATACAATGCGCCTTCTTTATTGTCGAGTTGTTCTCTCTAACGCAGTGGCACCACTGTACTTCAGGAAAGAATCCATGGGGTGGTTGGTGCCCTCTGGGCAGGTTATGTGGGCAGATCCGCACCTCAGTTGATAGCTGTATCTCCGGAGTGAGGTTCCAATCCAGAATTCCCCAACAGATCCCCTCTTCCCCATTGGAAACATGAAGGGAAAAGGCCTTTCAGTCACGTCGGCTTTCTACTGTGGCATGTTGGCAGCTGCTGAGAGGTGGGAGGAACGTATGTGTTGGTGGACACGTTTGGTCCGAAAGCAGTTGCCTCAGTAAAAGGTGGATAGTGTTGCCATGAAGATTGTTTTGTGAGTATTGGGAGTGGTCCGGGTTTACATTGCTGTCTATCCATTGCTTCTGTGACTGAGGCAATCAGACTCCACCGAATAATAGTCTACAGGTGCAGACCTTCAGCTGTGTGAAACCATTGGTTGTATGAGTGAGATTGTATGTAAAATGACAATTCATATCGACAATTCATATTGTAGCTTTGTTTTGCTGTGACAACACAGAATGGAAACCGGTTTACTATCTCACGAGCTTGTTCAGTGTGTCTACGTTATTTTTTTTAAATGAACATTGGTACTCATGTGCTTATATGGCTTAAACAGCGCTGAGGTTACAGAGAACATTTTCCAGCAACAGAAAAAGTGAATAGTGATTACATGACTCCCCAATCCATTACTCTCACCAGATTATTGTGGACGTTTATTTACTTGACCAACCCACCAGCATTGTTTAGGAGGCGAGCTCTAAAACTCTGCTTATTCTCAATAAGGTAAGTAATAATACTTGACACAAAATTCATCATCAGAAGAAAAATCATTTATTAATTCTAATCACCCCGCACGTATAATAACGTCCACACTTATTGCACCAAAACTCGCACAAGGCGCGATCACCAGATCACCAAAAAATAAGTTACAATAAATATACTTTCTCTTAAATTAATATAAATAGTTTTCCTCCAAAGTACCATGAAATAGGATGACATCTACACGATTGTTTGAGAACAGTTTAAAATGGCAAAGATACGACTAGTACGCAGTCTACAGTGGGACTATGGAGTTTATAACAGTTTGTGTAACCAAATGTGAAGGAGATTTAGATGAAGTAAAGGCTGTAGAGAGGGTAACAGACGGGTTTTCTTCACATTTTTACTCTTTCAGTCAGATTCTGGGAAGGAAAAAAAAAGGAAATTAGTTGAAACACACACTTTACAATAAGGAATCCAGTAGTTTGGGTATTTCCCAATTAGATGTCACAGTTAAAGATCATAAGAATCTGTTACAGTTGACAGCCAAGTCTATCATCATACACAAGTGGGTGTGATTTACATGGTAAAGTACACAATTTATTAATTCTAATCTGGGGGAAAACAATTGAGAGAGATTAATGAGAGAATGACTGTGGAACCTGATTTACAGGGATTGTCTAATGGCACCAGAGTTATTCAATGAGAGGGAAGTTAATGAAGTGAATGTGGTTTATGAAAAGAGAGAGTTGTGATATTTAGGATCATTGGTGACATTCAACGTTCAAACTATCCATCTGTTTATTTCTGTGCGTGAGTTTATAAACCATTTCTGTCTGATCAACGCGCAAACGATTCCGTGTAATCGATGGTAATAGTTTCTCTTTGAAGCCTTAAGTAGTGAAGTTTTGAGCTGCGGCTAATGTAAAGTACCAACAACACGGTGTGGAGTTAGGAAGCTTACCTTAAGTGAAGTGAGTTAGCATCCCAGGTCACTCATGGCACCGATTCTGTCCAGTTTCCCTCCAAAGCAGCCCCGCGCCGACCCCTTCTTGTTTCTGGCCCGGAATCGGAGAGGGCTGTAGGCGAGCAGTCGAGTTAAACGTGCATCGTGAAGGCTGTGCCTGGTTTGGAAATCGCGGGAGTCCCTGTCCCAAGGCAGCTCCGACTCAGGTTGGACACTTTCTACCTCTGGAGAGGCCTCCCCTACAGCGGTATCGTCAGCCTCGCTGTCCAGCTCCTCCTGAATCAGAAGGCGCTCCAACTCCTCTTCTAAAATTCTGGACAAGGTCTACAATAAAGGTGGGAAATGTTAGAAAAGGGTAGAACATAATTACGCTGCATCAGTGCCGGGGTCAAGCCCTGATAGCAGAGATCGGAGCACTAAGTAGAATTGTCCTAATAATGGCAGGAAGGAGCACTGAAGCCTGATTCAAGCAATGAATAATATATATAATAAAAATAAACTATTATGTAAAATGCTATGTAAAGCAATGCTATGTAAACTGTACATTAGCTTTCAGATAGGCTTGCAGTTGCAAAGGGAAATTTCAGGAAGGATTCCAGGTAGTATTTGTTTACCGAGAGGCTAATTAACCTCTGACTCGAACAGGTTAGCCTGGTTGAGCCCAAAATTCTGGCGTGTTGAGGCCAACAGCTTCTTGCTGTGCTGGCAAGATGTCAAGGTGACTCTTCTGGAAGGATGAGATCACATGGAAGGATAGCCTTCTTGATGGAAATCGATCATTTGAAGTTTCTTTTTGAACTCTGTGTTGCACTGAACCTGATCATCCTATCTTCTCACAGTTCTTAGTCTGGCTATGCTTCCTATAACAGTTAATAGTGTCCAGGATCTGTGAACAATTGCTATTCACCTTGCGGTATATTCAGTGAAGTGCGTTGAGATGCCTTGAAGACGTGATAAGGCACTATATCAAATGCAAGGATTATTATTATTATTATTATTGTGTCTCTTACCTGGAGGTCGTGCTGTGGCCTGGGTCTGGCTTGGACCTGGATTAGCAGGAGAAGCAGCAGTCCACAGGAGTAAACTGTGTTTGAATTCATCTCGCCTGGTTCAGCTTCTGGTTTGATGTGGGTCTCGGTTTCTTTCGGTCTGTCCCTCCACCGTGATTCGGGGACTTTTATCCTCCTCGGGCTGTGGTCATGGAGGTCATGTGGTCAGGAAACATTTTCTAAGAAACTAAATCCATTTGGTTCCGTCACTCTTTAGAGATAAAGGGCATGTGGCAGGATCAGGAGACATTTCCTTTTAAGTGGCCTTTTTGCATTTGATTAACATATAGGGAGGACGGTCTGATTCTATTCGCTTTCAAATCAGACTCAGTGGGTGGGAGAAATCCAGCGCTTTCCAATTGATATTGGAGTATCTGGGATAGGGAAAGCAATAGGACTTTCTTTTGGTTAGATGTTTGGGTGTTTGAGCCCATTCCAACAGATATATTGATGTAAATTCTGTAAATTGGTGAGACTTATGGCAGGACATAGCTTTGCTTGGATGTCAGGATGTAGTGAGAAATAGTGGCTGTTTGATGGTGGTGGTGGGTTGAGTTTACACATTGATCGCAAACTTTCCGGAGGTGTTGGGGGTGGGGTGGTGGTGGGGAGGGGGGAGAGAACCGCAGAAGTTGGAGAGAATGGTATTGAGTTACAAAGTTTTCCAACATTAATGTTTCTTTAAGTAGCTGAGTTCTTGATTGCTGTCACGAATACTTGCAGACGCAGATGGATATCCGGAATAAGTTCGAGGGAATCCAAGGGCGACGTCCATTTGATTCCTGAGCGTAATTACACACATACCAAACGGTCATTAATGTTTGGGGACACCGCTTGGGTTTGGGTGTGGAATTCTGTCGCTTCTGCTTAGGAGAGCAGATCCGATTCCTGATACTTTTAGGTGTGTTCTTTGTTTGGGAGCAGTCGAGGTTTTGGGTTTTCTTGAACACGGCAAACGATAGAAGTATAAAACCCCAGATCTGATATAAATTTTTAGTTTGTTTGATTAACTATGCCATTAAAGTGCTATGTGGCTTGTGTTACAGAGCTCGGTATGGAAAGGGAGCTGATGGCATTCCTCTTGAACCATTGCAAGAAGCAGAGCCTGGGTAGGACACTGCACCCCACAGCTTCACTAAGCAATAACAATTACTTGGAGAGAAGGAATACTTTGATGTATTCTGAGGTCTATGGATAAAGCTATTACACTGCTGCTGGCAATGTTGAGTTTGCTTCGGTCACTCACTGCGATCCTGAAGGACCAAATGGTATTATCTATCTGACAGATTGCATTCAATTTCTTGTGAAATACCTCACCAATGATATATTGTTCTAGCCTTCTGTGTTTATTGCAGTGAACACTAACTTTGCAAGACTTTATGCTAGTTATCAAGAGAAGGATGCACTGGCCAACAATCCCCCAAATAAAATTGGTCATTCACACCTTTGCTGTTTTGGGGATATTGCTGTGTACAAATGACTGCCCCCATTCGCCCACAAAATACCCTACAATATATTCTGTGAAGTGATTTGGGTGTCCTCCTGACCTGAAAGGTGCTATACCAAATGTAAGGATTATCATCATTTTACTGTTGTTATCAGAGTGAGGTATAATCTGTGTTCAGTCTTTTTTTGTAGACCCAATAGATTAATTTAACTTTTGCAGAACATTAGAAATTTAAAGTTTTTTTTTAATGTTGTGGGTCTGAACGATATCTGTATATTTACAAAACTACAAAGAGCAATCAGTACTGAAAGCCTTTCCATCAGCTGTAACATTCCTATAGCTAATCAAAGGCCACCATGTCCCAGAAATCAGTCTTTTTGTTGATATTTAACGCAGATATATATTTTTAAAAAGTCCATTATAACGTTAACAAATTCAGACTCCTGTATTAGTAATGAAGCATTTCAGTGGCAATAAAGATTCCCTTGGTACATTTCAGGAGAGCTTCTTGAATTTTGATAGAGTGTAGGTTGATGCCATTATTTGTGTCCTTAGGATCCCACTAAGTGCAATATTCAGTGGTCAAACACTGTGCTTCACTACTAAATTGCGGGTGTTCGGGATATAATTACAGTACATTTGCTCAGAAACACTAGACAGGTGTAGTGTAGTGCCTAATTCATTTTAAAATTCTGGGTAAACACAAATAACACATTTCACTGATTAGATTCATGCAGCATTTACATGAAAAAACAAAACTCTGTTTTGTTGCACAGTACTTTGTCGTTGGATGTTACAGAAAAGCATCAGTTTACTAATTTGATGTTAGATAATTTATCCTCATATCTTCAAGGGTCTGTTTGAAGCCAAAATATAGAATTTAATTTTGAAATTACTCCTCTTTGGATGCATTGTTTTCAGCACGTTGTGCGATGATTGTAGGAAATTCAAACAGCATCCAAGGGAATGGTATCAATTACAGCTTTTATTACAATTTGTCTATATATATACTTAAATATTAAGAATATTATTAAGGTGGAGGAAATATTGAACTGATGGAGATGAATGCCACGTGGATCTCCGTGTGATGCTAGAAATAGACTGAACTGTTGAGCTCTCCAAAGAGAATATTTTGTGCATTCATTTGTGAAGCATTTCTATGCACCATATTATGATAGTTCTCAGGAGATAATACAGATTCTGACACACAGCAACTATTCTCTCGCAGACACCTATTCTTTTTTGAACATAAACTGCCTTTAATGCAAGGATTATTATTATTATTATTGTGTGTCTTCCTAAAACAGGTTTCCATCAATATTGCTGAGGTGAGGAGTTAATGAGGAGGATTGTATTGTAGAGTTCTGGCAGTTTTGCCTTTTGATTTTTGCTGAAGAGAGGCGATACATTGGCTCTTGAAGATCAAGTAGTAAAATGCCTGTTTTTGTTGTTGTGCTCTCTCTCTCTCTTAAGTTTGAGAAAAAAAAGGAGATAGAATTCCATATGCTTAGTATTTAGATAGTTTAGAAAGGTCTATTGGGAATCCACATGGTTTAATAAGCGTTTAAAGAAATTAAAATACATTGTTTTTTCTCATGAGCTAGAAAATAAGATATAATTTCATAAATATAATTTTTTCAGATTTATTTCTCTGAGGGTCATCAAGTCATTGCTATCATTGTTTGTAAGATGTCAAATATAATATAAAAAGGCATTTTGGAACTAGCAACAGCACGAATAATTAATTTGGAATATTACTTTATCTTTAAATGCACTGGACTCCATATCAAACCACCCTGATTGCTTAGAGGGAACAGTAACAGTAAGAATCCTTTATGTCATTTGGACATTAGAAAACTTTGTAAAATCCAAGAGAATTTGGAATTTGGAATTTGGAATATTCCAAGGAATATTACTATAAGTGCTGTTCAGTGGCGATATTCCTCTGAAATAATCATGTGGTATTTCAAGATATTTTGAAACTAAAATGAAGTTCCATTGCTGTGGAATTATTGAGCTGGCCTCTGAATCCTCTGAAGTGTTACTTGCTCTATGTTAATAACACATCAAACCCAAATCTAAGGCCGTGGTGAGAAGCAATGAATGCCATTTTCTAGTGACAAGAAACCAGCTCTTCAGTCAGTACATTCTGCCAAGCTGTCAGTGTTTTAACAATGAGACGGGACTGGAATGTATTACAATGGAACATTAACATTTTCGGTGTGATTTAAATTTTGATGATACCTTCTCTGTAGATTGTTCGAACCCAGACATGATTCACTGAACAGCATCATGGTAATTTAGTCTTGTCACTGAGGATTATTACAGGAATGTGACTGTACTTTCAGAGGCATCTGTTCACAACATAGCACAATCTGTCACTGAAATATGATGGCTACACCCTGATTGCTTAGTCTCTCCATTCCAGCACTCATCAGAATAGAGTTCAATTTATGCTTCGAGTCCCTAAAGATGTCACCCATGTCAAATCTACATTTGTGCAATGTCACACAATTTCTTTTGGGATTTATTTTCTAGGGACAATGCAGTTCAGTTCATGACAACCCCAACATGAGACTCAAAGGAAGAGTGTTGCCTGTGTGGCTGACAGCAATTGATTTACGTCGGGTTCTTTTGTGCCAAACCGCTACTTCACTTCTCTGACCAATTCAAGTCATGAAGTTGAGATTGTTACCTTGAGTTAGAGTTTGACAATGAATAATTGCACAGTTTAAGCTTGAGTTTGTGGGAGACTTGGCCAAGTGAGCGTAAGGTGGGATGGAATTGGAAGTCACGTTAATGCATGTTATTATGCACCCCATGGAGAGTTACTTGTTGTGTGGCTGCAGTAAGCGAAGATTTTTACATGGTTTATATCATTTGAATTGTGGAAAATTCTTAAATTAAGTCTTACATTTTTAAGATAAAATGACCTAAAGGATTAAGTGACCTCTGAGGGAAGGTGTCATGTTTAGAGACTTTTGTATGTGAATTTACATTTTACAGAACCAAAAATATTTAATATAATAATAAGTTAGTCACTTCAAAACGCGACTCTTTGTGGGACACTGCTCTGCAAAATTGGCTGCTGCGTTTCTCCCACAAAATATATTCACTTTACAGTATATTCTTTGAGACGTCTTGAAGATGTGATAAGGCGCTAAATCAAAGCATTATTGTTATATAATTATATTGTGCTGGTATGCTGCTTGAAAAGCCTTATTTGTTCCGATAGCTGCAGACTGTGTCTAGCACTGAAGGCCTTGATGTGAAGCGCAGAGCGACACACAGACAACGCAGGCTCCTATCTATTCTGGTCTTTACATTAATAATATGATAGGCAGTCCTCCTCCCTGGCAGTTTCTCTTAATTACTTCATTAAGACTGATATTGTTGCTCATTATTGCCTCGGTCAAGAAGCTCCCCTGACGTCAGGAGATAATAGAGTGACTTGGTCCGTTCATGGCTGAGCAGCTGTGGGATCAGTGGGTCCTACATCGAGTTGCTGCTGTTCATCCATTATTCCTGTGCAGAGACAGGCCAAGTCAAAGGTTGTTTAGGTACACTACCCAATGACGCAGCACCTGGATATTAATGTGTCAGAAACATTGATTAAATATAGATATTCTGATAGACGTATACTTTGGCGTTAGGAGGAATTTTGTACCGAATAAGATTTCAGTTTGCATTTTTTCACAAAAAATATTTGCAGCTGGTAACACCGGTGAATCCATCTGGCTCTCTAATTTTCTTACACTGCTCAGCAAAAATAAATTTGCGCAAAG